TTGAGGCAACCTAAAGAGGTCAAAAGCTTGTCTACGGTACCTTTGCTCATGAAAACATACAGGGCTAAATCTGCAGGAGGAATCAGCCGAATAAACAGTACAGACAGGTTTTTAAATCCTGCACGATAATCTGGAAAGACAAAAGTGACGTACCCCTGACGCAGACATGTGGTGTCTACCAGGTACCAAATGATGCCAGGCAGGAACAGCAGGGTGTAAATTAACAGTATCAGGACCAAAATTCCCACAATTTGTCGTTTTTCATCGGAGGGGATCAGGGAAGAGGCAGGAAAAGCTCTGAGGGCTCCACAAAGGAAGAATATGAGCAGTGGGCAGGGAAGGAAAAAGAAAAGGCAAAATATGACTTTAGGTACATCACCACAATTGTAGAAATAGTTGAGGAGGAGAAAGACCAAAGGAAGGGTCCACACCACAACACAGACTGTGACAGAGGTCTTGATTGAATTCATAAAGTCGTTCTTCAGTGGGTTGGTGATTACCATGTACCTGTATTGCAAGATGGGCACATAGTTTGTAAAGAGCTACAGAATGACATAGAAATATAATGTAAATATTCAAGACGGGCATAGATAAAATGTTGATAAACACTAACCATTTAAGGGAAAGACACACCATGAAGCCGACACTTGCCATCAGAGAGTAGATGTAAATACAGGAAGCTACATTTTCATAATCAGAATATCTCATGTGAGCTATTGTGCAGGAGAACTGAATGAGGTCAGAAATGAGAAGGTTGAAGACATAGATCAGCACAGCTTGGCCCTTTAGCACCTGCAGGGAGACATTTAAAAAAAATGGCTAAACTGGTAAATATTAACCCCCCTGCCCCGACCCACATCAAGATGCTTTAAAGACAGATATGTTAGATAGACAAGAACAGAAACAGTGAACAAATGTAGTTACTTACCTGAGGGCAAAGAGCGAGGAAGACCAGTAGGGTCACAGGAAGGGTGATGCAAAGGATTGCACTTGTGCCATATGCTGCAGTTGCAAAGATAATGAAACTGGAATCCATATCTGCTGTCGCCAAAAGAAAATCTGTAATTTGAAAAATAAGAGTTAAAAAAAATTCAAACAAATATATGCCTTACACTGTTTACTGACACCATCTTTAAGCCCCAAGCCCAACAAAACTGGCTTTCTACTCTGTGAATATCTATGATCATAACAGTTTTTAATTCTTTTCTCTTACAAAATTTTAAAGTATATTTAAAAAGAATCATCAAAAATATTTACCCTCAGTAGTAAGAAGACCTCGCCTGAATCAGTTACTTGCACTGATGAACAATGTTTTCGTCTCTGCATCTAAATAAATACACTGTGCGATAACATCTTGCAGGTGGCAATCTACATTTTCTGTTTTGACAGAGAGAAAAAAATAGCATTCAGTCATGAATATGTAAACTACACCAAGCCACCTATTCAACAACAACAACAAAAAACCTACATTGAAACTGTTTAAAGTTTACTGCTTATTAATCCCATACAGAGACATTTTCCCCTTTTTTTCAATGTTTCTCAAAATATTTCTTCTTAGGTTAGAAATTTTCAGTGATGACACCAATATGAAATAATATATACGGATAGAAGAGACAATGTAGGAAAAGACGGACTGGACAACTTGACATATCATCAAGGACTGCCTGTCAGAGGGTGCAGTTGTTTTTATTTTTTTTTATTTTTTATTTTTTTATTTGACCATTTGATCAAGGCTGTTAAATCCATCTAAAATAGAAAGACTGTTCTGGATTTCACATCGGAATCTCTGAATGAAGAGTAATTTTATTTCAATAACACAGACCACAGCTCAGCTCATGAGTAAGTAATTGACGAGTTAGGTAATGAATTTTATTTAATTTATTTATTATTATTTTTGGCTGGGCTATTTAGCCTTTATTGACAGGACAGGGCCAAATGTGGGGAGACAGAGTGAGAGGGGGGAGGACATGCAGCACATGGTCGGACTCGAACCTGCCACCGCTGCGGGGACTTTGGTCCACATGTATGGGGCACGCGATAGTTAATGAATGATAGGTAATGAATTTTAAGAAGTATTAAAGTGAGGAAAAAATTACCCAAAAAAAGGGACCCTGAAATGAAAAAGTTATTAAAAACTTACTCAGTACTTATCAAAGTTTCTTATCCTCATATGTTAATTTTAGTTGAGCTTTGACTTCTTACTTTGCAAGGCAAAACAGTACTGTGCATGCTATTTGAAGAAAATAATTTCCATAAACACATCTAACAATGAAGCACTGAAAAAGATATGTAAATATACAAAGAAATGAAAAACACATCTTATCAGTTGTGAAATTATAAATCATAATGCAGTAGTACACTAGAGTAGAACAAAGTTGTTTTTTTTTTTTAAGTTTGTCTCCACAGCAGCTTAAAAGAGCTCTTAAAGCATTTCATTTGCCAACCAATATTTTCCATATAGACTTCCCATAAAGTTCAGCTTTAACCAACTTCAGATGTAGGCAAGCAGATTACTATCATCATTAATGATAAATAACAATTATTATTGAAGGCTTGTTATGTTTCTCCTCATCTTCATTGTTTTCATTGTGTCAAAATGTTATCTATTTTATACTTATAGGCTCCAAGCTAAATACATGTTTTTACTGTCTGAAACTATTAAGGGGTTGAAGTTAAGTGGTTGTTGAGAGTACAGTTACATGAAGTTTGTTACATGCAACTTTTGGATATGATGTGACACTCTTATTAAAAACTATTGCTGTGTATAGAGCTGATCTGCCTTGTTTATGTTTAATATATTGGTATAAATTTGAAATAAGTCATTATACACCAGTGTTTGAGTAGGCCTTGAACTATGCAGGGATACGCTTTAAATGAGAGACCAGAAGGGGGCAGGCAGTCCTTTCTAGAACAACCAAGGCCACCTCTGCTTCACCTAAAGAGCGACTCATGCTGTCAGGATTCGCCATCTTCACTTTAAATGATCCTGCTTATTGCTCAGCCACCAACTGAAGCAAGTAAATAAGTTGACCCAAAATGTTAACATAAGGTAGTTTCAATATTCAACAAAAAAAAAAAAAGAAAAGTATTCAAGTTTAGAGCTTCAAAAGTTATTCCCTCCAACTCCACTGATAAGATCTTCTGTACACCAACAGATTCCTAAAGGATGAATAAACACTAGACATTTCAATTAATGGTTAAGTTTACACATTAGCATGCCTAATCTAAACATTTTCACTGAAAGCAGATGAATAAAATCTCTGTCCTCTCTGCCATTTGGAGAACAGGAGGAATTGTCTACCATTTTGTTCAACCAACAAATTTAGAAGGCTGTCAGACGCACAAACATTTTTGCCTGACAATTATGGTGGCAGTGGCTCAGTGGTAGAGTTGGAAGTTTTTAAAATTGGGGGTCTGATCCTAGGTCCTGCTGTCCTTGAGCAAGAATAAGTCCAAAACTGATGGGCTCTATAGCAGCTTCTGGCATCACTGTGTGGATGTGGTGTGAATAGGGGAATGTGATGAAAAAGCTAATTGAGTGGACAGAGGACTAGAGAAAGTAGCTATATAAACAAAGTTTATCTACCATTTTTACAGACTTACTCTACTGAGAGTAGCTGTTTTGCCGAACAATCTGCAACATTTGTGATGAACTTAGAGTAAGAGATAGTCGCTTTTGTTGGGCAGAGAGTTGATGTTTCGTATGATAATTGATGGAAGAAAGAAAAAATTGCAGAAAATTCCGACCACACCAGACTCTCATGTTCCTTGGTTGAGCACAGGTTCTGGAAAGATCTACCTGACTTCACTCTCATAAGGTCAGACAGAGATGCTAAAGCTAGCGGCAAGAAGAAAGGAGGGGCTCTGGCTTTATTTATCAACTAGAGATGGTGTAAAACTTCACACATAACTGTTAAGGAGAAGTTGTGTTGTCCAGATATTGAACTGCTGACAGTTACTCTTTGGCCATATAATGTTCCAAGGGAGTTCAGTAACATCATAACAATACTAATAGTCTCCATGATACTGTTGCTAGGATACAGACTCAACATCTTAAAGCACTTGTAATAATGCTGCGTTCCAGTTACCTCGGGAGTCGGATGTCGAAGCTGGGAATGATGTTACACCCAAGTTGACTATGTTCCAGTTAGTCAGAAAACCAAGATGGACACCTACAGTTAACCGTTGTTAGCTGTTGTTAGTTGTCGTTCATTGATGTTAGCTATACCAGTTGTAAACAATGCATAACAGTATTTTATTCTTACAAACACCATAACACCGTGTTCGCAGTTAGACGTTGGGCAGTACAACATTTACCACTTATTTGATTTCAACAAAACAAAAGTACTAATAAACAATACATTACGAGCGACTTTATGGGGGTGTTCCAGATGAATTACTGACTCTGAGCTTGGAAATGCCGACTTCTGAGTACAACTGGAACGTAGCATAATACCAGGAGACATGTCACCCTCTCCTCTCACCTGACTGAAATTACACAGTTTCTTTACGTTACTTCCAGGGAAAATATTTCCTGAGATTCCAGATAAATGTATTTCCCTTTAGGGATAGGTACAGTTCTTGTATTTTATTGTATTGTATTGTACTGTATTGTATTATGATGAAAATTTCATAGTATTTGAGATGGATTAGAGTGGACCCTTTTACTAAGTAGATAATTGTGGGGCACAGGTTTGTTTTGCTTTTTGCTCTGGTGAGGAGGTTGAAGATTAAATTTAGGAGTATTATTTCTCTAACAAATTAAAATCCATTTTAAATAATGACATTACATTTGGAACAGACAACATTTATTTTTGGTCTTCTAAATAAAACAGAAAAACGACACTTTTATTGTTAAACAATGTGTAAAAAGTGCTTCTAAGCTCCAGAGCAGCAGCTGACCAGACCTTTCTTAGTGTAATTATTTTTGTAATTTTTGTACAAGTTCATCCACACTTTCGACATTAGGGACCAGTTGGGACTCAATTATTCTATGAGGTGTTTAAAGCTGTTTGTTAACTGTGTTTCACAACCACAGTTTTGAATTGTGTATTTTCTTATGTTTATCGTCCTCCCCGTAACTCAGTGAGATTCATTTTATGGCTTCTTTAATTGATTACAGATAAACAAGTCAACTGTTCCATGACATTATTATCAATGTGCCTGCATGAGGTGGTTGTTGTCCTGAGAGGTAGCATGTTGTTGTTTTCCCTTTTATGGTCCTTTTAATTTCAACACGTTGATTCCAGCATTGGATCTCTGACTTCACCAGTCTCACACTGAGGTTCTGATTTGTGACTTCCATTGCTGCTTCCACTATTCACCGGGCATGTTCTCTGGACTGGGTGCTGAACTTTGACCAGAAACACGTCCCACCTCTCAGGTATGAGTCCTCTGTTGAAAAGTAAGGAAGCCAGATAGGAGACCAGCAGTATTGTTGAGAAAGCAACCAGCATGCAGATGGTCCTGATAGGAGCGTATTGAACATAAACGCCATCTTCAAGGACGCATCCTGGAAAATAGATGACAGGTGGTAGTCCAATCAAGGGCTCTCCACACAAAAGTCTCACAAAGAAACCCAGTACGAATCCTGCAGCAGCACCATAACCATTGGTCATGTTGAAGAAAAGCACGCAGACCAGCTGTGGGAACATCATAATGTAGGCGATTTCTCCACCCAGGATCCAGAAAGCCATAACCCCAGTGTGCAGGAAGGTGAGGGATGTACCAGCCAGGCCAAAAAATACAACAGCCATGCGAATCACCCATTGGATCTCATTCTCTGAGGCCTAAAATTAAGAGGAGACAGAGAAAAGAGGTTTTCATATTTTGTTAATAATGATAATAATACATTTTATTTAAAAGCACCTTTCTGAAAACTCACGGACACTGTACAGGGCGTAAAAACACAGAAACATAATTAAAATGAATAAAAACAACATACAAGTGTGAAAGTGGACAGTTAAAGTGAATATGCAATGTTACATTTTCAGAACTGAACAGCTCTGGAAAAAAGGATGTGCTCATGCATTTAGACACACAATCTGGCTTATGCCAAAGCATTATCAGACAGGACAATCAGTTCTGCCCTCTCTACCTCACATCAAAGAAATCACATAAGGCTTGGCAGTGACTGTTAAGTCTGTTTTACGATGCTCTGTAAAAAGGGCATTTTACAAAAAGAAATCAAATAAATAAAACAATTCATGGAAACTATGTCATTGCATGAGTTCAAGCTTAAGACCAGGAAATTGTACCCTGCTCAAACCAGTGACCTCTCCTGAACAGACCTCCACCATTGTTGCTGACAAAGATACTTCAGCAGAAGTCCAATCCCTTCTCGATTCTGATTGGGTAGTGGCCATATTCAAATACAAGTTGTATTTTTAAGGATAAATGGAAAACAATGTGTGTTTGTTTCTGTATGCATTTAAGAGAGGACATAATGGGTGGCTTGGTTGCCTTGGATTTTGGTCTGTGTAGGGCTGAGATAAAGCAGGTGTTTTGGGAGATGGCTATGAGGGTGTCCTTGTCTTCTGGCATCCTCAGATCTGAAAACAGTATCAATGTATGAAGCTAAGAAAAAAAAAACATACTGGTGTGTCCAAAGACTTTGTCCCAATAAATACATGATTTCACATTATCAGCACAAACACTGAAATAAGTGGAGGCACTACTGTGCATGTCTGTATGTGTCTAAATTTACAGGCATGCCTGTTTTGAATTCTAATGGCCGTTTCCCTATCACAGTAATGCATCCTTTATTAATCTAAACAGAGAGAGTTCACTGTACCATGGTTTTGGGAAATTATGGGGAACCTCACATTGTATTAGGGTCACAGTAGAATAGGGAAACATAAGATCTCGAATGACTGTTTTTTTTTTTTTTTATTCATCTGACCCCAGAAGGGTCTTGCCATCCAGACGAAGCAACATTCTCTCCCTGCTGAGCATTTTCTGCTCCTGTGAGGGCCACAGGCAGGACCTCACTGGAGATCAGTCAGTACGTTTGCATGACACTTGAGGAAACTGAATTATTGCCTTACTCTGATTAAGACCGGACAACTGAAGTTCATATAAACACTTTAATCTGACCTTAATCTGAGTGTGAGAACTCCAGCTGGAGTCAGAGAACTCTGATTAAGACACACTGATAATGCGATCCCCTGTAACCCCGGAAAAAAAAAAAAAGAACAGAGAAGAGGAGTAGTATGCACCTCATCTACAGAAAAAGTAGTGTGTACATCATGTACGACAAAAACAACGCAACAATGCTCTATCTTCTTGCACGAAAATGCCCAACAGCAGTTGTAGCCACCTCTGGCACAGACCTGCTGTTGTTGTTGTTGTGTCAACTGGAAACAGTGCTGCTAAAAATACCCATATCGCCCCCTAGTTTTATGGAGGAGAACACATATACGTCAATAATTTGATTTTCTCAGCTGCATGTACAGGCGGACAAGGAGAGAAGTGTGATTCGGTAAAATAGAAAACGAATTATTAACTTAGTCTAATTAAGCTGTGCATGTAAACACACTGAGTGTTAGAAATGAGTGTCATACTGTTGGCGTGGCGGGTCATGTCTGCTGCAACATTTTCCTGACAGTATCAAGATCCCTCTAAATTGGCCCCTTTAATAACTCTTTGCTTCAGTGTTGTTGTTTTTTTCTACTGAGAATTTAAATTTTCTTAAAGCAGTACAACACTTAATATCCTCAAGGATTGTTGATTAAGTTTTCCCAGTTGTTCTCCACATTTACCTTAGTCCTTAGGATCTTTTTGTAGATATTTGAGGAGAAGATGGAAGCTGCAGACAGCAGGGCAGAATCTGTTGATGACATTACAGCGGCCCCCACAGCTCCGATGCCGATGACTGAGATGTAGGATGGAGTTAGGTGGTGCAGGGAGAGAGGTAGAATCAGACCTGTCTGACCTCGCTCAAATGGAGGCGGAGAACCATAGGAGGTCAGGTTCCAGTCTGAGAAAACCAGGCGAAATGATAAGCAAATACCTGAGAAATAATACCACTGAAATACACATCAGTGTTGAAATGATAATTGAAATAATTCTCCCTTTACATTCAGATTGTATTTTTTCTTAAAGGAGAGCACAAAATGACAGATAAACTGGGACGACACTTAAGTTTACTGTTGAAGACAAAACCTTCCACTCAAGTACACAATGTTTTAGTCCATATTTCTTGCTCCAGTGCAATCTTAGGTCATCGTTTGAAAATTCAGGTATAATGAAACATTAACTAAACATTACTTTATCTTACTGGATAAAACTTTGCAAAGCATTGCCCAACCTTGTCTTGTTAATGAGAATACAACACTTTCAGTGGATTTTACTCTTCGTGAGTTTATTTTGATTGAAATTTTCTCTAATAATGAAAAAAAAATTACTTTACTTGTTGACGCAGCCACTGCCCCAATGAGTACAGGAGGAATCCCAAAAGTGGGGATGAGAAATGCTGCAGCGTAACACCGCAGTTTGGCTGTGGCTGATGAAGAGGCTGATAACGTCCTCTGGTGGAAATCCTGGAAACCAAGGTCTCCTACACTCTGAAAAAGAAGAATGATCACAAAGCAAGAGATCCATAAAGACAACAGCTCAACTCAGAGACATTATTGTGTTTTCCAATGTGATGGCAACAGCAATAGTTTTTATTTGAGGTAATAATATGCAATAATTTCATGCAAGCCTACAAAACAACGCCAGCTGGACAATTTCTAGTGTTGACGTTTCCTTAGTTGCACAATGCCCTTAATAACAAGTTTCAGTGAACCCAATCTCAATTGAAATCTGACACCTTTTACATCTAAAGCCCTTGTATCATAGTCACTATTTACAAGAATACAAGGAGACAAATAACTGCCCTTTTGCTTGCATTACTGTCATCAGGTGTTTCACTGCTAACACTCTTCATTTTCATCCAACTGTTGGATTCTGCTCCAGTGCTTCTGGTGTGTTCAGTCATTTTGTGAGTCACTGTTTTCTTTAACATTATGTATGGATGTATCATAGACTGTATATAGAATGGACGTCGTCTGTCTCCTCGCTGGGTGAAGCCACTCCGAGAACAGCACCCTCTGTTGATGGTCTGCTAACAGGTCATAAATCCCACCTCCGCCAGCAAAGCTTATGGAGATGTGGACCAACTTTAGAAATTTATTACACAGAATATAAATTTTTCTCCTCCCTGCTTGTGATGTTGACATGTAGTTATTGTAACACTGGTTTGTGCTCAAGTCCTCTTTTTTCTGTGAAGCTCCATTTTTAAAAGTTATTAAGGTGTTCATATTTTCTATGATTGACACTTGATACAGCCTTTTGGCGTTCAGGGATTAAGTAGCTCACCGGGGAGAAACGCTGTTTGAGCCGAGCGTCATCACAGTGACTCTCTGCGCGGCTAAATGCGCGCATCGCTACTGCACAGTGCTGGTTTCAGGAAATAAAGAAAAAACCTGGAAATACCAAGAGCTTTTTGGCTTCAAATCCTTGTACAGGCGGTAGGCGGAACCAAGTTGTCCATAGTATATACAGTCTATGGGATGTATCTGCTACAGTTAGTCTCAAAGCATCAGTAGTTTTCACCTTCTTACCAGTAGTAAAAAGATATCGATCCACCTCCAGGCTCTGTCTGCAGTCAGTGTGCCAACCCAGGGGGCCTGAAAGGTGTGATTAAAAGATGTGGTGGTGATGTCAACGGAGGTGGGACTCATAAGGAGGAAAGGGACGCACACCCACTGAGGAGATGGAGAAGCACATTAATTTAGCACAAAGAGAAAAGCTCTCTCAATTCCTTTCATGCATCTGAGTGTGCTAAAATGAATAAAGATTAAAGTTTGAGTAGCAGATGCTCAAATGCAAAATACAAGTCAGCAAAGCAACCACTGAACTGAAATAAACCAACAAGGTTTAAAAAGGGTAAGATGTGGTCTTATTAAATTTGATATGATTGGATAGGAATACTGGTCATTACTGTGCCCCTGTGTAGAGAAGCCAATTACCGAGGTGATGAAAATCAGAGTGAGCTGTATGATGTCTGTGTAGGCAACAGAGTAGAGACCTCCAAGCAGGGTGTAGGTGATGGCCACAGCAGCAGAGATCCAGATGCAAACAGCGTAGGACAAATCCAGGATCACACTCATGGTTACTCCTGCGGAAAAAAACACATGCTGTTGTATGGTTGTATTCGGGACTTGTGACTTGCCTTGGGACTGATGGCTTTGACTTGTACCCAGATTTGTGCATGTTCTGCATGAAAAAACTCAGACAATTGAAGGAAGTCAGATATATTCACTTCAGTTGAAGGAAGTCAGATACATTCAGATATCTCAACTCAACTCAACTCAACTTTATTTGTAGAGCACTTTAAAACAACCACAGCTGTACAAAGTGCTGTACATAACTAGACAAAACAACAAGATAAAAAACAATCAAGAAACAATTAAAACAATGGATAAAATAAAAGTAGAATTAATAGTAAAAAATAGCTTCAATGTTTTTAAAAACTAATTTAAAAACATAGAAACAAATAACTAAAAACAAACCATAGAACACTAAAACAGGAGCCGAGTCTCATGCAGGGTTAAAAGCCAATGAATAAAAATGATATATTTTATATTAAATCTGATGTCATCAAGACATCAGATTTAACTTTATCTCACTCAGCATTTTTTCCATCTACTGTGTCTGCCCAAAATCCGAAGAATTTCCTAACGGAGCTTCTAAAGTTCATTAGAGTCCAGACCACTCTCTCCGAGTTTGGCTCAGAACATCCCACCATCTTTTTCTCCATGTGCCACGGACGCTTTTTTATCAAGTCTCACTGCAGGTGCAGCTCCTGTAACCTTTCCCTGACCCATAATTACAGTGCGCTCACTCACAAAGTAGCTCTGCTGTTTTTTTTTCCGGTAACCCTTTCTTTTATGGTACACTTATTACCAGGTAATTACCTAGTAACAACATGAAATTATTTGGTAATTACATGATAACTACTATGTCAATACTTTCTAGTTTTTCTTTTTTCTGTGCAGCTCCATTTTCAAGAGCTATTTGGGGTTCTTATTTTCTATGATTGACACTTGATACAGCCTATGGGCGTGCGAAGATTGCGTAGTGATACGCTGTTTGAGCCGAGCATTATCACAGCAACTCACTCAACGTGTACAATGCTACTGCGCAAGTGGTGGTTCCAGGAAGCAGAGAAAATCCTGCAAATACCACAGCAATTCGGCTTCAAATTTGTATAATGATGGAAGGTTACCTACCTGGTAGCTAGACAGTACTGACTAACACAAGATAACATAGGAGAAGTGTAGCGCTGTGGATACTTTCCAGATGCACTGTATGAGGATGATACTCAGATTCTTGGGTCTATAGTCCATTAAGAGTGGGGATTACATCAATTGATCATGATGGTCACGGAAACATGTTTATACACATCATATTGCAGTGTGATGACTTTTTTACCCAGACTGATTAGTGTAGATGTCACCCAAATGATCTCTGACATCAGTGGTCCCACAGACAGAAGTCCACTCAGTCCGTTTCCGTACTTGATCTGAAAAGGGTCCATCATGGTCACGTACTTCTTCTCTCTCATTGGCTCAGCGAAGAAAAAACCACCTTATAGAGAGAAAAAAAAAACTGAATAATAGCAGAGAGGTGGAAGAAAGTACCCCTGTTCTGCAGTTTATTATTATGTAACGACTAACTACAGCACTTTAAGAAGTTAAAAAGTCAGATTATGATGATGATTTATTTTAACCAATGACCCCAAAAATAATCATTCTTCAGAAGCCGATGTGGAAGTTACCCTAAAGCAGGCCTCCCAGGCTGTAAATACAGTATTTTCATGACCACTATTGGTTCTTTTACATGTTTTAAAGAGGAAACTGGAGGGGCCAGTTATTTAGCTTGTTACAACTTGCAGCTTCACTGCCACAAATCCCACTATCAGTCCCCTTTCTGTACCTGAGACCCAATAGAAGTGCTAAGGAGAGTGTTAAATGAAGCCTAAATCACTTAAGCAACTTGAATGTTACTTCTTTATTTCCCTGCCTGGTTCAAGACAATATTGCATGAATAAACAGATTTTCCACTATAGAGGGGTGTTTTTCCAAACAAAAAGTTCAATAATATCATAATATCAAGTGGATCTTGATATTTAACAGTATGCCTATTTTCTCTGTTCCTTGTCGTGTAGAGCTGCATAAAGCCCTGGAAAATAAAACAGCTGTATGGGAAAATCAAAAGTGTCTGACAAACTTCTTGGTAGTGCAGTGTTGAGCACTGGTGCCTTACTACAAGACAGTTTACGCATAAACACTCGAAAAAGACCAGTGTCAGTTTAACTGATGACTCTGATTCACCCTTAGGTGTGGTTTTGAATGTGTCTGGTTGTTAGTAATGTGAGCCCTGTGATTGACAAGCAACTAGCCTCGGGCCTTATCTGCCCCTCACCCAACAACAGCTGGAATTTGCTTCAGCTCCCTTACAACCCCCGACATAGTTAAAATTAAGGATAACTAATGGAGTGTGCAAAAACAACAATGGCTCCCTCTCTTTCACAAACTTACTCTTTCACAAGAGAGACTTTTATTCTATGGAAGCTTTTCAAAGGTGCAACTTTTGGTGCAACTAGCCATGAAGCTCTCAGACAATGGGTTTAATCCCCTTCCCCCCCAGATCATTAACCTGTCAGTCAACTTACATATCCTCAGGGGGACATGGTCTACTTTCAGAGCTGCTGTTGTTCTGTTTAACCTGGGCGAATGTCTCTACACAGCAAATATTTGACCATCCATAAGTTGTTCCTTTGTTTTGAACATGTCTAGGATAAATGCTCACTGCTGTCAACATTAAAAGGTGACACATTTTCAGTTAAAACACCTTAAAACTTAAAAAGGGCAAGTTAAAAAAAAAATCCCACCAAGAAGGAAGGCCACTGTTGCTGCCAGCGGCATCACAGCCCAAATTAGTCCCAGCTTTGGATCGTAGACTGTCTCAGCTGTGCCGATGATGAAGGTCCCGCCAACCCAGGTAGCTTCACGGCGCCCACATAGAAAGAAAAGTGTCAGTTTTTCTTTTTCTTTTCAAACTTTTACATCTTTAGCACATTATTACTTTAGCTGTCACTGAAGAGGATAAAATATTAAAACTTAAGGGTATTAAGTGTGGTTTCTAGTTTATTCTTTTGGTTCAGAGGAAAAAACTTCATAGAAATCAACCTCTAAATAATCTTTTCAAAATATTTATACAGCCAACATTTCATGACATTACACAGATCTCAATCTGCCTTGAATGGCCCTATCACAATTACAAGTATCCTCAAAAATGATTCAAATAGACACAAAGCACACACACTGACATATCCACATAAAGAGTGTTTTTACACTAACATGAACATGCTGCAAATCACTAAAATCACCTGTCGTAGTGAAGATGCCGACTACCAAGCTGATCTTTCTGTTGCCCAGCAGGGCCATGTCTGCACTGCTTGCTTGTGATCTCTCTTTATCCCGTTTGGATTTAATGGATGCCCAGATACCTATCCCTAGCACCAGTAGGTAGAAAATGATGGTGGCGATAAGTCCTGGGACATGGAGAGCCATGGTATTGACTGACTGCCCCGGAGCAGAGTGGAGCTTGTGGTGCAGAGAGCAGACAGACTGCAGTGCAGAGAAGCAGGCAGGCAGGCACAGAGTGTCTTCAGCAAACCTTGAGCAACTGACTCACTGGCTGTCTGTGTGGATAAAGACAGTGGGGTGTGGCTATAGGAAAAGCTTTACATTGCTCCATGAAATGTATTGAAAGCAACAATATACTGTGTTATATTACCCCACACAGCCACTATTTTCTCCAGTTTTGAAGGTTGTGAAAAGGAAAAAACAAGAAGAAAGAGTCTTGTTTAAGTTTTTTGGGCAAACTGCTAATATACTGTGAATATCCCTTTCTATACACATCAGTGATGAAAGTTTGTCATAATGTCTGTCTGCTGCTTTCCTGTTAAACTTAAGACTCACTGAAGTTGTGTAAAATCAACTAAACCTGGATCTGCCAGGTTTGAAGTCAAATCCAAGTATTTAAACCTTGGCATAAACTGACCACCCTTGTGCCCCCCACCCCCGACACAGGATGTTGTCTTTATTGACTTCACTGACTTCAAGAATAAAAGTTAAATTGATGCCATGGAGAATTGTTTTTAAGGGTAAAAGCAGGGGTGTTTCCATGGGGTGGCCTTGATGAGTATGTGACGAAGCACGATACAAGACGGCTACCACCCCTGTTTGTAATCCATGAGGATACATACCCCTCCTACTTTGTCCAATTGACGAGCGCCCCTTTCAACCACGTGATGCTGCTCGGAAAGTTCAGTGCGCTTTACAAATCACAATGTGAAAGCAAAACCGAAACAAGTGATAAATGCAACAATGTTTTGACTTTCAGCTCCCCAATCGAACCGAGTCCGCTTGGTCAGGTGTGAAAGCGACCAAAGACACAAACAATAATTTGCTTCAAAGCATTTGTAGCCTTTTTAGTTCCACAGATATACAATCCTACAGTGGCACACACATTGAACTTAACTAACTACAGTCATAACGAGACAAGCCCATGATTAAACATAGTTTTGTACATGACCTGGGTTACCCTTGATTTACTGCTTCACTTAGGCCCGAAACTACACGAATGCGGATATATTTCAAACCGCACATATTTATCTCTGATTAGGCCTCCCTACCACACCAAAACGGGAGTTTGGAGCACTCAAACCGGATAAATCTGAATCCGGAAAAACAAGTGGAGAAATAAAAAAAATTCTGTATCCCGTATCCGTAGTGGATTCGTGTGGTTGGACTTTTACGTATCGATGACGTCAAACTGCAGCTCGCGCATGCGAATTAAAAAGAAAAACAGCAACAACAACGATGGTGGACATACAGGGTATTCTTTATGTTTGTTTTGCCCTTTTGGGGCTAATTTCAGCCTTGCAAGTGAACCTTGTTTTATACAATTACATCCACCAGTCAGCCAGCTAACAGACGCGTCTGCTGCGGCCAATACTTTTATCGGTCACATGGTCCGTCACATGGACCCGACGCACTAGCGTAGCTTCTGCAAACAATGCATGACGCATCACGCTGTTACGATTCATCGGCCAATCAGTTAGCTTTGTTCCTGAATTTTTTTTAAGCGGCACCAGATAGGATTGAGTTTGAAGGCTACGTGTGGACGCAGATATTTTTGAGAACTAACACGTGTGAACAGGTACATTTATTTAGACGGGAGTACAAAATATCCTGATAAATAAATATCTATATACGTGTAGTTCCGGCCTAAGGCTCTTTGCCATACCAGTGGTGCCACATTTACTCTTTTTCAAAGGTGGGATCTTTCCTCATTTTTCCAACTTTTCCTCACTTCTTATCGTCCTTACTCCTAGTCACCTGGCCTACTTTTGAACAAACTATATTCCATCAAAAAAAAAAAAAAACGTATTTCCTTTGTCCTCAGTGAGATTTTTGAGTAGCATTCTCAGGAGTTTTCCTCATAACTGAGCCACATATCTGCTGTCTTTAGAGTCTGACCTACTTATTTCCACTGTGTCTACAGGTTTTGACTCCTGTCCGTCACACCGTACTGTAAGCTACACCTCAATTTTTATCATTCAACCCTCTTCAGCTTGTTTTATTCTGCATTTGGGTACATTTTCTTGTTTTATAGTCACCCAGCTTGAACCTCTTTTCTGTTTGAGAGTTTTTATTTTCAAGTTTTTCCCTTTGCTTCCATGGTAGTTTTTTTTTTTTTGTTTTGTTTTTGTTTTTGCGTTTTAACATGACAGTTTGTTTTGGTTTGTATTACTCATGTATGCATTGTGCATGATGGTTTCACTTTGACCCAATCACAAGAGCAATATCTTATAAAGCATGTGCTCAATATGGATACAGATTGGGTCTTAAAGTCAGAAAAATGATCCATTGCTTAGGTGACAGATGACTGCCTTCACTGACAGAACTTGATTTTAACCGGGCAGCACAGCCTGAAAAGCAACATTTCTCATTACTGTAGTGGGAGTAAGGTTACGCAACAAAAAACAATATTGTAGCACTTGAGTCCATTTAAAGACACTGCTTCAGAACTAATAACACTACACTATCTGCAGTTTGTTGCTGTAGGTGTTTAATTTCATTTGTTTGGTGACTGACCAGCGTCAGGTATGAGTTTAATATAAGACAGGAAGAAATTAAGTATTAATAGTTGACTGTTTTCTTAAATAATTTATACTTAAAAAATCACTCAAAACATTTTCAGAAAATAATGTCATTTGTTTGGCTTAAACAGTGTCATGGCCATGAATGTAATTCTGTGCATGGCTTTTCCTCAGTCAACCTTCAATGGTCAGGTTTCTCTTTCTCTTAGTTGGATGGTTGAAAGGAAAATTTTATGTGTATGCTATCACATGTTTTTCCCAACAGTGTGGCACTGAACTGATGAACAGGAACCTGATGATGAACTAAATTGTCTTGCTGTCTTTGTTTACCCAGTACAGACCACAGCTGCAACCTTTACCAACTTTTACTATATAAACTAGCTAGATAAGATTTTCATAACATACTTGCATAGTCCACAAAGACAGACCAATTGTTCAATTTTGGGTCCTGAAATTCGGACTTTTACGCTGATTGTCATTCACCGAAGATGCAATAGCATGTTTTAATGAGAATAAAGTGTAACATACCTGTTGAGATTTCTGTATTTTATAGTGCAGTATGTTCATTTTTCACTCAGAGTAATGGTCTTCAGCAAACCTGTCTGCTGAGGAACTACCTGTAAATATTTCTTTGACATTTCTATCCTTGTGGTAATTTGTGCACTTTGGTCTCACACCTCCCCCTTTTTTTCTGAATGAACCACCTTGTGCTCAGCCCTCTAAACATGTTTCTAAACAATAACTGTCTCACATACTTTGCTGAATTTCACAGGGCTGTTTGCTTCTGGCCATGTCCAGACACAATAGCAGCTTGTGTTTGCATTTTCCTCAGATTGCGAGGAGCCCTCAAGCTAGCCAAGTTTGGGGCTAGTCGGGTTTTGTAATGAGAAATTATTCCTTTTATCAGATAAAATTGCTGCAGCTAACATAGTATGCTGTTGCGCTACATGGAAAATAAGATCTAGTTGTTGGTTCTGGCCATGTTTGGATTATTGACTGCTGAGAAGGAATTGTTGTCACTTTTTGGTTTCAAAATCTGAGCCAATGCCAAAGTGTCAAAACCTGTATCCTTTTAAACAGCCAACAAGAGGCGACCCTACTGGACATAAAAGACAAACAGATTGTGTCCAGATGTGAGTGGCTAATTACAGTATACACATAATTATTTTTGCCACAAAGGCGTCAAAATGGGACTGCAGGGGCCAGCAGTCTCTGCCACTGTTATGTGGGTCACAGAATGAAAAGTTTGAGAACGACTCTCAATGTATTGTTTGATGTATTTTTAAGTATTTTTGCATATTCTGAATGGTGTAGTATGATATTAACATTATGTGCTACACAGAAGTTTTGTTGAGAATCTTTTTATATTTTCTCAAAATATATTTTGTCTCATTTTTTAAAATCTAATATAATTTTATTGGATAATATTTTGTATTATATTGTATCATATCATACTGTTTTTTATATCTTATTGAACCATTTGTTATCATATCTTAAAGTACTGTATCATACGGTAGTGTATTGTATCTCATACAGTCATATTTATATTTTGTTTTATTGGACCATATTGTATTGCTTCTTACCAAATTGTATATTGTACTGTGTGATATTGCATTTTGTCTTTCAAGGGATCATTGCACAGCTGCAAAATACTGCTTATAAGTTCTGATGAATGTGTTGTAGGGGTATATTATCACTGGTTACCTCATAAAGTGCCATCACTTTACCTAAAGAGCTCAAGGTCATACTTTAGCGTGTTGCGAATATTAATGAGACATTTTCCAAATTAAGAATCATAGAGATTCTACCTATTTTTCTGATACTTAAAATGAGTTCTCTGTAAACCTTTGTAAACAGGTAAAATTGTGAGAGTTGTATTGTATGTATGTCTGATTCAAAAGATGTTTTTTTCCCTTTGAAATTAATCCATAGTGTATTATAAACCATATCTTTGCAAGGCATGATGTTAACAGCCTATGACATATAATAATGATAATAATAATAATAATAATAATAATAATAATAATAATAATAATAATAATAATTCATTTTATTTGTACAGCGCTTTAAAAAACACTCAAAGACGCTTTACATAGTAGATAAAACCTAAGGTAATAAAACAAAGACACTGCCCTGACCCCACTACTTTCAAATCCCTTTTAAAAACTTACTTATTTAAAATTGCTTTTAAAATTTTAACTGTTTTATTCATTGTATTTCTACTGTTCTTATGTCTTTGTTTATTATAACATATACATGCTATAGGTTGTTTAGAATGCTGTGTAAATTCAGGGATTGTGGTCATAAAGCCTTATAGATGCTATAGATTTTATAAATTATAGATTTAAAAGGCTTTATAAAGTGCCTTTAATGCACTGTAAGAAACAAGTTCATATGAAGTATTACCATATATATATATATATATATATATATATATATATATGTATGTATATGTATATACATTAATAAGTATTGAATCAACAAAAAAGCTGTCTCTCCTTTTTTAAACTGAAGCAAATCATGACCAACTAGTCCCTACCTTGGCGAGCTGTCTTTAGGATATAGACATAGCAATGCTTGTGCAGCAAATCTGCCATATAAAATCAAAGCCGGCTCCCAGAAAGGACACAAGTATATGCTTCTAAAGGAATAGACCGCATTGCAAAAAGTGACACTACTGGAGCCACAACTACTTCTTTAAAACAAATTCCTAAATATATCACTTCTGACATTGCTTTTACAGTGATCAATACTCATGTAATGTAAGGGTTTACCCATGCTTTATTTTTCAGTTTGATGTCATATATCACTGTAGAGGAACAAAGAGTGAAAGCTGAGTGAGTCAGAATCAAACTTATCCATTTTATTGTATTCAAAGGTCAAACAATAAGACAAAAATAGACAAGACAAAATGAATACAAACTTGAGTATCACAAAATAAAGATTTGTTTCTGTTGCCTAAATAGCTGTTTGAGGGGAAATAGATTTCTTAGTGAATTCTACAGTTTTGCTACAGATTAACTTTACATCATACATTTTAGTAATCTGCACAATTTACAAGATGTGCACAAAACAAGTGTGTTTCCAGGATATGTTGAAGGAATAAAATACACATTTCAGTACATTGTGCACCTTCTGTGGTGTAATTTCTGAAAACGCCATCATTGTATGGAAAGACTTAAAAAAGCATTCATTCTGTGTTGACGTCAAGAGTGTTCAGCAGCTTAAATTTCTCTCTTAGGAGTGTCTCCAAGGAAAACATCAGATTTAAAGAGATATTAGGTTTTTTAATCTGAGTCCACCAAATCGCAGATTTACACAGAGCTGTCAGCGTATTAAGACAAAATCTAATGACAGTAATCCTTCCCTTAAACTGTCTTTGTCTTTTTCATCCCAGCTTTATCTTTTAGACTGAAAATGAATGTGCAGTCTCAGCTTTAATGAAAGACTCTCTCATATGTCATTCAGCCCTTTGTCTCTCCCTCTGTGTTTGCTTTGTCCTGTTGGTCACTCCTGCCTGTCTCTGGTCCAGGACTCTGCAGCAGCTCCACATCCTTTGAGCTACTCGTGCTGGCAGCTCTGGCAATCCTGGTGAGTGTCTGTTCATAAGGTGAGGGCAAGTAGACCATGAGGAAGACGCCATCCGCCATGTCCTGCTCGGAGCTGGAGCTGGGGAGCTGGTGCTCCCTCCTGCTGCGTCTGATGGAGGACAGCAACTCGCAGTTCCTCTCGGGGTCCTGCAGGTCCTCCAGGGCGATCACATTGGCTAATCCAAGTTTGCCGTTAAGGCTGAAACCACGTCTGCGACGCCACATCAAGAAGCCGAGGGCACTGAAGAAGAGGAGGAAGACGGAGACAATTGCGAGAGAGATGTAAGTGATGGCCCCCGCACTGATGAGGGCCTCACCTGAGCTCTGTCCCTGTGAGTCAGACACAAAAAAATGATGTCATTTGTCTGTAACAGGTATACGAGTGTATGTTGTCCATACAAAACCTGCATATCACCCTCTCTGCATGCATGATTATTATTATTTTATATTACAAATTATTATTATTATTATTATTATTATTATTATTATTAGTAGTAGTAGTAATTATTTTTGACACATAAAGTAAAAACTTGCAGAGCTGGGTAAATATCAAAAAAATCAACCAGCATAATACAAAGCACCAAGCTTTATGAGCACAGGGCAATCTCCATTATTATAAAATACTTATATTTTAGTAAGGTAAGGTTGACTTTTAGAATAAGCAAAGCAGAGGGATGAGTAGAGAAGCTTAGAGTACCAGGGTTAAAGGAATTACTGAGGACTATTTTTGGGCTGGAAACATCTGATCAGCAGAGGGTGCTGTGACTTACACACATCTCTGTGGCAGTTTTACATGAAGTAATCTGTACGAGCAGAACTGTTCAGGGTTTACAGCACACAGATTTTGACATATTGTGCTCTTGTATAACTTTTAACTTTATTGCTCATTACTGAAACTTGATAATATTATCTGAATGAAAGCAAAATAAGTAGTTTCAGAATTTACTGTAGATGTTTAGAAAGAGCAGTCCCAGCTTTTAAAACACTAACAATGTAAATAAGGTTTTGAAATGTGAAAAAACACCTGATAATCTGTGCCAAGATACCGTACCACTGATTTTGTAAATTGTTTGTGTATTATGTTGTATTGTCAGAAAATAATATTTGTACAGCCCAAAGAAGATAACCTGTTTTTGACTATTTATTAAAAACGAATTGTTTTTAATAGAAATGGATCTCTGATACGACTCTAAGACTCTCATATCTTAAAAATCTTACAAAGTCTATCCAATTTAACTGATAACAACTTTATTATCAGTTTGATGAGCATTTATATTCAAGTTTTCTTCCTTTAAGTAGATCTACAAAACATCACATTGGTGACACAAAGGGCCGTAGATTTGTCAGATATTTTGTACGCCGCCATCTTTAAGGCTGTATTTCCTTTCCACAATGCACTTTTCTGTCTTTAATAAAGAAGCCTTAAAAATGTCTCCTGCTTTTACCCTGCAAACTTTTTTAAAACATGACAAAAGTGGTGGTAATCTCAGTAAAATGTAAATCTCAACTATAAGTGGGAACTCTACAGAGTAGATGATAATGATTTGATCTGAGACAGAATCTAAAAAGATGAAGATTTTGTCTTGACTTACCGATGCTTGTCTGTCAGTGGAGGGAAGAGCTGAGGGTCCAGGGGACCAGTCCAGAGAGTCCCTGCCAGCCGGTCCAAACTTCATCCAGCTGCTCTCCATTAGAGACCGCATGGTGGAAGGATGGGCTGGTGGGTGGGGGGTTTGAAGCCCAGCCAGATCCAGGAACTGCAGGGGTCCGAGAGTACTCACTGAGACTGGAGGAAGAGATGAGGAGGATGCATCCACTGCCAGCCCACAGGGACACTAACTGCAAAGCTGAAGCAATCAGCCTGAAATAATAAACGGGAGGGGGAGGAGGGAAGAAGAAACCAGGGCAGCAGACAGAGCGTGTGTCCAGCTAAGAGGAGACACGTCACTGGTCCTGATGGGAGGATTTAGAGCTGCTGTAAACAGCTGATCAAACCTCTGTGTCAGAAAGACAAGGAAGGAGATGGAGATGGGACCATTCAGCAGAATTGTAAAAAGTACCCTTCAAATAAAAGTTATCTTCAAATTTTACACGAAAAACAAAAACACCCTCAGAGGTCATTAAAGAACTTGCTGGTTTTGATATTCATGATCTAATCTTAAAAAACCTATTTGCTGTTTCTGTAAACTGGTATTTCAAATCAAAAATATGTCATCTGTTTAAGGTGTTGAGGAATCAAAAAGAACAGAACAAATCATCCTTTGTCTTTATTTCATCGTGGTTATTTGAACATTTTGATGCACTACTCTAAAAGGAAGGTTTATGGTTAAATAACTAATCAATGAGATAGACAGGTAGAGGTCTGAAAGCTGTTATATGCACACACCTGGCTGACCAGACAGCCAGCTGTTTGCCTCTCTGCTATGAAGTAGTTTGAATAAAGTTTTGTTACAAGTTCATGGGCTTGCAAAAAAACTTTGAGGCTTAACTGAAAAAAAAAGGACAAAAAAACAAACAAAAAAAAAACAAACAAAAAAAAAAAAACAGCTACTTCTGAACATTTCATGTAAAACTCATGATCTGGTATCATATGATCTGTAGTTCCATTTTCAGCCACTAGGTGAAATGTGTATGTTTTCAATGAAAATACATGATACAAATTCAAAACTCATCAACTAAAGCGAACATTTGAAAACCATCTCACTGACAGATTCCACTCCACTAAGCAAAATCTACTGTTAATAATTACTGGCTGCCACATATTGAGCTCTTTGAAAGAGACAACTGCTTGGTGACACGACAGCATTTAAAGTAATACTTATTGTGCTTTTATAAAATTTGGATGATTCATAGAAGAAAGTTTGTATTTTCTGATTGTTCATTCTTAATAGGCCAAATAACTTTTTCCAAAGTCGCCAATATAGCAGGAAAAAAATAGCTAAAGCATTTGAAAACATCCAGAGTCACATTTTCAAGAGTTCTCCCTGAGGACTTAGACTGTAGACGTACTCTAAGGTCGTTCTCTGAGGTTAACAATGATCAGATAAGCTAATGTAGGAGGCAGATTTTAGCAGGTTGTTATCATAGCTGTGAAGATCTGAGGAAGCAAAGCTTGAAGACAGACAGTTGAGATAAACTGCTTTTATTGTACAACACACAGAGCTGACAGGCTGCTCAGAGGAGCGCTTTGAAACATACAGCAGATACATGACTGTGAGACTGAGAAGCCAGAGCTGCTTAAAAACACTGAGAGGAGAGATTACAGGTGCTTTTTTTTTCTCATATCAAAAGCAGAAGAAAAATACACTTTTAGAAATCACAGTCACAACAATAGCTGGCCTGCTCATCGGTCTGTCTGGCTCGGGGCGTTCAATGTCAGCAAAGGACGCAAACAGTCAAACCAACCGCATGAATCAATGTGCAGAACACCTGCAACCACACCAGGAAGTGTGTACACATTTGTTTGCAAGGATACAGAATGATGCATTATAATTTTTCATAACTGGACCATCCATAGAAATAATCTAAATATAACACAAATAATAGTAATAATGCCAGAAATAATTATTTGCATTCTTGCCCTCCACTGAATTTAACAGCAAAAGGAGATGAGTGAGGGGTGTTTGCAAAACAGCCTCACTGACCTTTTGTCGTTTGTTTAAAGGACTTTGTTACACCTGCTTAAGCGGATAAAGATTAACAATCTGAGGTTTTATAAATTTTGTAGGTTAAAGTTCAACTTCTTTAAAGAGGTCCTCCGCTGTTTAGGATGACACTCATGCAGAGCTCTCGGACAGGTGAGGGAAAATGTGAAGAAAATAAAATAACATAATGAAGGGCAAAATCAAAGCAATAGAAACAAATTAATCCTCGTTTTGAGTTGTGGGTCTTTAATGTAAACCCATAATGAAACTGATTGAATACTGTGTACCCACAGTCACTGGTGGCTTATCATTAAAGGCAAACAATACAATGTCATGGCAGGATGGTAAGAGAGACGCTTGTGTCTGTGTGTTTTGTATTTCTATTTGACTTGGAGAGGCAGGGGCAGACTTTACGGAGGCCAAACAGCTGCACTGACCTTTGCAGATGTGACACAGGGTACATGAGTGAAGGAATAACACAATGAAATCCAAACAATGTTATATTCCTATGTTTTCTTTACATTAAGAGTACAACAGAGGACAGCATTTTGATTGTCTTGGCTCAGTTTTTTAAGGATCAAATGAAGTGTATGCCTTATGTCACACTGTTAAGTGGTCTGCTAACGAAAGGCAATGTGCCATAAGAAAGCTACGCATTTGATTTTAATGTAAGTTCTGGATAGCCAATCACAGTTGAAGCCATCTCCTGCCATTCCCCAGACCCATCCCTGTTGACTATGAATTATCTTTTGATTTTGAGCTTGAGTCAAAGCTGTATGTTCAGATTGAAATATGCAGATAGCTAGGAATCAAATTACTCAGATCAGTAAAATCAGTGCAAACCGCTCAGACAAGTCAGCTAAAAGTATGTTTCAGTGACAGTTTTCAGCAAAATCGTCCCATATTAGGGGAATTTCTCTGCTTTGATGTGATAGCAGTGCACAATATTGACTACAAAGAAAGACAAGACCAGTCATGCTTGATCAAGACAACAATGACCAGATCAGAGGATAAGATAAAGCACATGTATAACCTGACTGACAACCCCTAAATCACACAGCAAGTCTTAAAACCTCTGCCAAAGGGCTGTGTCCGAATTCTGCACTGCGCTGAGGCTGATTTGTATTAAATATCTTTTTTTTTTGTGAAAGCAACTTGTCATTAAATGTGACTAAAAGAGCTGGTATGCATTGCCTTTAATTTCCCCGCTTCTATACGTTCTTATGACGCCATCTGTCACGTGGTTGTCCACTTTGGAAACTGTGTCAAATGTCTGGGTCATTACTCTTCTTGGTTGGTGTCAGTGTCTGCTCTGCTTTCAGTCCCACACTGTCTGACAGTCATTTCCTCCCGATAATCAAACCCTGATAAATCGACTGATGTGCCAAATCCTCTTCAATTCACAATTTTCTTAACACTTAATCCTTAAGTTCTTTCAACGGTTATTTTTAAAAGCATGTGCACCAAGTCACTGGTTGCTTAAAGTTCAGAAAGCCCCTTAAAATCAAAAGTAGACCCTCTCAATAAACATGATTTTACTGTAAATTAGGAGTAAAAGTGCAACTTAATTTAAATGAGAAGGGTGTGAAAAAATAGGGAAGAAAACTAAGAGCTTTAAATCTAGCAAAAAAACTTCTCAAATCATTCTGCTGTTAGAGTGCAAGACCATCTACATGAGGGCTTTCTTTCAGTACTGAGCTATAACCAAACAAATCAAATCTGCTTAGAGTGCAGATGAAGTTTTTGCGTGTGATAAATTTCAGCCGGCTTACACATTTAAAAATTCAATTCTATTCCAATCCAATGTATGAAATGTACATAAGTCGTAAAACTCAGAGATCCAGCTATAAGATTTAGTTCAAATCATAAGAAATATTGACACACAAACAATACTAGTGGGACCTGAAAGAAGGATAATCGTCCGAGCGATTGACTCAATGAAAAGCGCGCAGAATTGTTGCATGACACTGACACATTAGTCGACTGTTTTTTTTTTCAGATGGAAAGGCCGTCATGGATTTAACACCAAGTAAATCCTGCCCTTCACTGCAGCCGATCACACTGAGAGGCCACAACATCTGTCCACTAACCGCTGGCCGTCAAATAACAGGGGGAGAAAAATGGGGACGGGTCAGGGGCACTGGGAGGGGCAGAAGGACGAGGGAGACGGGACAGGGCAGGGCAGAGAGACGAGACATGCTAATGCTGTTTGTCGAGAAGACTGACCCTACAAGACAGATTTCCAAGTAGGAACAAGGACAAGGTTTTCATTGACCCCAAATGTTCTGATCATCTGTTAACTGATGTCACTTCAGTCTCAAGCATGACTGCGGGTCAAAGGGGGTCCTGACACAATAGTAGATTTCTTCAGAGGGTTTTTTGTTAAATGGCCTATGTGATAAATGCTTATTCTTTCAGAGTTAAGCTCAAGTACAACAGACAATCTTTTCACCTCATGATAACGGCCATGACTTGGATTGGTATTTTTGTTTTTCACAGTTTTCTTTACCTTTTGAAGTTATTATTATACCACGGATTCTGATTTTTCAGATTATATCATTTTGATGTCTGTCATTTCTTTGTGCAGTGGACTGTCGCTTTGCATAAGAACTCTACAGGACCATCAGTAGACATATTAAGCCCTAGCAATGAACAGAAATGGCAAATTTGAAATCTACTTGTTACTGTGATTGAAAAAAGTGAGTACAGCAAGGTTAAATCAATGGTTTTAGTGTATAAGAAAGACAATGTCAGCAAAGTTTTACATAAATAAGAAAATCTTGCCTCACCTCTGCTCTGATTGGTTTTAAGAAGGCTGCAGGGTAAGGGCTGGTGTCCACTGACTGCGAACGCTGCACTGTCAGTGGAAACTGCACCCATACTTTATACAAAACCATGCAGTGTAGCATTTGCAGACTCAGCATAAATGCTCCAGTGTTATCTGTTTTTGTTGTTGCTCTTGTTGAAAAGAGTACATCTTCTGGAACAGTGTCAATGGCACTAGTCGGCATTGCCAGCCAATCAGATTCAAGACAGGGTGGGACTTGTGATGTCAACATTCAGTACCTTCACATGCACAGCTAAGTTAAGCTGCAGTTAAAGCTCCATTTGGTGATTTGATTGGACAAAAAGAGAGTTACTGACAAAAGCCTCAGCTATGATAGGTGGTGACATGCCTCCTTTTAGCTTGTTAGCACCAGGCTGTCTCCAAGTTGACCAATTATGTATCAAAATGATACAAGTAAATGAATCACCTGTTAGCAAGAGGCTAGCACGAGCTAACAGAAGATACATCAAATACTGAAAACAGTTACTTCTATACCTCTGTATTATTTGTTTATATGACAGGAAAGTTACGTCTTTTCACATCATCACTTTGTCAGGTTAGGTTTTTTTTACTACCTCGCTTTTTAGCAGCACATTAGTGCAATTCAACTTCTTTTGGCCCACAGTACAAACAATGGAGCGTGTGCAGAGTACTTATTTCAGCTTTAGTCTGGGTGTGCATGACAGAGAAAATCGATTCCCAACCACACTGTGATTTTAGTCAAACTAAGGCAATAAATCTAAGATGGTGTTTCAACATGAAGATGTCAACCACACTCATATTTTCAAAGGCACAATTTCCAGGTCTGTAGCCTCTGCCAATGCTACTAATTTCAACCAATTGTTTTACATTTGATCTGTAAAATGCAATTGGATAAAAGCATAAATGAAGTATACACAACATTTTAAATTAGACTTGCAGCTACTACTGAGGGAAGCAGGAGTGCTGTGGGAAGTGTTGCATTGCCTTGCAACAGCAAGGGAAGTGGTCTAATGTTGACCATGTGGGCACGGCCAGCAAGAAAAAAAAAAATTTAAACCGTGTAACCGATCATTGGAATAACCTTGTAATCTGTATGCCTGTGTCTATGAGAGTATTGGATATCCCAAATCTTCAGACACATATAGCTTAACACTTTGCTTTTTCTATTTTTCTTCATTGACATTATTCACAGAAACTGGGACAGAAGGCGTGTTGCACAGGTAGGGCAGATGTTGGTCTTTAACCTTCACTGAAACATGCAAAAGTGCTTCAGGCTCTTGCACAGTAAACGTGCAGAGTTTGGGATACAAACGATGACAGTTGATAGTAAATGTAACTGACAAATGCCAGTAGTATGTAAAATAATTGTAGAAGTGGATTTGTTTTCTCTATTTTTGTCATTGCATTTGATTTACTGATTGCTGTTGAGACTTTAAGAGGATTTTAACAATAAATCTCAATTGAATTTAAAATAAACGGCCTAACCTACTTTAAGAAGAAACAAAGTCTCAAAAACATGTGTTGTTGTAGCATTTGCCTGATTGATGGACTGCCATATTTATCATGTAAATATTGTAGTCCATGTTTGAGACATGTGTGATGTTATCACTCTATCCTACGTCATTGTCGTAATTCCTTTGTGGAAATGAATTTTTAGAGCCAACTGAGGTGACACAGGGGGAATCACAGAGCAGCATTGTCCTTCATTCCAGGCATCCAGTATAAACCATTTCAAGGTTTCAGTCCTGGACCTGGTTTGTTAAATACTTACACATATTTCAATCAGCTACACAGAACCTTAAGACATCCTCTTTTCTGTTCATCACCATGAAAGCACAACAGCCACAATGAGGCTATGACTGTTGTTATGCTGTTATGAATTTACTTGTATCCTCTTACTATCATCCGTGTTCATTATTTCAATATTTTGGTTTGATTGAACTCCATATAAAATACTTCCACTGTCCAATCTCTCCAAAATGGTTGATTTTAAACGCGTTAATAAATAAAGAAACTTGATTAAAAATAAATAAATACATAAATGAATGTTTTTAAGAGACAAAAAAGAAAAAAAAAGAAAACAGGCAGCATCCCTTAAGTGGTGGAGCAAGGGGTTGGCAAGGGGGCAGCTTTGGCCACCTCTGAAAGTATGAAAGGCAACTTACATTATGTGAAAGAAAATTAGATTTTTGGATTCTGTGATATTAGAAGTCAAAGTAGCTGTGATTGGAGATAACCACCCTAGTTTTTTTTTCTTTTGCATAGGAGTAAAGCTAAATACGTGAAGCTTACCCAGAGCTCCATGCAAGAAATTAGTCATGTGTATTGAAACTGAAAGGGTCAACCAAGGAATGAGCTTTATACGTGTCTAGAAAACTTTGTGTCTTGTTTTAAAATGTAATGTGTCCAACAAATGAGTTGTTGGAGGAAAGACGATAGGGGTCATAAAAATTTGAGCTTACCAAAGATAGAGTAGGTAAATAGCGGAGTTTGATGGCAAAACTGGCAGTTCTGACTTTGATTGTTTTTAATTTTAAGGCTACTTATGAAGTAAAAATTCAGGATTTCAGAAAACCTCATGTATATTTAGTCCCATTTCATTTCCTGTGAGAAGGTTTCTCTTTTCCCCATTTCGGTGTCTCTTACTGATTTTTACCTGCACATGTGTAAGTTGTGTTTTATGACTAAAAAAGTCATCATACATTATTTTAGCAGTGAAAAAGTTTCACTTATTGTGGATATTGACTGAGGAAAACAAGCTTAGTCTCGAGTGACATCTATCCCCTCAACAATTTCACGTATAAAACACTGCGATAAAGAGATTTTGATCTTGTTGAATGAATTGTTTACTTTTACAGGTCATGAAAATCCATCACTGTTGGTTCAGTCAAAAAATCCTCACAGGGGCTTCAAGAAGGTGGATTTTTGTGCGTGGGCTGTGGTGAATGGTTTTGTGATGCATTTCTTAAAGTAAACAGCATTCTTGTAGTTTTTACTTCATGCACTGGTCTCAGATCAAAACACTGCCATTACCATAACCTAAATGACAAAAATTTGCCTTAGCAACTTTTAAGTAATGAAACCTGACAGAGTACAGTATATGTGGTGCCAACGCAGTGACTCATTTATGACAGAAACCCTGTTAAAGTCCAGCGCATCCATCCAAAACAACCAAAAAAGAAATATTTCAATGTAAATAAGAATAGAAGATCCAAGCACATACTGCAACAGGTGATACAAAAAACAAAACAGCTCTCAATGTACTGCCTCTGCATAAATATATGCACATAGATGTGGTTGAAATAAAGTGTGATATATCATAGGCATTAAACATATAAATACACATACTGTATGTTTACAAACTTTGGCTAAAATAAATACTTGATTGCAGTTTGGTTAAACACTCTTTGTTTGTGAATAACAGCCAAAAACATTCCTTTAAATAAGACTGAGCTCTGCGTTTAAAGCTGCATGACGAAAATGCGTGCCAAGGGAAAGATGTCCTCACTCTGTAAAGCTCAAGAAACAAACAAACAAACAAATAAATAAATAAATACAACAGCATAAAAAATGTGAACACAGTGACCTGATTCTAGTGTATGATTTTTTTTCACTTGTGATCTGCCCTTGTGGCGTCTGTGCATCATATTTTTCAGGGATTAACCAGAAGTCAGAAACTGTGGGGCAGATTTAGTTTTCCTTCATCGAGAGATATATTCTGATGTGCAATTTTAAACCAGAGGCCAAAAATGCACATGAAAATAAATGAATGTTGGGATTTCTGTGATGATATGGAAAATGTCATTTGCCTTCATTGCAGTAAGCACTTTTTTGACTTCACAGCTTATTAAAAAAATAAATAAATAAACAAAAAACTGTTTATGCTGTGAACTGAGCATTTTTATGAAAACTGTGTTTTTAAAAGGCTTTTCAAACCAATTACCAGCAAATCATACATTAGTGCTTCACGGCTTTATTTAAAGTGGTGTTAAATCAGTGTGAATTATGGCAGAGCTACATCTTTGGTCCAATTTGCTGTTCTCGCCTGCTTCTGTGATTTATAGCATCTGTTAAACTGGCCTGTTTGACCGGTGTGTTTGTTGTGGTGATGAGCATCTTTAACCCAAGAGCAACAGGCAGAAATGGCACATTCACATTCACTCTCACCAGCCTATCAAATCTCTAACTTGGTAAAGCCTCTGAATGTTCAGCTAGTCTGACACGCTGCGGGACCATCAGCTGATGAAACACTCTGTTAATCTACTGCATAGTGACACCGCGTCAACCTCATTCATCTTTCACCTGTTTTTCATCCTTCACTGACACACTGACTGAATAAATAGTCCAGTACTTTTGCGTTTCTTTGCCGCAGCGTCACAGAATGATGTCATAGAGTCTGCCAACGCGGCCCAGCCACTCACGTAGAGCCTGGCGAACGCGGGCGTCGGTCACATGGCAGGTGAGCTGGCTGAGGCAGGGGTAGAAGACCGGCTGGAGCGCCAGAAAGCAGGAATCTGACAGGAGGAGGACTTGGTTGAGGAGAGTCAGGACCATGTTGGTCCATGCCTGTGCAGAAAAAGATGCTGTTATCAAAACTCAGGAAGATGTTTGTCTTGCAAAAATCAACCTGCTGCCAGTAAATGCCTATGTAGAGATTTAGTGAAGAGAAACACACATGCTGTAGGATTTTAGGTCACTCTCAAGACTAATAACTACTGCTGGAAAAATGACTAATACAAAAATATGAAAGAAAATTTCAACAGCAGCTGCTACAACACTGGGTAGTCAAGTATGAGGCAAGTTAGAAATTCACACCATTGTTCTATTTCAAGCTTGAACTTGCTTCATCAAAAAGAGTCTGAAATGTGCACTGATTTGTGCCTCAAGACCATTAAACAATCGGAGTTGTGACTTTTGTGACCTACTGCACCATACCAGCTGTCCATGAAGGCCCTTAAACATAAGTGAACATCAAAAAGTGAAGTAGAAAAAGAAAGAAAGTTTGAGCCTGGTCATTTTTAATCTAATTTAATTGTGATTGAAGCACAGACACTCTGACTTTGTTGTCTGCTGAGACAGAAACACCACATCTGTGACTTTAAAGCTCCTATGAGAAGTTTTTAATGTTTATGAAGTCAACTGGAATTCATATTGACGCCTTTGTGTGATCTCTGAAAACAACCAAGAATATTAGGGACAAGATGAGCAAAACACACCGTAACACCGAGTTAGACAACCCCTCAAGAGATGAATGTTGCCGACTGCTTGCTTCTCTAGTTATTCCAACTTTAGTAACTATTGCAGGATAACAATACACAGCGGTCTACGTCTCCACTAACAAACCTCAATCAAAAAGCCACTTTATAGCCACAAATAATGCTCAGAACAGCACCTAACTTCATCAACAGTACATATAGGGCCCCAGCCATAGTACTAGCCATCAAACATCTTTTAAGCTTTGCCTAATTTCTTTAGCAAAGAGACCAGACACAAGGAGCCCTGACGAGTCAATCACTGAGTGAAGTGGATAATTTCCATGAAGTAATAATCACCATATTAATCATTTTGCACTGCAGACACAGTAGTTTTTCTGCTTTAGCCTCTCGGTCTGATTGCATTTCCCTGGGGCTCCCCCACAAGCAAGCGACTGCTGGAAGAGAGTGGGTGAGTTGTGCTTAGTCTCTTTGCTAAAGAAACCAGGAAAAGCTAAAAAGATGTTTAGTGACTAGTACTATGGCTGGGACCCTGTATGTACTTTTGATGAAGTTAGGTGCTGCTCTGAGCATTATTTGTGGCTATAGAGTGGCTTTTTGGTTGAGGTTTGTGCGTGGAAACATGGACCCCTGTGTATTGCTATAGTGCGGTTGTTACTAAAGTCATCTCTTGAGGGGGGGTCTAACTCAGTTTTACGGTGTGTTTGACCATAATTTAAATTTATGCCAGAATATCCCTTTAAGCACTCAGAGGATAGGATAAGAAGAGACTGCTTTGTCCACAGGGGTCGCCAATGTTGACACAAACTGAAAGTTCCTCACAGGAGCTCTAAGAAAATAAGACATTGCATTTTAAGAACTTTATGTATATTTACTTATCTACTGGTTTGTTTTAAATAACCTGTTATTGATCAACAATACGATGTGTTGAGTTTGTTTTCTCTTGTTTTCTTAGAGGCATTTTTGATGTTTAATTATTTTATAGAGAGCTGTGTCCATCTGAAAACACAAACACACTTTCATTGCACAGCAAGTCAACAATCTCAGGCAAATTTGACCTTGTCTGAAGTAAAGTGCCTAAGTAAAGCCAAAAGTCAAACCTAAAATGTTGTTAAACATGATACACTGCCCTTATAGTTATTGGTCCTCAACCAAACCTTACTTGTAATCTTTAAATCATAATCATCACATCTACCCATAGGACCCACTCTCTGTACCTGGATCTGAGCTTCAGAGTCCCTCAGTGAAATGCTGTGGGAGCTGATTGTGGATCCTGACCGTGGTCTCTTCTCCTGCCTCAGGACTTCGGGTCCTGCACTGACCGAATGCCTCAGAGGAGGACCTTGCTGGTCCACCAGATGCTGGGGCCTCTGTGGGGGCCTCTGTGGTTCCACAGGGCCCCTCCTTTCCCCAACCCCTCCTGCTGCTGCTGCCCGGCCCTGCTCCCTCATGAACAGGTTGAGCTGGCTCTGCTGCGGCTGCTGCTGCTGCTGTTTTCTGCGCTTGTACTCCATCATCAGCTTACTGATAGTTTTGTCTGTGGCGATGGTGTACAGTTTGTTTCCGGCACTTTCCCACCACTCTTTTCTCCTTCCAGGCCCGCTGCTACCAGGAGCTCCTCCTGCCGAGCTCCCAGTAATACCGGATTCTCTTCTCTCGCCTCCAGTACGAAAGTGATGGGGCAGACTACCTGTGCAGCTGTACGGAGAGGGGATGAATGTTTTATTTAGACATGACCAACAACCGCTGACAAATAAAACCAGTGTAAACCTGCATAAAGCTGCAGTTCACTAAATGGCCACTTGAGGCTGCTCCAAAAATGAGTCCCATCCTATACAACCTGATGGTAAAAAAGAAAAGTTCAAAAGGGAAGTAAAGTAACTTTGCTGTCAGTTTTATTTCCATGGGGACTTAAGTGCCTTTGGTCACGGACCTGTGGCAGTCTGAAATAATAGGTCTACAGAGACCACCTTCCTTGATGCTCTGATTGCTGCCTCAGAGAAAGAAGTGGACTAGAAAGGTGATTATGAAATTGCAGATGCCCTGGCATCCTTTGAGCCAGCATGTAAAGGCATTTCAATAAGTGAAAAAGGAAATGAACGAACAAAGAGCATTAAAGGTGGGTTAAGATAAGATAAGATAAGATAAGATAAGAAGAACTTTATTGATCCCTGGGAAATTCAATTGTATGTCGCCTCCCTTGACATGTCTCTAGAAGTCATCAACTATTTACACAAAGGTTATAAAGTCTGATGGCTGTGGGTACAAAAGATCTTCTGATAGGCAGGATCTGAGGAAGCGCCAGTTTTTGGGAGAAATCTTGAATGTAAACTCTACCCCTCCCAACCAGTTTTCCCCTCAGCTCCTCCTCTCCCCTCCGTCTCTGCTCCAGAAAGCCCCGCCCACAAACAGACACTCCTGCTCGCTCGTATCGTTTCAATTAAATTCAGATATAACGCAGATAAATACTTCAGATTATAACAAATGGGGCCCAGTCAACGTGAAAGTATAAAGCATTAGTGCTACTGTAGATGCCAACAGACTAGCAGCAAACACAACGTTTGCAGGACTTCTAAAACCAGGATAAAGTGACATACTCCAGGACCCGAGGTAAACAGTTTAGCGGCGCTACAACACGCAGAAGGTCCCGTTTGACAAGAAACACGTCTGTTACAGACACTTGGCTTACTTTGTTCAAGTGGTTTACCTGTCCAGCAGAAAGATAACAGGGTCCGTAAGATCCCAAAGTGTCCCCCATTATTTATGCTGATGTTGACCCGGCTTTTTAGCTCTTGTCCGGTCTATCTAAGTTTTAAGCACCCGTTATTCTGCCAGAGTCTCTGGTATTTGCTTTGTTTTATTACTTGTGTTTTCTGTACTTTCTGGTGGGTTTCTACTGTCCAATGTTGTAGCACGCAAAATTTGTTTGGGCTCATGCACGTTATTGGAGGACGTAGAGCGTCTCTCACAACATGAGGAAGCAGCGTCTGCCTCACAGCCAATCAGGTCTGGGAGGCGGAGAATGGCGTTGTTTACAGTCAGAAAGAGCGGGCTGCTCAAAAAATCTAAAATGTTGACTGCAGAGACATAACAAAACACAGCGATGTCGTTATATTACCAAATGTCATCAATAACTAATAGCAATTTACTGATATTAAAAGCTTTTTTGGATATACACCACAAAAAATGACGCTTCTTTAACAGAATCTTGCCTACCCCACCTTTAAACAGACAGCGCCAGGCTGTGGTGATCTACAGCTAGACTACATGACTAAGAGAGAATAAATCCTAATTTCAGTTGAAGATCTGAGAAAACTCAGTCAGACCTGAATCCTGGACTGGGTGTGGGCGTGTCTCCTGGTGATGCTGCACTCGTGTCAGCTTGACATCTGGACCCGCCTTCCTCTGATGGTGTCCCTCTGGCTGAAAGCCCACCAGCTGATGTCGGGGTGGAAGTCTCAGACTGAAAGAGAGGCAGGAAGAAGACGTGATCCCCTCCTCCTGTTGTTCCTCCTCTCAGCAGTGCCGTCTCCTCCAGTGTGCTCTCCAGGTCCCGGTGCATTTGGATGTAGCTGTTACAGAGGTCCATGCAGAGCTTGTAAAGGCGTTTGACCAGCCAGGCCCAGTCTGCGCTGCCAAGAGGCTGCACGCTGAGAGATGGGATTGGGGCTCGCCAATGATGACGCTTCTCCCGGCCACGAGGGGGGCTGACCTGGGAGGAGACAAAACAGCGCAAAGTGGATTACTTGATATTTAATGTAAAAAACATTGGTGACTATTCTTGTAACACGAGAAAAGAAGAGAAACACAGTTTTATTAACTGGTTTTCACACATGTATTTTCCTACTATGACTAGTACAAAACAAAAGCTGTAATCATCACCTGTGCTGTTTCTTCAAAGATGTCTTCATCCTCTGAGGAAGCAGAGCCAGGATGAGAGGAGTCAGAGCTGCCCTCCTCTTCCTCATACAGGATCCTTTTTACCTGAATACAGGTGAAACAAGTGTCAAACACAACTTGATTCCTCTGTTAATATGTTTAAGATCACAGAGTCTTCAGGGGGTGGTTGCTTGGTGACAGTTCGCAGACTGTTCAAAACTGTGCTGCGATGAAATGACTAAAAGAGTTTAAAGGAGTGACTTTTGTGACAAAATTGTTTTTTACATAAAGAGACCTGCTCCGAACATATTCCATTACATCTACCAAGGAGCAAACGGGAAAAAATGGAGGACAAAAAAATCAGGCCCAACATCAACATAAATTTGCAGGGCTACATGCTAACATAAAGGCTAGGCCATATTAACAACCCCACATCTGTTCTTCTGGCAAATGTGCAGCCCCTTAGCAACAGTATGATTAAATGGAAATTCCGGCGTAAAATTAAGTTAGGGTCAAACACACCAGAACACTGAGTTAGACACCCCATCCAGAGATGAATGTTGCCGACTGCTTGCTTCTTTAGTTATATCAACTTCAGCAATGACTGCACAATAGCAATACACAGTGGTCTACATCTCAGCAATAGTACGAGCCATGAAGCATCTTTTCAGCTTTGCCTGGTTTCTTCAGCAAAGACACCAAACACAACTCACCCACTCTCCCTCAGCAGCTGCTTGTTTGTGAGGGAGCCCTGATGAATCGATCGAGTGAAGCGGAGTTTAGCAGCTCAAGGAAGAAAATTTATGATTATTACTTTATAGAAATGCAATCAGAGTTCTTGTGTATCTTGTATGTGCACTGCAGACTAGGCCTGGACGATATAGAAAAAAAGCATATCGATAAAAAATAAATCATATTGATCGATATCGATAATTATCGATATAATTATTATAGTTATTTAACATATATTTTAATTGCAGCCCTGGATGTTTTATGCTATTGCTTAATGACCTACTTTTAATAAAGAACACACAAGCACTGAATTCAAATTCAAACCTTTATTCAACCACCTTTTTTATTTTACCACAACTGAAAGTTTTTTAAAAAAGAACTAAAAAAAAAAAGAAATCAACTTAAGGGGCCTGAGTGACGTCAGTAAATACTGACAAACATAAAGACTAAAGTGACCAGAAAATCTGATAAATAAATATTTAAATAGTCTTTTGATGAAAATAAACAAAACAAACAAATATATAAATAAACAGAATAGCTTTAGGTGGGAATAGCATACTACCAGTTTTAACTGTGTGAGAAACTGCCCACAGCCTGGTGTCTGAACACTGAAATATTTCTCCCGGGGCCGGGAGATTTATTTTTTTAATTATCATGTGATTGACTTGATACGCAAACTGAGCACGAGAAGCAGGACTTATCCACGCCGGTGTTGTGTCGTAGAATGCACCCCTGCCGAATGCACCCCCTGCTAGTAGCCATGATCCAAATACTCGCGTCTTTGTTAAATATGAGCTCATTTTCTTCCACTTTAAGAAGCTAATGAGTGGACGGGATGCATTCTTCTCACCTTTTCAACCCCTGACCCATTTTCATGCCTGAAGCGCTGTGTTTGAGAAATACTTGCGGCCGGGCACTTCATATCGCGGGTCGAGAGTGGCTAGAAGCTGGTCGAAGCCAGGCTTTTCAACGGTAGTTATTGGCAGTATGTCCCTCGCTATGAAGCATGTTACTGCATGGGTGATGTCCTTATGCCGCTCGGACGCTTTGTCGTATTTTGGCAAGAAACGAAGTCCAGTTTGGTCTGCTTCACATGCTTTGTGCTGGTGCTGGCAGCGGTTCCAGAGGATTCCTCCTCCGACGACGTGGAGCCGCGGCGCGGCCGACACAGCTCGTACTCCTGCGGGTGGGACCGGTTTAGATGGTAAAACAAGTTGGTTGTGTTACCAGACTTGGTTTTTACCAATTCTCTGCAAATTTTGCAAACGACCGCTGTTCGCTTTTTGTCAGACTTCTAAAAACCAAAACATTGCCATGCTGGTGAACTACTGACAATGTCCTCCGCTTCTCCTTGCTGTATCATTTTTTCTAATACACGTGCTGTCTGTTGTGGTTTGATAGGGGCTGGGCTTGGTGCCGTAGCGTACCTGGGTCTGCGTTTGTGATTGGTTGGGAGGAAGTAATGACTGTAGTAAAAGCTACATGATAGGCTATGATGAAAAAGAAAGGGAAACTGTGTTTTTCTATCGAACTTTTTATCGACCCGTTTTTTTTCTATCGCAGCACACGTCTATCGATCGATATATATTGTTATCGAATTATCGTCCAGCACTACTGCAGACATGGTAGTTCTTCTGCTTTAGCGTCTCAGTCTGATTGCATTTCAGTAAGTAATAATCATAAATTTTCCGATGCACTCAGCAGTACGGTGTGTTTGACCCTAACTTAATTTTACGAGGAATACCCCTTTAAAACAGAGGATGACTTCATAAGAAGTTGCACGGAAATGCCTGCAACTGCAGAAGAGCCTTTAGCTGTGTTCATCTTTTTTTAGACTGCTTCTTATTCTTAGACACCATCATCGTCTCATTGAGTTGTTGTCCTTGCACATGTCTTTGTATCTTGTATGGCTAATGTGCATGCTAACATGTGCCTTTTCATGCACTAAAAAGATGAAGAGCAATGGTCAAATATTTAAGTGTTGTCTTAATCTTTGTTCTTTCTTAACCAAAACTGATTCATTCTTGACTTGTTTCACCCTCTGTTGTCTTTTGAACCTGAGTTCATTAGTTGTCTAATGCTGGTCAGATGGCTTAAATTGGATTCATCAAATCTGTTCAAGAGAAAAAGCTGCCTGCTTCTGCTAAACATGAGGTCTGAAAAAGACACTGAAACCAAACAGTGAAGAGTTTAAACTATCATCTTGAGAACTCTAAAAGATCTCAATGGAAGTTGAAAGCTCTTAAAAAGTTTGTTACTAAAAAATGACCTTAAGTATCCAAATCCACAAATGACATTTCAATGTATCTGCGCTGCATGAAAATACAGACAGCATGTGAGTGAAGACAGCTGAGGAGTTCTGATGATGTGTTCACCTGCTGTGCAGTCATGCCATCAGCTTGGCTAAGTGTGGCACACAGCAGGGCCTGGAAGTACAGGTTGAAGCTCATGGCAGACTGACGATACAGATTTGCCGCTCCGCAAACACCTGACACCTTCATCAGAAGGTACTTCAGACCCGGGCGAGTGTCAAAGTCCCGTGCTGTCCTGCAGGAGAAGAAACCAGGGGATCAGGGTGTAAAGCTAATTAATATCATCAACATTACTAACATGAACACTTGAATCATTAGAACCAGCATATATGACAATGTTGTCTGCATATACCCCTGACTTTCTCACCTGTAAGAGTCCAGCAGCAGATCCAGGATTATAGCTAAGTTAGTCATGGAGATGTAGCGCAGGAAACCCGCTGAGGCTCTGCTGGGGTCAGAGCTCACAGGTGTGACCCTCTCATGACCATCAGGCTGCTTGACAAACTCCTCCAGCAGGATGTCGTACAGGTTTTGAAGCAGAACCTGGTGGGATAGAAGGCTCACTACAATGGTCCTGAATGGGATCCTGCAAAATTCAGAAACAGTTTAAAAATAAATAAGAACAATAGACAGTTTTTTTTACATGGTAGTTAACTGTTACAGTAGCTTCTTTTGTGGCATCTAGAGAAAAGTGTTTGGCTTTAAAAGAAGCTTTGATAGCACTTTTCCTTCCAAGTGAAATCCTACTAGGGCTGGGCGATTAACCAAAAATTTACAGATACCGAAATTTACGACAATAACCGACCTCATTTGGCCCATATCGGTATATTCTGTGTCAAAAAAAGGAACAAAGAGGGAAAGACATGTGAGGAGATGGAGGACAGTTCAAAAGTTGTAGCTGCTGGAGCAGCAGCTGAAGTACACGAAGTTAATGTGGGAGGGGGTGAGCAGCTTGTGAAGTAGTTATCGTCCATTTATTGTTATCGAGGTGAACTGCTCAATTTGTTGTGATATTAATTTGAGGCCATATCACCCATCCCTAAGTCCTATTTAATTCATGAAATTCAATGACAAACATTTCAGGTATAGGTTTCAAAATAAACTTCAAATATAAATGTTGTTCATCACACAGATAGGCACACCTCATCACACTCACAGATGGCAAATAAGTCAAAAACTAAACTGTGACAATGTTGTGAAATTCTGAGTCATTAACGCTTGAGAGACCACACAAACCCTGTACGGATCCAAACTGCATAGGTATCTATTTTTACAGTGTAAAGCATGATAGAAAAATCACACGTCAGAGAAAATAGCCTTACCCAATTTTCCTGTAACCCCAGCAGCAAAAAGACAAGCACAGATGGAAAATTAATTACCTCTGTTAGAAATGAAGGCTAAAGAGAGAAAGGAATGTGTGAATCAGAGAGCGGGGAAAATGTGCAGCAAGGGGTCAGGGCTGGGAATCAAACTAGCTGCTGCCACAACACAGAGCCTTTGTATATGGGGTTCTTGGTTTGTTACCACAAGAGAAATAACTTTTCATGACAAGTTGTCGACAACTATGGAAATCTTGACAATAAAATGTGAAGAAGCTGCTGACCTAAATGCAAAAGCGAAAGAATCATAATTTTGCAACAGTTTTTTCCTTTTTTTCAAAGGAAAAAAAGTGTAAAAACACAAAGGTCAATTAAAAAAATCTAAAAATTCAATCAATTTTTCAGGGTTTGGGTGTGAAAATAAGAAACTGAGAGTGAGTGCATGAGTGTGTAGGCAGACTACCTTTTCTGAGTGTGTCCATTGGACTGGGAGTCAGGGGGCAGCTCTATGATGAGGACACAGGACTGTGCGTGCTCGAAGCCTTCCTTGTTGTTTGGTGTCTTTGGGGAGCACTGGGTGTCCAACATAAACACCTGGGACACAAAGAGGACATGTAAACAGACCTGGATTGGCTACAGTGGTACTAAAACTCCTCTTTAGCCCATACTGACCTGCTGAGCCATTGCCTTGATCCTCCAGTACTCTGCCTCAGCTGAGGGAGAGTGGGATGGAGCTGCCACCTTCACCTCACAGGCGTCTCCAGAAAAGCTGTCTGAACCGCTATGAAAACACGCGAGAAGGTTCTGCAGGAAAACAGAGAGAGAAAGAGAAAGGGAGAGAGTGAGAAAGCAACCATATGTGTCAAATACAAATAGTGTATTAAATATAAAAGCAAACTTCTGGCCTTCCCTTCTTTAAATTTTCTGCTAAAAACACTAAGAACCACATTCCCACACCTTTGATTTCCTCACTGTAATGACCCAAATATCTGTGTGTGAACAACTCTCTATGACACCAGGTTAACAGCCTGTATGAATGACCATCTGTAATGGCATCATTAATCAATATGCTTTAATGGTTTTTAAATCCCGACTGAAAACTTATTTTTACCCCTTGGCTTTTAACCCAGCATGAAAGTTGTGTGGTCTGTCTCTGTCTGTTCTTTTATTGTTTTTTTTTTATTTATTTATTTGCTCATTCAGTAATTTTATTTTATTGTACTGTACTGTGCAGCACTTTGCTAAACTTAATTGTTTTTTTAAATGTGCTTTATAAATAAAGTAGATTGTATTGGATTAGAATATGCTATTTAACCATTGAGGGTCATATTTCAGCTCCATCTGCTAGTCGGCTCAAAGCTGAGAAAGAAATTCAAAAAGACCTCTTGTGATGGAGCCACAAAAGATCTGTGGAACTACAACCAATTCCCGATATCTTTTTGACCTTTAAATTTCACCTTGACCTGAATGTCAGACCTGTCTCTTTTATTAATTAACCATACATCTTTATGTAGACAGACTTAGGCCCTTTTTTTTACAATATAGTGTAGTTATTTTCTACCACACAACGTTTAGTAATATGTCAAAAATCCCAAACCCACGACTAAATTACACTCACAGAAATATTTCGGCCTAATTGCGTACTAACTTTCCATCCATTTGAATGACTTAGATTCATTATAAACAGGCTAATAAACTTTATGTGCTGCATATTTGTCTGTCAAATGTAAAAAAGATTTTAGAACTCGATTTATGTAATAACACAAAAAAAACAATGTTTTTAGAATAAATAATGACAGTTTTATGGATTCATCTTTGATAACTCCAATTTGTTTCATGAAATTTAATTAAATTAATCTTGATTGATCAACAGCTCATCATATTTACACTATATTCATACACTTAAACTGATTTAATTGAATTGTTTTCAAAGTAAAAGATTTATGCTGATTGTAAGAAATCTAAATAAATAAATTCTAAAAAAAAAAATAATTTAAATATAATCAAATAGATTTAAATACATAAAAAATAAACAGAGATTTATTTTTCTGAGCATTAAGTACAGCTGACAAATTGCACTTTTCACCCTGATTTAAAGTATTACACATTTTAATACTGGCTGCACGTATTTCATTAAATCTGACCTGAATGCAGTGCTAATGAAAAATTCCTCTTTTTTTTATAAACCTATAAACCTCGTACATCTATAAATCTGTAAACCCAGTTCAAGGTCATGTGTTTATGTGTTTGAAAGCATAAGCTAAATGTTAAGGATTTTCTTCCATTTACTCTAAGCTTTACATTAGGGGCTTCCAGTGTCCACAGATACTAGCACACTTCCACTTTCAGTTATTGTTCCCTGGTAATATAAACCTGTTTTTCAGTCATACTGCACTACTGAGCAGTTCTGAATTCCCAAACTAAACTAACTCACTGGTGACTCCACAGACATAAAATCTTAGTGTTTTTCTTAGCCTATGACAAGTATGTACAACCTCTGATATATTTTATACAGTAGGTGTGGGATAAAATGCCATTTTGCATTATTGTGGATTGTGTTTGAATTTTCTCTGTTAGGAAAAAATAGATATTTTTATGAATCCAAAGTAAAACAAAATTAAGAATCTAAATGGATGGATTAACAGACGGGCTATAATACTGACATTTCAGAGACACTCAATCTCAATACAGTCATTCTCACTATAAAATTACATTTCCTCCACAGGACTTTCCCAGATCCTTTTGGGGACCAAAGGCACCAGGGTCCAAAACTCTAGAGATATTTTCTTAACCTCTGCTGAAAAATTTCCCTGCTGCAGGTAGATTGAGCCACAAGTACTTGTGAACCTGAATTTTGTTTCTCTTCAGACAGTATTTTTGTGACTCTAATGAAACTGCAAGTGAACAAAGACAGACCAAGAAGGACCACCAGGCTTTACTAAGTATCTCTGCAGATGACAAAAATCCAAACAGGAGACCATGTAGTTACTTAAAAAACATTTCCTAAAACTAAGAGCTGGGTGTCTTGGACTGAAAAGGTCAGAATATCACATGACATCGCGACCATGAAAAAAACAAAACAAAAACAAACAGATCCTAGATCTCAATGTTCAAAATGTAATTGCAGTATAGGCTTAAAGTGCCACTAGATAACAGGCGCTCTTATATAATCACCTATGATGCACCATATGACAGTGATGTTTGTCTTTGCATGCCTCACAGTCGAGAGACAATTACATAAACAAAACTGCATGGTTGTGAGTGCAGTTCAGAGTTAATGTTATGATTTCTCCTGATACTTTGAGAGATAAACTCTCGAGGCTCTGTCAAGGCTATAGTAATCACTTTTGGTGCTCATCTCATAAGTTCCATAAATCGCTGCAGCAGATGACTACAAATGGTGGAGCTGCTCTGATACAGAAAGCAGTATCAAAACCACTGTGGCTGCGAGCAAATGCTGTTGAAGAGTCATAGAAGAAGAGCGCTGCTGAGGAGTGTGTATGGTTAAAGCTGGCAAAATGTCTGCTATCAGTGAAAACAAACCGATGATTTAAAATCTATACCTTTAGAATAAAAATGAAGAAAATCAAAACTAGAGAAGAAGGAAATAAAGCACTCTCAATTTTCACTGTGGTGTCTATGATGTGAAACGGTTACATACAATTCAAAATGTGGGTTAATCTCAAAGACAAACAACATTTTATCTATTTTGTTTGACAATTTTGAAAAAAAAAAACTGTCCTCATGAAAACTGTTAGGAGTACTTAAATAGAACTTTCTGGAAACAAGTAAAGAAAATCTGTCATTGGTGCTGGCTCATCTCAATCATCCTGCCTCCCTGAAACACACATGTGAACGCACACACTGACACACACACACACATGCAGATGTGGCTCTAAGCTGTAAAGCTGCTTAGCTGCTGTCAGTCAGGCAGCTGCTACAGAAATGCAGGAACACACAACATACACTTTAAAAAAAAGCCTAACGATGCCACCTCTGCTGAACACACACACACACACACACACACACACACACACACACACACGCACAGGCACAGGCACAGGCACAGGCACAGGCACAGGCACACACGCACAGGCACAGGCACAGGCACAGGCACAGGCACAGGCACAGGCAAAGAAAATCATACACACACAGAGGAGCAGAGGCTGGATTCCTGCTGAGACTGTCCTTTCATCATCATCATCATCATCATCATCATCACCATCGTTATCATTATCATCATCATCATCATTATCATCAACAACAACCCGAATCTATCAGCTGTTTAGACAAACATTAATCATGACTTTTCTGCTGGGTGATTGGCGATGCAGCATTAGAAAACAATCAAAGCTATGACGCACATAACTTTGAGACAAGGATGAGAATATCATCTGGCTCTCATCAGCAGATACATTTGGTGTCGTACTCACTGTGATCATGAGAAATAAATGAAATTTGAGTCACAGTTGGCTGTGATTTCCCCTCCTCAGCTTTGGTGATACGGTCCACCTACAGCTCCTGCTGTTAAAGAGCGCTGTGAATGGTGCTTGAAGCTTGAAGTTGGGCTGTTTCTCAACCACATTACATTTCTGTATGGTGCCAGATATTATCATCAAAATAGACAATTTCAAAGGGACGACCTGACTCAGGCAACTCAGTTTAAATACACACATGAATGATGTGATATCAGTTCATTACACCTCTGGTCACAAGATGGGGTTGTTTGTCCCATGATGGACTGAGACTGAGCAGACACTAACCCTTTATCTTTGAGCTTTTCTACTCATGTATGGTCACTGTTTAAAAAAGTCATGATGAATGTGTTTGCCTCTAAAGTCATTAGATTAGTGCATAAGATGATGACCTTTTCTTGTTTTATGCTACTGAGTTGTCAAAGACTCTGGAACTTCCATTAACCTCTATTCATTTGGATGGAGTACATTAACCAAAAAGGGGGTGTGGTCAATTTTGCAGCTGGTAAGTGACACTGACTGCTCTCAAACACAAAACACTGAACTTCCTTCTTGGTCACTTCACCTCCCAGACACATTTTGACTCTCTAAAACATCTACATTTTTAAATTTATGATGAGAAAAAAAAAACATGGATTTATGAATATGAAATATAATTGAAATGAGTTTAATCATTGTTGTCAAAGATATATAATTAGTTAGTTATAAAATAGTTACTTTCAACATGGTTCCTACTTTTAAAAACTTACATGAAAACCTCAAACCACCATTGAATTTCAGTTTTTTTTAATGCCGTCATTTCGCTGTTACCTGACTTTACTGCAGGAACAACACTGAGGTAGCAGACAACATCTACTCTGAGGTGGATGATGGCCTATGCTACCAAGGTCTAAGTTATATGAACTGTTGTCTGTTAACTAAAATGGTTCTACAAAAGCTGTTTAAGATTCTAGAGGACTATTTTTTGCTGAACAGATACAATTTCCATCAGAAAGAGCATCAACGCTATGTTTACCAAAGAAAAGCTGGTTATTCTGTTTTCTTTTCCTTTACATTGTTAGGCAAACACTTTGTTATTTGAAACATATTCAATTTTCTACTTGTCTTAACATTAAAGGATTTTTGTTACAAAAAAAAAAAAACCCAAAGACAATTATCTTTAAGTCAAGCATCACTTACTTTTGCATTCAGACCTCACGTGCCAGAAAGACATGACAGCTCTAAAGCTGCATTTGTCCATCCTCTGTCAGGATGTCACAGATTGAGGATGACACAGTGAGGAGACAGTTGTTGTTCACAGCTGCAGGAGGTTAACTGGGGTTATCAAGCTTAACGTGGAGTGTCAGCATGTTGACAGTATTAGCAGCAAATGCTTTTAGATTACTTCTGTCCCAACCAGTAGGTTCAGATTTGGGGGGCGGGGGGATTATGTGGTTTACAATGGCCCACTGGCCTGCTGAGTGTATCAGTGAGAGTGCTGACAGTTCATTTCCTTATCTGCTCATTTCTCTTTTTTGCCTATATTCACGAGTCAGTTTTCATAAGGCATGAAACTATGTATAGCATCTTATGTCTGTACACTACCTGAAATCTGTGCGTCAACTTTGTGTGGGTGTGTATGTACAGTGTGTACCTTGACAGGCTCTAATGTAGCAGAGAAAGCATCTTGCAGGGCACAGCAGGCTAACCTCCACATCTCTTCAGTGAACACTGGACCCACTGTGACCAAAACATATCTGCAAACGGACAGACAACAGTTAGATCATGCACTGAAAAAACAATTCACATCAACGTAAACAATCTCTAACATACTGTAAATGAAACCTGTGAAAATACGCACATCCAACAGAACCTGACTCTGTCCTTAAAACCTGTTTGTGGAGCTCATCCGTGAGCCTACTGACTTCTACTGAGACTGTTAAAAATGACTCATTTTATGTAATGTATATACAAAATGGTTCCTTTATGCATTTTAGGATTCACTGACAGACAACAGCAGAAAGTAACTGCGTTATTTTGAGTGACTGTAGTCATTGATGACTATCTACAGCAGTGGATTAGTCCTCATTTTGTGCTCTACTGTGTATTTCAGACATCAGGACAGTGTAACTGGGACCAAATCAACTACAGTGTGTGTCTGCTTGGTTATGACACAACAGAAACTCTCATCATGAGTTTTTTAGGGTGGAGCTCTGAGGCCCAGAGAGAGAAAAGATTTTAGGCTTTGAGAAATCGGTTTGTTGTTGTCCATTTTAAAGCTCCCCTGACTGTAGAGCAACAATGTACTTTATATCATTACGTTTACTTTTCAAGACCCAGATTAATAAATCTTTGAACTCAAATCCAGGATCAAATAAGGACTGATTTACGCAGTAATATGACTGTATAACAACATTTTGAGCCAACATACTAATAACAATTTTAAGTGCGGTTTATATTTAAAGTAGAATGAACCACTTCATGTTGTAGATTTAAAGAAAAAAAACGAAAAAAAAAAAAAACATATCATTGAGTTGTTGCATCAGAAAGCATTAAGCAGATTTTTGCATAGGTACCGCACTATGATGTGTGTAAAATATTAACAAATGTGATAATAAAAGAGTAAAAAAAACAACCGATGAATCTTAGACGCCTCATTTGCTTTTAACTACATATTATATTATGAACTTTTATCATTGTTTGAGTGTTTTAGCATTTATCTCTTTTTAGGTTTAATGTCGTCTTTTAATGATCTATTTTTGTGCTCTTGTTTTAGTATCTTTTACTTTGTTTTTATTTCATTTTTATTTATTGTTTCTTAAATTTCATTTGATTTAACTTTCAGATTTTCACCCAACCTCCAGTGTTCCTCATCTTGAATTTTAAGATGGCGTTTCCTCAGTGCACATATTCCTGTTTTTACTGAATCAAGGTCTTTTGAAGTTACTGCATTTTAAAACTCACTCCTGTTGGGCTTGGATTGTGGAGTGGGGATGAAGGGACAGGGATTAGGTCAGGTAGAGTTAGGTATTCTTTCCTTCTTTATCTTCTGTGTAAAACACTTTGAGCCACGTTGCATTGTATGAAAAGTGCAATAAAAATAAAGGTTTACTGATTGATTTTTATGATGCTCCATGAAATAATGTGTCAAGTTTGATAACCTTCTTATTTTAATCTGTTTCTTTCTTTTTTACTGACTAGAAACATTCAAGGAAAAATAGGAATGAGGGTTGTATTGATCACACATTCAATTCTCCCCTGTGCTAAAGCGTAACCCATCAAAAATCTTCAACCACTGACTTTAGGTAAACAATACAGCTTAAAAACTCCATTAGTAAACAACATGTTCCTATAAAACAAACTAATATGACCTAGATTAATGTCAGCGAGCATTATCAGGTATTTCACTCACCAAATGTGGATGATTTATTCATGTACATTGTGAAGACTTCCTACATGCATTTATTGTGACGGCTAAGGATTATCAGGGAGTTTGTTATGTATGGTCACCTGATGCAGGAGCACCCCACTCTGGAGATGGTTTCTGCAGGTTCAGACACGCAGGCCACAAGCAGCTTAAACAGATCCTTCAGCATCAGGTTGATCAGAGATTCATAGCCAATATCTGCGATAAACAAACACACACACATACACACATACACACAAACACACACACACCACCAAAACAAAGCAAGTCCCATTAGCATGTGGGAAAGAGGTGCAGTGACCACAATTTCATTTGCCTAAAAAGGAGGAACAACAAGTGGAACAACAGGTCATCAGTCACGCTCCATTTCATGTGGGCGCACAAAGTCAGGGCTGAACATGAGACAGGAACAGTTCATGTGTGACATACTGTCTGGGATTATATTTTCTATTAAAGATGCATGTTCCTGAGATTAAAACAGATCTTCTTGTTTAGATTTCATCAGATTGTTGTATTTCTTCATTTCTTTTCTATTCCCTCTCTGCATCCTCTTTTCATGTTATATTTGGAGTGGTTCATGATAATGACACACAAAGATCAACACTATGATGGCTCTGCATGCTGCAGTCAGACTTTGAAGTTGTGTTTAAGACATGTTTTTACTCAAACTTTACAAAACTTCACCTGTTTCATAAATGTAGTTTCAGTCTCCTTTTTCTGAGAAGTGCTTGTATACCTTACACATACTGTGCTCTACAAACGACTTTATTATGTAGTCATTCTGTTATGAAAGAGCCACCCTACTGTTCTACTGAGAAAAGTGGAGAGTGGGAGCAGGAACTAAAGGTTTAACCCAATAATTCAAATGATTGTAGGTCAAAACATTTTGCCCTAAAAATATTATGATATTATTACAGTGGAAGGAAGGCTTAGCAGGGCAGACGTTACATATTCTGCAGCTAGAGCTTGTCTCACAAAGCTTGTTGATACTGGGGCAGATTGTTGACCTTCTTTAAAACAAGGACTTGAGATGACAGGGCTGGTTACAGTGAATTTTTTTTTTTTTTTTATTGACAGTAAGTGTGGCCATATCTGGTGTCCACATCAAACACTTTCTGCTCCAGGTATGCAGCTGAGTCATCTCTGAATTGACCCGTGTTCAATCAATCTTTGTTGTTTTGAGGAAACATAGAAAGGCAACCTTTGGTAATGCTTTACTCTCAGAGGGGTGTGTTACCTGAGTGGATGAAACTGTTGATGTGCTCCACCACCAGCTCGCAGCACAGACCAATGGCATGTTTGAAGTTTGCGGCTGCCACATCCCAATATGAGTGGTCTCCATGGCTACGCTGTAGCCACAGTGCCATCACAGGGAGCAGCAGTTGAATGACAGAAAAGATGGCAAAGCCAGGACCTGGAGAGGGGGGGCAGAAGTATGTAAGTATGTTTGTTTATTAGAACAGAAGAAAGAAAAGGACTGGGATTAGACAATAGATCCGCAAAACCAGCATGACTTTTGGCTTTTTTGATGTGGTTTGCATGTTAAGGTAGCACAAGGTCATTTTAACTGGGGTTATGTGACTAATCGAGCTTTCTTGGGAAATTCCTGTGAAGAATTTTTAGTTAAGTTTCTGGTCTATCCCACTATTGCAGCTGTCCTAATATTAAATCACTTAAATCCTTTTTTGTATCTAATGTGTATCTAATGCTGTTTTCCAGTTACCTCAGGAACTGGGAATGACGTTACACTCAGGTTGACGGCGTTCCAGTTAACAAGTCGGAAAGCCAAGATGGACGCCTACAGTTAGCCGTTGTTAGCTGTACCAGGTGTAAACAACGCATAACACAATATTTAACTCTTACAAACACCATAGCACTGTGTTCACAGTTAGATGTTGGGCAGTACAACATATACCACTTATCTAATTTCACAAAAAAAACAGAAGTGCTAATAAATATTACATTACGAGAGCTTTTACTGTTACTCTATACTGTTGATGCACTGCGCTGCCATCTTGGATTATGACGTTATCGTCAAGTCTGGGTTGGTGGAGATCGTCTGACTTTCCGTTTGGGAAATCAGACAAATCAGGGGGGCGTTCAGATGAATTTCCGACTCAGAGCTTGGAAATCCAGACTTGCGAGTACAACTGGAACGCAGCATAAGCCTTGATTTTGAATCAGAGTCACTGGCCTGCTTAATTGTGTCTCGTAGGGAACTATGTTTGAAAAATTCACGTTAATACTACAGTTTGTCTTCTATGCTGTGGTTCAGTGTCAGCCTTACTACCCACACAGTCTTGGACTGGGTGTCTGACAGTGTCTTTTTGTTACCTGGTACAGTAGTGACCTCTCTTAGCAGAGTGAAGAGCAGCTCAAGGGTTGGAGGCTGGTGTTGGCGAGGGCAGTTGGACACGGCTGCTGTTAGCTGCTCCAATAACAAAATCCACACCTGGATGAGACCTGCGAGGCATAAACACACGAACACCTCGCCAGGGTTAGAAAGAGTTCAGATAGTGATATGAACAGGAGTAATGTGGACCACAGAAAAGAGAAATAAAATGAGAAAAGAAAAAACACTTCACCTGTGTCATCATCAAACTCCTGCAGGACACAGTCCATCCCGTCCTCTGTGCTGATCGAGCGTTCCTGGGATCTCAGCGGGAGGCTGGCGAGTCGTGCCCCCAGAAACACTGGTTTGGACGGCATCTTGTAGATCTTTGCCAGCAGCTGTTGATCAAATCCATTTCACCGAAGAGATAAATAACCAAATGTCTGCAAACTTGGAAAAAACTTAACCTACTGAAACTAAGGAAAACCATCCCAAGAATGTTTGATATACATAACAAATATATTTAATATCTGATTTAAGCCGTCCTGAAAGTAAGTGGTGTTCTGATTTTTTTAAGTTTCATTGTGATAGTTTTATCTTTGATGAAAGGACAGGTCTTTTGGATAAGCCCATTGGCTTCTTAACCTCTCCTGCTACACCATTTACATTTAATCACGAGTTCTCCTTGTATGCAAAATAAACATGTTTTGCCTTTCAGTGCTGTAAATAAAAATTTACCTGCAAAATAACCCTCTACACTGGTAATATCAAAACTTATTCATCCTACTCTGAGATATTACTTTATCCTTGTTATAATAAGACAATCAAGTAAAGTTCAATCCCTTTTATTTCTTTCTTTCCTGCAATAACTCCTCATACGTCAACAGTTGGATCCAAAATCAGATGCTGTGCATATGTTTGTTTGATATGGTGCATGTCAGATGGGACTTTTTGTGCAAAAGACATTGAAATTAATGCAAAAGTTTTTGTTGTTCATTTGTTTCTTTTCTTTTTTTTTGTCTGTTTTATATCTTTAAATGGCCCTCCCTCTTTCTCACTATTCTGCCTGGTGTTCATTACAGAGCTGGTACTTTCCATTGTGATATATCATTGAAAACATTGGTAATCATTGGTAAACATTGGTAATTTGGTTCAGATGAAATGTCTTATGTCTGGATTAGAGTTCTTAAATTTAAAGTTGCTCTAAAAAAGCAGCACCAAATTAATGTAGATTGGCTGAATTGAAATGTGTAAATGGGATGACCAGATCTAGATCACTGTGGTCCAGATTAGATTTATGAACAACTGCACCAGGATTTATAGCATGTCTCCTACCTGGGAACATTTGCGAAGGTAGTCGAGAGCGGGCAGGCAGAGGTCAGTGGAGCTGTAACCTGACGCATGGTTGCAGTCTCCTATCTCCTTATAGTCCACCTCTCCTGTGAGCGTGCACACAAACACAATCACACACACACACACAATTTTTAGTAACAAACACAAAAATCCTCTCCCCACCTGTACATCTTCAATCACACAAAGTCTACTGCAAGATCCAAGGAGAAATAAATCCCTAAAAGCTGTCAAAGTTATTCCTCAAACTGAAAAAACAGAATGTAGAGTTAGACAAACCTAAGCCTTTGATGAACTTCATGAGACACATGATGTAGTCGGTGGCAGCATTGGCAAAAACCTGAATGTTGTCAGTGTTGATGAAAGCCTCGAAAACATCAAATACTGGAGCCTGGGACTTTCCTACAGAAGGGAAAGGAATGGAGGAAGGGATGAGGAAGAAAGGGGAGGAGGGAGCCACCGATGGGACAAAGAAGAATCAAAGCATGAAAGTTGGATAAAGTTGAAATAAGAAAACAACAGAAGCAAAATTTGGATGTTTGTTTCAGATGATAAATGTACCCATAGAGTATTCCCCCAGCAGATAGTCTTTGGTGTCCGTCTTGCTTCCATGGACTGTCCTCAGAGCGCTGAACAGAGGTCTCCACCCAGACAAGATCTGAGGGGAGCACATCTCCACCAGCTCACCTATCGATGTGATCACCTGCAGGGAGGGGGAAAAAAAACATTTCCTGATCTGTGTGGAAAATCAAAGTGTGTCAGATTTATTGTATCTGATGTGGCCAAAGAAAAACCTGGTCTTGCACGTCCTCGTCACAGAGTTCCAGCTGCATGATGTGCTCAAAGGGCCTGAACAGCGCTTCATTAAAGTGAAAGTGAGGAAGCTCCGCCCAGCTCGTCAGCACCTCCGTCAGAACATCATGGATGAAGGAAACGGCCTTCTGGGAAACGTGGCGCTCTTTGTGACATGCCGCCTGTGGGAAGGAGACAATTAGCTTGGTTTCACAGTTTCAACATTCAGTTTCTGTTTGAATTGTAGTTGTTGCTGTATTTTACAACTTTTTGGTCTTTTAAAGTGATTAATCAGACAAAAGAGGAAGCTCTAAATATTAAAAATGACCAGGAAAAAGAAAATGAGCAAAACAAACAGAACTAGTTGAGCTGAAATGGTTTCCATACTACTTTGTATATCTGAACCTAACTGATTTAAATGCAGGGTCATAATTGCACTCAGGAGAATTTGGATGAAACTTGAACAACTGATGGTGTTATGGTAGTCATTCACAACCAGTAGATGACTATAGGGTCCGACGTAGAAGAGTGTTTCATTTAGGGTTAGAAAACTTAATCCATATAAAACTATATATTTAAAGTACAGTGTATTTGTGCTCTCCTTATACAGGAAAAGACATCTGATCAGTGATGAAACCTTTGCATACTTGTTCTTGTTTGGATTTTAATAGAAATTAAAAGTTATTTTACCTCCACTAAATGAGGGGCCACCACACTCCAGGCCCTCATCATGTGCAGGAGAGGCCGGTTCTTGTTCCTGACGATTCGTAGCATCGCCTCGCCCAGGCGAAAGAGATGTAGAGCACTGCGTCGATCCAGGGTTGACTTCGCCTCTCCTGTAAAAACAAAATAATTTTTTTGATAAGAATAACAAGAAAATTAAAATAATAAAAAAAATCAACTGGGATATAATAATGTCCTGATTGAATATTATCATCCTTAGTTAATTAAAACTTATCAAACTTTCCTTTGCTTTGTGTGCTCTTCAGTTATCTGAATTAAATTTGCACATATATCAAAACAAAACTATTACAACACAATTACTAGATATTTTGTATATTTCATTTTATTTTATATTTATATTTTATTTGGATAAAGTTGTAAAACTTAATAATTATTCCTTTTTTACTTCCTCAGGTAAGAACATTACAATGGTGGTATTTTTTTGACAGAATGACATTTTCCATGAGGCTCCAAGAATAAAAGGTTATAAACCACGATTCCATGGTCTTTTTTATGGGGCCGAAGCTTAAATTAACACACAAGGTTAGACTGCTGTGATGTAGCAATCATTATTTCAACCAGCAAATTGTATTTGTCAAATGTAGATTATGTAATTATTAAAACCATAGCAATGTAGAGATTATTTTGCATGACTGAACTTCATCATAAGAACTGAGAACAAGACATTCACTTTTAAGTACTCACCAGAGCAAAAACAAATAGGTGTGTACCTGTGTGTGTAATTTGTGTGTGTGAATGTGTTTGTGTGTCTGTACGTGAGTACCTGGCATTGCCAGAGAGTAGTCTCCAGTCTCAGTCACCGAGTCAAACAGCTGGCACTGGGATGCTTTCCTGAGCTGCTGTAAGAAACCGACCAGTCCGACCAGGTTCAGCTTGGTAGCTGCTTCTTCAAACAACCTAAAACACACGCACGCATGCACACACGCACAAAAAAATAAACAAAAGAAGGTTCTATAATAGCATGTTAACATCAGCATCTAACCTTCTAACTTTTTACTAAGATTTCTCAAAACTTGCATACTCACTGTATCGTGTTAACTTTGTAACAACAATAAAGTTTTTACAACATATTACCAGCTATAGCTTGTGACTACTGCTAAACTATGTTTAATTTCCTTAACTAATCTAACAGTGTGCAATGTTTTGTCTTATGTTTAATCTTCTCTTAAGTCAATTCTCTCAAAATTTCACTATCAATAGAATATTTTGGAAATGAAGCTCTCATCTTGTTTTAAACACATCCCATTGTTTTGTAGTTTTGTCTTAATAAGATGTGGGGAAAAGTTCCTTCTGATGAGGACAACAAGGTAAAGTGGTTTTCTCTGCAGCCTATGTGAACGGGGCTTGCCAATGTGATATGCAATGAATTCTCCCTGCAGAAAAGTAAACCTGAATAAAATCACACAAAGAACTTCTTTGACAACATCTACATGGAGGTAAGGTGAAAATGTTCTCAAGTTTAGATAAAAAATTAATACAAACACAATAACAGATATTCAGTTACAGAAGTTAAGTGTTAAAATGCAGAGGCAAAGTGAGGGAAAGCTGCCCTTAGAGTGCAACGTTTTTCACACGGTCCTGTGGTTGTGCTGAGGGGTATTTACAAGGTTTTGGCTCTAATTTCAGCTTGTAAATGTGTTCAGTCCATCTGTTCCAGAGGATCAGTGAGCACATTTTTTTTATTCACTTCTAAAAGCAGCAGCCTAGATAACCAGTTATATAAGAGATGATCCTTGGAATGGAAACACACACATGCACACACTTCATATTAACTGCTTACAGGGAGTGTATTAGTGTGTCTATCTGTCTTTAAGTATGCAGAGCCATTTGCATGCATACTAAAAACCATACATTTGTCTGTCTGGCACTTGAATGCACAGTAAAGCTCTACACACACAAACTAGTGTAAACACTTTTTTAAACACTTTTTGTTGTGAGGATGCTCATTCAAAAATGTAACCCTCAACATGAGCACAACTCTTGAGCCTCGCAAGCTGTCTTTATGTATTTAGACTATGACACAAATTGACCCATAAACAGGAGCACAAGCACATTCTACTGCTGTTTTTTTAGGGCTGCTACTGCCATCCTGTGGCTGTTGTAAAAAGTGCTGGTCCTCTGCACAACAGTACCCTCTGCTGAGCACCAAATGTCAGTATAATTAGCTTTTGGCAGATACAATTATCAGGAGTCATCATCATGTTGGTTGTTTAACAAGTTGTAAAAAAGGCGCAACAAAGTTTTTCTTAGACGAATGTTACTGAGATCTCCTGGACTGAAAGGACGAGCAGCTGTCATATTTCATATACACACATCTATTATGAGTATTTTCCTGTCATTAATTCTTTTTTATAACAACTGAATGATCTGAAACACATGGAGATGGCTTTGCTTAATGTAGGATATTTAAGCTGTTGTTCTGATCCCACTCCACACTTACTATGTCATACTACGTACTTTTGCAGGAGGAACAATCCCCAAAATTAAAAAAATCTAACAGGTTGAGGTTAATAATCGCACCATAAACAGACAATTTAGGGAAGCAATCTTCAAAAAAAGTAATGCTATTGTGACGACATTGGGATTCAATATATTGTAACGTCTATGACCCACCTGTCGGCCTGTGTTGACAGTGTGCACACAGCTTTGGCAGCACTGGTTCCAGTCATCAGGCTGCCGGTCTTCAGGTCCAGACCTCGGCCCCCTCTGCTGCTCTCCCTCAGAAGCTCCTGGATGGACAGAGGCTGGATGACGGGCTGGCTCAGAGTCAATTCAGGGGAGTCCTGGCTGGGCTCGCAGCTCAGCTCCAACCCCATATCTACGCCCGCTGCCTGCTGGCTTTGCTGGGTGATGGTGGTCAGATTGGATGGCTGTGAGGAGCCGTCACTGAAGTGGGTGTGCTCCAGTGAACTTATGTACTCTGTGACCCTGAAAGAGGAGGACAAATAAACTTTATTTTTACACTGACTAGAAACTGTGTTAGAAGTGTAACAGTTGAAAAACACAAACTTGTATTTGAAAACGATGGAAATATTACCCTAATTGCCTGTTTTTTGTGTCAATAAAAATCTCGTGAGCTAAAAACCACAATTAAAATCTAAGTCACACAAATAATGAAAAAAAGTACAGCAAAAGTCAATACAGGTGAGTGCAAATGAGTACAGGTGTGTACCTGAAGACATGTGGCCAGCAGTCAAGGTTGTGACTGCCCATTTCCAGTCCTACGTTCAGAATGGCGTCCATACACAGCACATGTGCAGTGTGTAGCCGAACTCCCTGAGGACGAGCGATCTGCTCCAGACGCTGCTCAACACGCTGTTTCACTGCACACAAAGGAAACGACTTCACAGAAACACTCAAATACTTCAGACCAACTAGACTGACAGAACTTCATTTTTAAATTATAAAGAGAGTATACCACTATGTTTGGTTAGTTTTAGTTTAGTTTACCACTATGCTTTAATGCCCATGTTTTGAAGCCATAAAAAAAAGCTATTTACAAAATAGGGCGTGCCACTGCAATTATGCCTAAATACACCAAAGTCTTGTCAAGGAAAAAACATAGATATTATGCCGAAAATAAGCATACACTAATATCATGAGTTTATGGTCGTGGTCCTTTATGCAGGTTGCCACACCTCACAAAGTGGAGGACAGATGAAGAAGCAAGCTAGCTTGAGCAGCCCCTCTGAGAGACAATTAAGACACTTTTCAAAACTGATATTCAGAGATTTACTGTCAATCCAGGAGCAACATCAGAGCCTGTGCCTCTTTGGGTAACTCATCAATAAAACATTTTTACTGTCTAACTGTTCCTGATTGTTTTCATCCAGTTTTACTTATGATTTACTAGAAGTAGTGAACTTCAAAATAAAAGCACAGAGTTACAACGCAGGAAATAAAGTAACCTAAAAAGAAGGCAGGAAAAATATCAAAATAAAAGCATGACAAATATTCCTTTTATGAGGGCGGACATGTCGTCTCCAGTTGAAGGCACAGGCCTGGTGAACAAATGATGAAAAGGGTGTTGACATTTAAGTTCATTGTGTTTATTATTCAAGTTTTAGGGAAAAATGTGTTACTCCACCTCTGTCTTGCCTTTCCCTAAATGGACTGATTGTGTTTAATTTTTATTTTTTTCTCAATATTGAGGTCGTGTCATTACTGTGGTGTGAGGTGGAAATCCATCATTTTGACAGCCCTAATAAAAAGGACTTATTTACCACACACTCCACAAAAAAATAAATAAATAAAAAAGTTGTTGACAACTTTCAATAACCCCTTTGTTTGTCACTGATTACTGGCTGTAGAGGTAACCTATGATTGCATTTCTTATCACTACTGTCACCAAACAACAAATTTTGGATCAGACTTTCAACTGTGGGCATCTGTGGGTGGAGATATTATTACAGAGAAAGAGTGAAAGTGGGAAGGTCCACTTTATCGTCATTCAAAATTTTAAAACCATAAAGGACAAGAGTTGTTTACCATGTCCAGCACCTTGCAAATGTATTTTATCTGCAACAAAGTGGTGCTGATATGATAAACTGGTCTCTTCTTTTGAATTTTACCAGGGTGATGATTTGGGAAAAGACAAGGATTTTTACTCAAATAATGTATACAGTTTTGTTGAGTGTGTTTTTGTATTGCTCTATTGAACACAGACTTCCTTGTCTTCATCACTGATGGAAAGTTTTTATATCTGTGGACACAGATTAAAACAGTGTTTTCTTTGAGTACCTTGTGTAATGGTGTCTCCCATCTCGTACACCTCCTTCTCCTCCTTCTCTTCCTGCACACAGGAGGCTGCAGCCATCTGGGCCAAAGCTGACGCACAGTTGGCAGCCACACCTGATGACCATGCGCGCATATGCACACGCACATGCACGCACACACACACACACACACACACAGTATGAAGACTAGAGTTTAGTCCTCCATTATTCTCTGATAGTAAAAAACTTAATTTCCATACAGTTAAAACGTGACCTTGACTTTTAAAGGTCAAAATTTTCCGGATTTCATACAAGCAGTTCAGGTGTCTTCTCCTTTGGGTGCATTAAGAGTTAAACTGGCAGTAAAAAGTGCACCTTCCCTCCCCAAATGGCACCCAAACCCCACAGCTGAGGTTACACACACCATGTGTTCATTCATATTCATGGGTGTTTCTGTGCTGATAATTTCAATCAGGTTTCATCCCCTGATGGCCATTCAGCTGTGCCAGTAACTGTTACATACTCATACATTCAGATTTCTTGAATAGGGGGATAATAAAAATGTATTTCCCCTGATATTCTCATAAAATATTAGTAGGTAAAAGTCTTTATGAAAACCTTCACTCATTCCTCCTGTTGAGTCTCAGAATGTCTCAACAGGTTGAGGTTATTACTAAGCTTACAGCTGTCACTTTTTTTACAAGTGATCAGTGAGAATAATGTGAAATGCACTGAGGGTAGAAAGAACACCATGTTCCTCCTTGAGCATTTCTGCCCAGCAACATCATAAACCAAACCTGTTTACTAGGGCTGGCCTAACCGTACGATACAATATGATAGTTCAAAAACGGATGGATTGTGTGCACATCTCAAACCTAAATTCAGGTCAGGTGCTGGGCATCAAGGTATCAGTGCTGAGCAAAGGGAGGAACGCCCGCACACTAGTTTACATGCGCCAAACACACTTTTATTATATCAAAGCAACAGACTGCATCCATCTCTGCCTGAAGAAGACACCATTGTGTCGAGACGTTGCAGTCTGTTGCCTTGAAATAATAAAAGTGTGTTTGGAGCATGTAAACTAGTGTGCAGGCGTTCCTCCCTTTGCTCAGCTACGATACAATATGATACAATAAAAAACAAAATGAACAATATGATTTATATTCTGACACAGATATGCGACATGACACGGTGCTTATCACAATACACATTGATTTTGAATTAGGGTTGGGCGATAAACCCAAAATTTACCAATACCAAAACTTACAACAGTAACCAGCGTCATTTTGCCTATATCAGTATATTTGGTGTCAAATAAATAAATAAATAAATAAACATTGGTTTTGGATTTGTGTAGGTAGGCCATGATCTCATGTCCCTTTAAGACACTGGCCTACGTCAGAGATGTGACTCTACCCCATCCAGTCCGTAACAAAGAGGGAAAGACAGGTGAGGAGATGGAGGACGGATCAAAAGTTGTAGCGGCTGGAGCGGCGGCTGAGGTAGACAAAGTTAATGTGGGGGGGGTGAGCAGCTTGTGGAGTAGCTATCATCCATTTATCATTATAGAGGTGAACTGCTCAATATATCGTGATATTGTGTGAGGCCATATCCCCCAGCCTTACTTTGAGCTAATGAAATCAGAACTTCTTTTTAACTTCAAACAGCAACAGGGTAGATGATCACAGCGCTTAAAGTGCACAGCTTTAGTGATCTTTTGAGCCTATTGAGAAGTTGAGGGAGACATGAATTGAAAGTTTCATTAATTGTAGGTTAACATGCACTGGCTACGTGTTGCCAGACCTACCTGCTGTTGCTGGCAGCTAAGCTAATAAGAATAGTGTCTTGTCATATGTGGACAGAGGTTTGTCATATAGCTGCAGTATTTCATAGTCTTTCAGTTTTGTTGGTGGCAGCCTATTCATTTTGATTTGAGATGTGCACTGCATCACGTGGCTTGCTGCATCCCACTGTGGTTCATTGGCTTCATTTATCACTGCAGTGTTGGCAACATGCTTTTTTTTCAAAGCTGTCATCACAGCATTTGTGGTCGTACCTATATAGCATGTATGTATGTGACTTTAAACAGTAGCTGATGACTTTAATGCCCAGTATCGTCATTAGTATCATGTTGTGTTGTCCATGTAGATTCTCAATCATCCAGGTCATGGTTTTCTTGAAGACTCCAAAAAAGGCAACTGGACTACAGTCCAATTGCCTTTTTTGGAGTCTCCAAGAAAAGTCATGTTGTGTTGTGTCCTTTTTTTGACATACCTCCTTATGGTATCTTGCAGAATCATATCATGGTGTGTCATACAGGAACCAGTTAAATGACATGTCCTGGCCTCTAGCTCTGTTGTTAATTAAGCTGCACAGTGCAATATCCTACAGTGCAAGGCTGCAAACTAGTATAATACACATGACATCCTACTCTCTGTGCTTGTACATAGCTTATTTCTCACTGCACTTAAATAGCTTTATTGCTAATATTCTGCACATTGTACTAACATTTCCATTTGTACTCTTGACAGAGGACATAAAACAGGGATCCCATCTAGCCTGGCGCTGATTACTTTTATATGCTGACTTTAAACAAATTTGATCAGTGTCTGATGTTTTCTTTGTGTAACAGTAGCTGCTGGTTATTTAACAGATTACAAAACATGCAAGAGGGCAGTGGGTCATGTACCAAACAACTAAATGAGCACAGTGTCAGGAGGCTGTGAAATACTTAGTATGAAACACAGTCCAGGGATTAGTACTGATCCCTCCAATCCAAACAATACAACAAGAAAAGTGACAGAAATGTCCCCAAATCACAGTTTGTGGCACAGTTAGCAGCTATTAAAGGTCAACAAACAAAAGAACTAAAAATATATACGGCCAATATTATGCTCAACATTTGATGCTTCAATTCCTTAAGCTGCCAAACTAAAAACACATTGATATGAATTGGAAAGTATTTGTATTATGTTTTCCCCGTTTGCTGCTATACCACATGATATTAGAATAAAATCCTCAAGAGAAAACCACACAAGCCTCTAATCCAGTTCAGACTTGAATTGGTTCCAGTTTTAGAGCTGCTGCTGAGTATCTGGCCCTGACCTCAAACCTCTCTGAGCTAGTAGAGAAACACAGGATGAGCGATGTCTCTCAGTTTTCTTGTTAGCACAAACACATTGGTCATATGTTTTACCCACCCAAAGCGCAGCTGAGCGCAGCGGCTTTTCGTAGTCCATCTAAACTCAGACAGATGGTGTCTCTCTCCCTCTGACTTTGCTCTTTGACACCCTCCGCTCCCAGGATGAAGGCCAGGCCCTTTGAGCTTCCTGCCATGCGGCCCGTCAGCGGTGTGGACAGAACATCAATCAGGTTCTTCCACACTCCGGTGAGAATGAAACGGGAGAAAACAGCACCTGAAAACAACCAGCCCAAAAAGAGAATGTTGAGGAGAAGAAAGAACAAGACAAGCAACCGCATCTGAGTCAGAATTACTGTCTTTGGCAGCAAAGTCCAGTGATGATAAAAGTGGAAAGCATGACAGGAGAGAACACAGGGGTTGATAAACACACTCAAAATCACAGGAGAGAGGAGAGAAAGAATAAATCAGGACAGGAGGAGTCGAGTCATTTTAAACCTGGGGCCAGTTTTTTTTTTTTTTAAATAATTTAGTTTTTGATGATGTTTTTGTTACATCAAACAGCGGTTTCTGTTTGTCTGTTTCTCTTTATGGCAATTACACCCCACCCTTACAGTGACAGTTACTTCACCTTGCTTGTCTACTGGTGCCTTCATTGTCCATTTTTGTGTTCTTTTCAATGACGTAAATCTTTTGTTGGACCCAAATGTCCAATTTAAACACAAATGGTGCAAAATAAAACAAACATACTTTACATACTGATCAAAGATGTAGACTAACAACTCCTAGCAGTGAAGTCCTTTTTTTCACACTTACATGTATCTGTTGGTCATTAAGGACCTGAGACATACAGTGATAGGGCTGGTGATATTTTGACATCCCCTTTGAGGCTTCTCTAAGTGATTCAACAGGATAACATGGAGACGGCATAGGCCAGACACACTCTTTTCCACATGGATACTGAAAGGTAAGAGTTTCAGTCTGGTACTGCGTCTTTACCACAGCAGATGGTACAGAGACTAATGATGCTGACAAGACAAACAGGAGCTTCAGTTCTGTACATGCACACACACACACACACACACACGTATTAACTGCGTAAAACTCTCAACTTGGGTGACTCAGCGGTTACCATGGAAATTCTGGCCTGTCCGTTGTCCTCTTGGGGAGGCAGAAGGTAAGCAGGTGGTCCCTGGCTCATTTTTTCCAATCGTCTGCCCTCTCCTGCTCATTTTCACCTTTTTCCCTGGAGTCTGATGTTTTTCCTTCCCTTTATCTTTCTCTTGCTGTTCAGCCATTATTCTTTCACAGTGACATTTTTTTTAAAGATAAAGTGATGACTTATCATTTGTTTGTAACATTTTGGTCAAAGCACCTATCGTCATTTTTTTGTTATCATTTCCAGCCAATGATTTCAAAGGTTGAGTATAATTGGAACAACACAAGGTGTCGTCACTCTGGAAGTAGAAATTTTCAGTAAAACAACTCAGCAGGTGAGGTTTATTCAGTCAATAAGACTTGCGTTTGCATGCATTATGTTGCAAAATAAAGGCAGACATCTCAAGGTTTATAACATCCCCCTGATTAAAGCCCATTCAGATACCTCTCAGTTCAACGGTCCATGACCAATGGGAGCTGGGGTGTCATTATGGTGGACTGCGTCCTACCTGCTTTTTCCCTCAAAACAGGCAGTTTTTCCTCAACACACTGAACTCCACTGATATATGACATGCCAGAACTAACCACACTAGTAATACTCAGTCAAACTAGAATATTTTCTTTGCTGAAATCCAGACCCTTAAAGGGATATTCCGGCGTAAATTTAAGTTAGGGTCAAACACACCTTAACACTGAGTTAGACACCCCCTTGAGAGATGAATGTTGCTGACTGCTTGCTTCTCTAGTTATACCAACTTCTGTAATGACCGTACAATAGTGATACACAGCGGTTTATGGATCCACGCACAAAGCTCAACCAAAAAGCCACTCTATAGCCACAAATAATGCTCAGAACAGCACCTAACTTTATCAACAGTACATATAGGGTCCCAGCCATAGTAGTAGCCATCAAACATCTTTTCAGCTTTGCCTGGTTTCTTTAGCAAAGAGACCAAACACAACTCACCCACTCTCCTCCAGCAGCCACTTGTTTGAGGGGAAGCCCTGACGAGTCGATCACTGAGCGCAGTGTCTCAATTCCATGAAGTAATAATCATCATATTAATCATTTTGCACTGCAGACGCAGTACTTCTATTGCCTTAGTTTCTCGGCCCGATTGCATTTCCATGAAGTAATAAACATAAGTGTTCTTCCTTGAGCTGCGAAACTCCAAGAAGCAAGCAGTCGGCAACACTCATCTCTTGAGGGGGTGTCTAACTCGATGTTACGGTGTGTTTGACCACAACTTAAATTTATGTTGGAATACCCCTTTACGTACTCTGCTGGACAAATTATGTAAACAGATTTCAGTCTGGGAATATTTTCTTGTTTTGTGGCAGAGATTATTTGTTTGGATTGTTTATTTTGTTTATTTTGATAAGAATAAACATATTGAGGTCTGAATATAAAGAAAAGTTCATTTGATAAACCGATCTTGCTCCTCATGAACTTCTGCATAACTGTCACTATATATATTTTTAGCTTTAGAGTATTTTTTCATTGGTGTTTCATGATGTAACAAGCAGAAATACTGCACCTCTCTTACAGACCTGCATGCAGCAGATTATAAAACACCCCAATATCCGTCATGTCACTTGTTATGACCTTGCCACAGTGTGTCCTGAAGCTTTTGAGCACCACAAAACTAAACACAAGGTTGTGGCCTTTCCCATTTTTCAAGTGAGTAACACAGCAGCTGTTGTGCAGCAGTTTCAGGGTGAATGAACCGTATTTAGTCAAACTGGGCTGATTTAGAGGCTCAGGGGAAAAAAAATAATAAGCAATAAAACTGAACTGTCAGTCTTCTCACAGCTGAAGTCACACTACTAAATAACTCACATCAATCAACCAATCCGTCCATCACATGGTGAAGGCTTTGGAAAAGGTTTATGCTAATGGTAGTTTACCTGCCATCACCGAGTCACTGACAGCCTTGGGACAGCTGAGTGGGGATTTGCTGGAAGCCCGCCTGATCAGCTGACCTCCAATTGCACTACTGCCCAGACCATCGATATCTGAGAGGAGAGGGGACAGGAAGAGGCAAGGACAGAAGGGAAAAAGAAGAAGACAAAGAAATGATCACACTTGAGGATGTGTGCTGTTCATGATTTATGATATTCAGTCAACCAGGAAATGTGTTGCCCAGGGTTAATTGGTACATGTTGAAGGGATTGATTTCAGTCAGTTTTACATGCAGAGAAGTGTACATGTTAGTAATTTGAGAAACACCACAACTCCCAGTATAAAAGTTAAGTGCAGACAGTGTGGATATCTTAGTGTCTGTGTGCTCTGTGTACCTGTCAGCATGGTGATGAGTGGTAACATGTGATCCTCGGGTGAGCCCCAGAACCCGGCCTCTCCCAGTAGGTTTCGCTCTAGCACCTGGTGGTACAGCTCCTCAATCCAGGCTTGAGACAGAACCACAAGGACCCCACTGCTCTGGATCAGACGCACAAAATCCTTCTGTGAAAGCACACAAACCAGACATTAAACTCTAATCCATCAATCTATTGTGTTAAATCTAAACTTACAAACAGTCTTAAGCTAGTCCTGATTATGTTCTCTGTTTACCCTCGTGATTTAGAAACCTCTACTTTAAACCCACTTCATCATTTCAGGACCACAAATCAAGATAGGAAGAGACATGAAGAAACCCCATCATAGCTTTGCCTGCGTTTTACAACCTTCATCTTTATGTTTTAAATTCACACAGTCGAAACATGTTGGGGGTTGAGCACATGTCTTACCAGACTGAGGACAGGTGTGAGCGTCCGTCGTCTGTAGTAGTCACTGCAGCAAAGTTTGAGATTGAGCAGTAGAGCGTAATACGACACAAGGTACAGGCCATCTGCGTTCATCAGAGACTGACAGCTCAGAGTGTCGCCCGCCTCAAAACCAGGAGAGTGGATCCCACCTGCAGAGACAAAGGACCAGATTTTTTTATTGTGAAAACCTTCCTTTTGAGGGTACTTTCAGAAACTTTTTTTTGGTTTGGACCTTCCCTTTTTATATTTTGGAGTCTAAATTACAGATAGCAGTAAAACAGTTCTGATTGTACTGGTGGACTGATTCTTCTCACAGCATGAAAAATGTGCTCTAATATGCAGCATTAGGCAAATGGATATGCTTGCTGAAAGAGCTGATTTTTGCAATAAAGGGGCTTGGATCCCGATTATAAGTGTCAAAGTTTAATACAGAGAAAATCCCCTCAAAGGCAGTCTTCACTAACGAAGGTAAGAGCCTTTCTTAACCAGAAAGATGAATCAAATCCACTAAAGCCAACAGATTTAATTGAATGAAAACATAAACAGTTCATCTTGAAGACAGAATAGTCACAGGCCTACCATAGCCTTGATATATCATTTTTTTTAACATCTGTCAGTGAAATACCAAAGATTTGTGTGTTAAAAATATTATGACTGAATTTCACAAGGTGCTAAGTGGTTTTCAAAACACAGTGCTTGATGCCTCAGAAAAATTGGGTGGTAGAAGATTTTTACCCGGCAGCAGTGATATGAAAGACGCGACCATATCGCACCAGTACTTGAAACCCTTTACTGGCTACTAGGGATGGGCAATAAATTATCGCTCACAATATATCATCAGAAAAATCCTCCATGATAAATATTTGCCATCTTAGGATATATAAGATAAATGCAAGTTGATGACGTAAGCGCGAGTGATGGACTCGCAGCCATAGCCCACACAGAGCAGAATAACAAACAAACATGGCCGAAGGTAATGAAGAAGAAGCTCTAAGAAGCTCGTCACTGAACGAGGCTCCACATGAGAGATTTTGTCTTGTGTTCTCAAGACAAAATGAGTCAAAAATATAGATTGGAATTATAATATTTTTTATCGGGACATTTATCGTTATCGTCAGAATGGCAAATTTTATCGTGATAATTATTTGGCATTTATCGCCCATTCCTACTGGCTACCTGTGAGTTTTAAGATAGATTTCAAATGTTACTGCTTTTTTGGAGCCATGTTAGAGCCCGATGTGTTACAATGACCCGAAATGTAGTAATAAAACCCAAAATGTAACAATTCTCTACGTTTCAGCCAAAAAGTAATTTCATTTTGGGCTCAGCATCTTGTTACATTATTAACCAGTTGTTAAATTACAGGTTTTATTAGATTTTTTTTTTTATTACATTTAGGTTATTGTTACATAAAAGGCTTTAAAGGCTCCAACCTTTATCTGTGATCTGCTAACTCCCTGTGAGCCTGACCACAGTCTAAGGCTTCTCTAGCAGGGCCTCTTCTCATGCTCCCTAAATCTCAGCTGGTTATAAGAGGTGATAATACCTGAGAGCGAGAAAGGGATAGAGCGTTGATTGAGAGTGAGAAAGGAACAGCGAGGATAAAGAGTGGGTGGTAAAATACAGACATTTTGGTAGTGAGTGTCAAAGGAAAGACAGGAATGAAAAAGAGTGAAAGATAAAAGGAGGTGAAAGAAAGGCAGAGAGACAAATAGGAGACAGAAGAAACAAAAGAAGAAAAAAGACAGGTGAAGAGAAAGAGGACAGAGGCAGTGAGTGTGAAGGTGAGAGGAGGCAGAGAGATATAATCTGCTCGCTGATGAAGTCAAGTGTTAGAAAATCACTCTGGGGATTCACAGCCTTGAACAAAATTCATGAAGTCACTTCAGCACAGAGTTTAATTTGATTGGTAATTTTGCTCTGCAGATGTAGAAACTCTCAGCAGGCTCACTGTTTTCACTGATGGATTATGGTTCATACCTCCGAGGCAAAACGTTTGTTAAACTGTTTCTGCTTGAAATAAATGGAGTGAAAAAAGAGAGCAGTATAAACACAGACAGAGTATGTGTCTTAGAGTCTTTGGGCACATTTCCAACCAGGAAAATAGATTCATATCAGCAGCAACTAAACAAAGGAACAGCCTAATAAAAGATCTGTATCAGCACGACTTTTTCCACAAAAAATGAAAACGTAGTTGAGATAAATGCTTCTGTGATACAAACATAAATGGGTCAGGTTTTTCCCATAAGATTACCAATGTTGCTGTGACTTTTAGCATAGCATAAAAACGACAAAGCTATGAACCCTCAACTTATGTTGCTGTGGAGAAGAAGTGAGTAAAAGGTGTGAATCAGAACAGAAATGAGTTCAGAAAGCTCATGAAAGAGCGCACATGTTTTTCTTCATTGTTGGCAAACATTTACCAACAGGCCTATCTAGTTCCAGTGCTAGCAACCTTCCTAACCTTGAGCTCGAGCTGGATGTTTTGTAATAAATGTTTGATGTTTCGCTTTAAAATTATTGACACAGAGCAACAAATTGCTAAAGAGATTGCAATGCCAACAGAGAAATCAATATTAGATTTGATTTCCCCAAAGTTTGAACAGATAGCATCAGATAAGTCTGATACAGACTGACTCTCCACTCCCTTACATTTAAAACTGATTTTAAGACACTACAGACTGACTTATTCCAACCACTCCTCTTCAAACACTCGATGTCTCATTTGAGGTTCAAACAGCAGCAGCAGCAGACTTTGCAGGCTGCTACATAGATCTCCACCCTCAGCAAATATCCCATGTTTGTTGGGCTAACATTACACTCACACACAGACACGCATGCTGCTGAAAATCATAGAGCTCTTTTCAGGCGGGGAGACAAAGCTCTACATCAATAACTCTAAGTCCTTCCCACCCTCCCTCTCTCTCTTACCAGCCTGCAGGCCAGAGCAGAAGGTGGAGGAGAAGTTCTGCAGAGACAAGTCCACCTCAGTGGAGGTGGCCAATCCCAACAGCCGAGGCAGCAGAGTGGCGAGTGACTGGACAAACAGCCGGGCACTCTGTTGGTCGGCCTCTTGGTTACGGAGCAGTTTGAGTGACAGTGCGGCGGTGCGTAGGGAGCGGTGGCCCAGGCAGTCACGAGGGGTCTGCTGCTCTTCATCAGCCAGGGAGACGTTATCAGAGCCGATGTCAGACACGTCAGAGCGTCCCGAGTCTTTCTCAGCAGCCATGGAGTACTGATCACATGAGTCGAACTCTGTGCGAGACAAGTCCTGCTCCTCCATACTGAGGAAAAAAGAGAAAGAGAAATCAGACATTTTTATACATATTAAGTGACAGTTTTAAGTTCATTTAACTTCTTTTAAATTTAAAACTCTTAAAAAGACAAGTGAGCTATGAACCAACCTCATAGTCAGACTTAGTTTAATTTTATCCTGCATCTCTTCCTAAAGAACAAGGAATAACAATTTTCTTTTATTTCTTCCATAAATCACATGGAAAAAGAGAAAAAAAACTCTACAGTAGGAAGATGATAATATTAAAGGGACATTTTGGTATTTTTTTAAGTGGGGTAGTATGAGTTGGATAGATGCTGGACAGTTCCGCCCTTGTAATAAGGACCTGTTGTCCTGATTTGTTTGGTTGATTTGGTTTTTCCCTGGTTTTGTGATTTGAGTGTATTTTCTTTGTGTTTTTCCTAGTGTTCCTGCTCCCTAGTGTTCCTGTTCCCCTGGAGTCTTGTCTTGTGAGTTTTCAGTTTGTGTTTGACCCAATTTCCCTCCTGTTCTCTGAGTTTCATTCTTTATATCTGTTTTCAGTGCTTCCTGTTTTATTTAGTAGTAGTTGAATCCCTGTGTTTCTAGTCTGGTTTTACTTCCCTAGTTTTCCCTCCTTCGTTAATCACCCATAAGTTTCACCTGTGTCTCGTTTGCCTCACCTGTTGCTCGTTTGCCTCACCTGTTGCTCGTTTCCCAGTGTGTATAGAGTCTCTGTCTTCCCCTCTGTCCTTGTTGGTTCATTTCATGTTTGTCAGTGTGTGCATATGCCTGTCTCCCCAGTTATTTTTGTTTCTTTGCTTCTTGTGGGGTTTTTTTGCCTTTGGGAATTTTTCAGTTGGACATTTAAAGAGTGTTTTTGTTGCTTTTCTTTCAGTGCCTGAAATCATTTTCTGTTCTGCATTTTGGGTCGTTTCCCTTTTTATTTAACTCCAGACCTTGACACCTTTGCGACCTTGTCACGCAAACCAAGCTACATCTTTTAGCAGACAGGGTAAGCCTGCTAGGTACTTTAGCTAATTTTCAGAGGCTCTGATCCTCTGCACTCACCTTGGTTTAAGTGTACACACTAGAGATAGTTTTTTTAGTACGGTTTGCTGACAAATGTTTGCACTTTGCCACACTATATGTTCGGATATTGAAAGATGCATAAAAGGTTGAAATTCGCCCTCACACCGACAAATGCACACTCACCTGAAGTTGCTCTCGCTGTATCGTGATCCTCCTCCATGGTGTGACCTGGTCCTGGACTCCACAGACAGGAAGTTGGTGATGTCTGGGTAAACAAGGGCATGACTTCGCTGCACTACGTCTGGTGGTACCACGCCTCCTCTCTCTCCCCCAACACCTCCCCTTTCAACTGGTCTTTGTCTCTCTCCTTTCCCCTCAACCTCCCCTGCACCTCCTATCTCCCCCTGTTGAATCCCACGGCCTGGCTCGAGACTCGGCTCATGTTTCATCCCCTCCTGACCCTCGCAGGATGACGGCGAAGGGAGTTGTGCATCCTCTCCACACTCCTCAGGAGTGGTGTGGCCCAGACCGAGCTCCCCCACCTCCAGGTCCAGAGTGGTTTGGCCTGTTTCTGTGGTGATGCTGATGCTGATGTCGGGGCTGCGCTCAGTGGCTCCGCTGGTGGCCATGTTGGAGGAAGAAGAGCTGGGGTCCCAAGGAGCCTGCTCAGAGGACAGGATGTGTCTCTGCCACCTGAAGTCTGCCTCGTTGATCTCCATGGACTCTCGTGTCGACTCTGTCCCATCTTTAAGATCCTCCAGTCGTTTGAGGAGCAGCCGAGCCTGGGACACACAGCTGCTTTGTTACTGTTGTCTACATAAAACACTTCAGGGACGATTACTTCCAAATCAAACTACCCTGCCTAGGAAGCTTAAAATTGGAAGATTAGGATAGTAAATTAGGATCATAAAAAATCCACTCAAGAGATTTTGACTGAGTTTTGTCCTGCTGCGGCAAAATTTAATTATCTCATCACTACTGCAGAACTCCTCTTAAAGAGAAAATCCGGCGTAAATGTAAGTTATGGTCAAACACACTAAAACACTGAGTTAGACACCCCCTCCAGAGATGAATGTTGCCAACTGCTTGCTTCTCTAGTTATACCAACGTCAGCAATGACCGCATGATAGCAATGCACTGCAGTATACCTCTCCACCTGCAAACCTCAACCAAAAAGCCACTCTAATCGAGCCCTGACAAGTTGATCACCAAGTGTAGTGGGCTTCCTTGAAGTTATAATCATCATATTTATCATTTTGTACTGCAGATGCGGTAGTTCTTCTGCCTTAGTGTCTTGGTCTGTTTGCGTTTCCATGAAGTAATGATCATAAATGTTCTTCTTTGAGCTGCGAAACTCCGCTGCACTTGGTGACAACTCGTCAGGGCTCCCCCACAAACAAGTGGCTGCTGGAGGAGAGTGGGTGAGTTGTGTTTGGTCTTTTTTCTGAAGAAATCAGGCAAAGCTAAAAAGATGTTTGATGGCTACTACTATGGCTGGGACCCTATATGTACTGTTGATGAAGTTAGGTGCTGTTCTGAGCATTTGTGGCTATAGAGTGGCGTTTTGGTTGAGGTTTGCACGGGGAGACATAGACTGCTGTGTATTGCTATCGTGCGGCCGTTTTATGAAGTTGGCATAACTAGAGAAGCAAGTCGTCTGCAGCATTCATCTCTCGAGGGGGTGTCTAACTCTGTGTTACAATGTGTTTGACCATGACTTACATTTTTTGCCAGAATGTCCCTTTAACATTTCTGGTAACACTTTATATTAAGGTCCATGTAATAAGCATGAATTAACAGTTAATAAGCCAATTGCAAAATGGCTCTTAGCATTTAAAAGAATCAATAAGACTTAATTATTGTTCATTACAAGGACCTTCATATAAAGCGTTACCATGTTTTTTACTCTATCCTGTTTCAGTCACGTACCTGCTCAGGTTGGATGCCACGTCCCTGGGACAGTTCATCCAGAGCCCCAAGGAGAGCACAGGCGCAGGAAACAGAGGAGTAACACGCCTCAATTCCTCCCTTCATACAGGCCTCTGTCATCCCATCCATTACTCTTTCAAAGTGAAAAAAACATGAAGTAATTAAATGAACTATTAGTCATATGAAAACTGACACACATCAAGCACAGTACCAGTGTAACAAATTGAATCAGAGGAGTAACTCACAGTTTGAGGAGGTCCAGGTGGGACTTCCTCTTTGAGAATGAGCGCTTTCTGGTTTCAGGCTCAGCCACACATGGACCAGCCAGGTCGTAGAGCCGCTGTGGGCTGCCCAAAATCTAAAGGAGACATAACAGCTTCACTCATTCCACTTTCATATCATATTTTACCTCTACTGTTGCTGCATGATAACAAATGTCATATATGTACACAATCATGTTGTTACTAAACAAAGTTAGAGATAGACCAAAGAGGTGTCCAGCATAAGGTTTATTTATTTATTTATTTTTATTTATTTATTTATTTATTTTTAATTTATGTAAGAGCCAGAGGTGTCCTCAAAAAAGCTTCATCTGACACAATGATTGTCCTATTTGGGGATGCTGATCATCAATGATTGCATCAGAGGCTACCCTATTTCGACAAGCTCTTTCAAAAGAAGCCAATAATGCATCTTGGGTTAGCCCACAAAAGACAAAAGATGCTGAAAGAGGCGAAAGGGGCCTGGAAACTTCAAATTATCTTCAAACTACGAAAAACTACACACATTACATAATGTTAGCTTTGTCTGCTAGTCAGACAGCTATTTGTTGCTAGGTTACAGGAGCTGCATTTTGTGACACAAGGGTAAGGATGGGAACAGCTGATGACAGAAACAAGACCCTGTTCCTATGGTTACTTTTTTTAGATACAGACTGAAATGTAGCCTATACATTGATGTAGGGCAGAGAAATTGTATAGGTGGACACAACAGGAGCAGACTGACACTCGGAAGCTAATAATTGCATTTGAGTCAAGATCCTGTGACTATTAACAAAACAACATGTCATTTTATATTCTTCATGGTATCAATATCTTAATCTCAGAGTTTCACGAGTGACATCTCCTCCCACCTCCTTCATGATGCGGATGGCCTCGGTACGGTGCTGAGGAGGCGGGTACAACAGGATCCTGTGGTAGAGCGACTGAAGCACAGGTTTCATCGACTCCACGCAGCTCACAAGACGTACAAGCTCAGCAGCAATGTAACACACCGTCCTCACAACAGGTGCAATCCTGGCAGGGGCACTCGAGGAACAACCTGATCCTCTACCTTGATCAGATACTCCTCCACTGGAAGAATCCATCTCCTGACTGATCCCTGACAAAGACAATTGCAGGGGGTCAAATCAAATGATAAAAAGCTTTAATTTCACTATATGAAGAGAAAAAAAACTAATGTTTTTGAGCTGTTTTCTTTCTCTAATACAGCTTTATTTATATGCGGTTACAACAATGTTAAACCTAGATACTGCAGATGGGTAAATCACTGCACCACCGCTAACTATTTGAATGTTGAAACTGAACATTTAAACGCAGCTCTACTGTATGACTGAGGTGCTTTTAATCATATTATAAAAACAATGGGTTACTCAAGCTAGTCCACTTACCTAGACTGAGTCTATCAGAGAGGCGGTCTCTATCTGGTGTTCCTGTGTAGCTGTGGTTAGATGCAATGGTTTTGTCATTGACAGGATTACCCATAATCGCCACAAGGGACGGACACAGCTGCTTCCTGGTTAGAGGAAAATGATCAATTCATTAGTAATATGAATGTTTTTAAAAACAATTAACACCAATTCAGTGAGTTAAGAGGATTTTGAAAACAAGAAAAAAAAACAGACCATCAAAGATAGCAGATATCGTGGCTAACTGTGTGTATTTATTACACTAGATTGTCAGTGAGTGAAGACACAAAGTTCTACTGAAATGTTCATTTCCAGGCCATCCTTGTGGGATTAGAGCTCATGTTTTATTTTATTTTTCTATTAGCGGCATTGAATATCTCACCATACAAGGTCAGTGAAGCCTCTGGACAGGTGCATTGTGGGAGGACAACTGCTGAGCATGGAGAGGATACACTCCAGGTAGAGAAGCTGCAAGAGCTGGTTTCCACTGGAAGGTGAAGAGATATGGCACAGCTGTTGTTACTTTTGTATTTTATATGTTAAGGAGAGTCAGGTATTTCACTTGTTATTTTTAGACAAGCCAGAAACACTCAAACCCACAGTGCTGCAGCAGTGGTCTGACAAACTGAGAGTGGGCTATTGGGTAGACAAATACCAAGACCACAGAAAGGCTGAATGAGAAGAGGGCTGAAGGTTGAGGAGCAGCACACTCATTTTTCTATCTACAAAGAGAAGCGAGCACGGCAGTTTTCCCACCAACACAATTGTGACACCAGACGATTTGCTCAAAAAAGACAGAGCATCCTCAAATTCAAATTTTAAAACTGACTTTGTTTCTTTGTTCCCTTATGATTAAGCACAATGAAACTGTGTTGCAGCAAAAACTTTAATAATTTGTGTCTCAAGATAATAATGTGACACTTAAGTCACGAATAATGGTTTTATGTGGTACAGTCAAAAGGTCCTCTCACTTACCACCAAGTATCAAAAAGAAAAAAGTTGCCAATGTTGAACAAATCCATCAATGAAGGACCTTGAAAAGTTATGACAAATTTCCCAGCAGGCCATCTAATTGTCATTAGATTTCACTTACAACTCCAAAGCAATTACACAGAAAAGTCGTTGTTTCAAGCCAAAAAATAATTTACACTCACATGAGACAACACATTTTTTATATGGATTCATCTAAAAAAATATATTTACAAGTTATTTTTGGACCTGCTCCCTCTTTCAAGTCTTCATATCAAGCTGAGCTCATACACGCTTTCAAGGGTTACGTATGAAGCTTTGATTAATCTTCTCCTTACTACCTCTAAGAAAGAAGAAAAAGAAAAAGCTTATATACTTAGTTGAAGAAGTCTAAAGTTCTTAACCAGAGTTACCTGTGTCTAACACAGAGGAAACTTTAGGTACAGCAGCTGGTCTCCATTAAGAAGGCCAGATTTTAAGTTATCTACTAATCTAGAAGGGATTTTGTCAACAATTCTTATAAATTTTCTATATAGAGCCTGAAGATTCAGATACAGGAATCACACTTCAATATCACTCAATTATTACATCAGCATCAAAAGAAACAATATCTTAGATGTAATGAGAAACTGCACAGTTACCTGTCCACAGACTCCAACTTTTCACAAAAAACAGTCAGAACAGTCACCACATCTTCACACAGAGCCTGGCTTGTGGGGGAAATATCTGCAAACAGATACACAATAACAAGGTTAATTCATGGAATCTACTTTATCTTTATTCAATTTGTATATGGGCTAATAAAAACTTCATTACTTTCTGTGTCTCTTTTTATTCTCTCTTTCTCGATTATACCTCCAGATTTCTTTGTAATACATAAAATAAATCAATAACCCTCTATAAACCTGTTTGGCTCTCAGCCTGGAGAGGCATCCATCTAAAAAAAAAAAAAAACCTTGTGTGTATCAAAGTGTTAGGAATTATATAAAAGTCCTCAGACTGAAGGTGTAACATAAAATCCTTTAGATTGGTGGTTAATTGGTTTAATTGTAATGGCTAATAGACAGTTTGAGCTCCACATGATGGATTATGAAAACTCACAGCCATGAATTGTGAAAACAGGAATTCTGAGGGCACTATGACAAAACAAGGACAAGATTTTTTTTAAGAGACAATAATAAAACACATGTCAAGTACTAGATAAGCAAAGACTGCTTTGTCTGTTGGGTGTGCCGAAGTTGAGACAAAACAAAAGTTCCTCACAGGAGCTTCATTCTACGGTTTATAAATTGTGAATTTGTTTGTACGTTAGGCTCCCAGATTCAGCTATTTTAAGATTTTGAGGGCTAGTTGGTTAAGCATGTAAACTTTGTGTGAATGTGGAACATGCTGTAAAAGGAAAGTCTGTTATCTCAGTAAAACAGATTAATCTCAACACAATTTCAAGGCTTACATTGTCAGTCTAAGCTGTACTTCTCCAGCTTCAGCCACAGACAAGACATGAAAATGTGCAGACTCCCCCTACATCTTCCTGAAAGTGTTTGCTGAATAAATCAGGGCATGCTTTTCAAAATTCACAGATTATCAAGTTTGCAAAGATTGTTGGCGTTTTCCTTCCAACAAACATTGTGAAGGGTTCTCAGGCTTGCAAGGAGAAATAACAATCATCCTCTAATCATATTCAACATCAACCCTACTTTTCTGAGGCAATGCCTTTTCACTTTGTATTTCAACTCAACGCCTGATTACTTCAGTGAAAACAAGTAGCACTGATTCATATTTGCCACGATATTCTTGATTATATAACAGTGGTAATTACAGCCCTGGAGCAGAGAAGGGCAGCAAAGGTGAGTGATAGCACTGGGATTGATTTACCTCTTCTATGCAGGGGTGGTGCAGTCACCTCCTCCCCGTCTGCACCCTGTAGAAGAGAGCACAGCAGGAGGCATGTTTACTGTGTCTGCCTGTAATTGCTTTGCATATCCCTGAGTGCAATGTGTGTAAACATACAGTAAGTGTGAGTTGAGCCCCCATCATATAAGACCAGACCCACTCCCATCCTATCTTCAACAACATGAGTGTAGCACTTGGCAGCATTTAGCAAGTTACAGTGTCACAGCTAGACTTCCTTTAAACAGGCATAAACTTGAAACAGATAGTTGATACCGCTATACAGCAAGCTATCATAAGATCTGTGCTGTTATTTCTAGCTCTGATTTATAAGTAAGGCCAAAGCTTTATGTTTCTGTGTGTCTGTCTGACTGCTGCAACGTGTTTTTTTCTGTGCGAGGACATGACCTCTTGTCTGTGTCGCAGCTGTAGCGTCAAGTCCCCCAGTATTTGGCTCAGCGTGGCTCTGACCGCAGTGTTGATGCTGCGTTGGTGACAGCTGGACACATAGGTCTCGATACACACCTAAACACACAAAGACACACACAAAGGTTACATCTCTCAGTGTGAAGCCTGAGTCAGAAAAACAGAAAAGTGATGATGCACAGTAGCAAGACAGCATCACACACAGACAATGAACCACAAGAAAGATTTATTAGAGGTTTCCATGGCGTCATGAGCGAACACAGTAAGTGGACAAATGACAGGGAGGGGGCAGGGGGATGTATTGTCAGTGAGTCAAGAGCCATCCAACCAGATTATAAACCAAGAGAATCTCTGAAGATCTATTGAGGGTTAGAGGGCAGTAGCTGATTCACACACACGTACACACATGCAGACATATCCAAAACCTTTACTTCCAACAGGATTTTTAGAGGAACTCTTAGTCCCCATATGGCAGAAAAAAATGCAAAAAGGCCTCTCTGAATAATTGTGGAATAATAGTTTATTTTGCAGTGTCATTAAAAACATACCCAAGGGTAGGGGAGAGTGGGGTAAGAGATGAGCCATTTTTCATATTTCGGATCACTACATTAAGGCAATCGTGGTTTTGTCTCTAACTAACTGTCTCTAACACTAAATAAGTGTAAACATAACTGTCTTGATAATATAACATGCCAAAAAAAGTGGTCTCCTATGGTCAACTTATCCCGTGTATGGTGTAAATTGAGCATAGGAGTGGGGTAAGTTGAGCCGTATCCCTACTACCCCCCACTCTCTCTCTTCCTAAATAACAGTCACTTCTTCACATTCATGTGTATTTTTATCTATTATACACTATTCAACTAGTACAATAATTATTTTATTATTATTGCTTATACTTGCTAAAAGATGTTTTGTAAAAATATATATATATATTTTAACATGAGAATATCTTTAAGTGATTCAAAACATCCACAGCTGTATTTTTGAAAAGAAAAAGTCAAACATTTCAACAATCTGAACTGAAACTCTGATCCTCTCGTCAGACTCTTTTACTTTCTCAGTTGAACCACTGGCTCAACTTACCCCAGAACTACTATTGTGACTTTATTAGTCCTCTAAACTGAAATGGTGGACTTTTATGCCAGGTTTTTGACCTCATGTTGTAGCTCATAGATACCACAATTGATGTATAAAACAAATTCAAATTGATCTTTTTTTGATTTAACCACTATTCTAATAAATCTTCTGATGGACTAAATTTACTTTCAAGAGTGAAAAATGTTGGAAACAAATGTCTAACCTCTTCATCCATGTGCTTCTAACCTTCACAGACTCCATGAATTGATGCCCATCTCTTAAATATTTGGTCACATGATCAATTTCTTTTATCATTTCCAAGCAAGAGGGGGTGGCTCCACTTACCCTTTGGATTAATTTACCCCACTCTCCCCTATGTGGAGGACACTCACAATAATAGGACCTGCTGTGATGGAGCTTGCTTGTGTATTTGTTCCTGAAAAACGAGAATATTTTTATACATAAAAACGGCGAAAAACGATATGCAAATGAGCGCTCTCATTTGCATATCTATTTCTGAATGCCAGTAGAATTGTGAATAAGATAGAGCAAAAAAAAATATTTTGCATGGGAAACCGGAGAGTTAAATTTACATTTTCTACTCATAAAGTCTCCCATTGTTTTCCCGCCAGTCACTCTTACTTTTTTTGCACAAATCCATTAAAAGCGCAAAAAACTAAAAATTATAATCCAAACCGCTGTGATTCGTAAATCAGAATATGCGTGATGACGTTGGAGTATGCACTATCACGAGGTTTTCTTGCCCACCAATGGCCGCGATAACAGGAAGTGATGTCATTTTCCCTGGGTCTTTTTTTCCCAGAAGTTGTAGTTTTTGAAGAGTTCACACTTCTCTTCACTTCGCTCGGACTCTTGCTTTTGTCTCATCGTTTAGAATCTGCTGATATTATGCAAACACACACACGACAGACACTCTCGTCTCGTCTTTTAGTATCTGTTGCTCTTTTGCTAACACGCACGCTAGACACACTCCACACGCTCACACCCACACACACATGGAGCTGCGAAGAGCAGGACGCGCCAAATTGCTCGAAACTATGAAGGTAACTCCAGCGTCGGATGAAGATGAGGATTTTGTTCACTCATCTGATCTAGATTTGGCCGACAGTGGAGATGAAGCAGACTTTATCGACGGGATAGATCCGTTCCATGACATGTATGTATATATTCATGAGATATTATTAGTTTCTGAGGAAATTAGACAACTGGCTGCCGTGGACCTGCATGACTCAAGCTGCATGGTTTATGATTGTTGGCCTCAGGCCCTGAGCTCCTTCTTCTCTTGGGTTCCTCTGGACTGTTGCTGCTGAAATTTACATCAGCCTCACCGACATTTATATCATAAACTAGAGTGAACTACTGTTAAGTCTGCTGACTGTAATCACATTAAAATAGTTTAACATAGTCCTTAATTACTCATATCCTGATCCTGTGAACTGAACTCATTTTTCACCAATACTTGCTCTGCAACCACAACTTTGCATGAGCTATTGTTGTTGTTGCTGTTGTTTCAATGTTGCTGCTGTCCCCTGTCTCTCTCTCACCTTCGTTCTCTCTCTCTCTCTCTCTCTCTCTCTCTCTCTCTCTCTCTCTCTCTCTCTCTCTCTCTCTCTCTCTCTCTCCTTCCCCAACCCAGCAGCGGCTTGGTGGCTGTCTGGCATTAGTCTGGTCCTTCCCAAGGTTTCTGCCTGTTAAAAGACATTTTTTCCTTGTCTGGCATGAGTCTGGTCCTTCCCAACGTTTCTGTCTGTTAAAAGGAAGTTTTTCCTTGCCACAGTCAATCATGTTAGATGAGATGGGTCAAATGTGTCCCATCTTAAGGTTGGGTCTTGATAATTTATCAAATAATAAGCATGGTCTAGACCTGCTTTTTTTCTCTCAAAGGCGCCTTGGGATGAAAACTGTTGTGAATTGGCGCTATATAAATAAAATTTGAATTTTGATTTGACAATTTAAAAAATTCCAATGTGCAATGCACTTCTAAAACACATTGTAACTTTTTCTGTGTGCAGTGTTGATGACATTAAGGAGGAAGAAGAGACCTCCTGGTCCCCTGAGGCGCCAAGTATTCTGGAGAGAGGCAGAAGAAGGAGACAGCCTTCACCAAACTTGAGCTGCAGCAGTCAGTCTCCTCGCAAGCGCTCCAGGACAGAGACACTTCCTGCTGATGTAGCTCGCTGGAGATGTGAAACTGAACCTGATACCTTGCCACATTCCCCACTACATTTCCTGCCCAAAAGAACGCCAGGTGTGCAGCCACCTCTTGGACAGTATGTGGTCAGTCCATCTCCATCTGAGCTGTTCAAGATGTACTTTGACAAGGCTACCATCAAAACACTGTGCGCAAACACTAATAAAAATGCAGCTAAAAATATCGCTGCAGGAAAAAGATTCAAATGGACTGAGGTCACAGAGGCTGAAATGTATCAGTACATAGGGATGACATTGTACATGGGGATTCTGAAGCTGCCACAAAGCACTAATTATTGGCGCACAGATTCCATTTTTAGTGTGCCATATCCTGCAAAGGTCATGTCCAGAGATCGGTTCAACTTCATCACTTGTAACATTCATATGAGTGACCCTGCAGAGGATGCCCTCAATGACAGCAGAAAAGGCAAGGTTGACTATGACTGTCTGCACAGAATTCGCCCCCTGTATGACACTTTACGTGTAGCCTGCAAAGCTGTGTACCACCCCCAGAAAAACCTCTCTGTGGATGAGCGCATGGTAGGCACCAAAGCCAAAATTGGCCTGAGGCAGTACATAAAAAACAACCCAATAAAGTGGGGGATGAAACTTTTTGCGCTGTCAGACGACACAGGCTACACTGTGGACTTCAATATTTATACAGGGAAATCCACTGTGGTGAGTGGGAATGGACTGCCATTTGATGCTGTGATGTCGCTCATCAACAAAAACTTCCTGGGATCGGGATATCACATTTATTGTGATCATTTCTACACCAGTCCAGTACTCTTCAACCACCTTCATGATCTGGGATTTGGAGCCTGTGGGACCTTTCGAGATACAAGAGTTGGCATTCCAAAAACCAAGGAGAATGCCCTGAACAAAAAATCTCCCCGAGGGACCATCAGGTGGATCAGAGAGGGAGCTCTTTTATTTGTTAAATGGATGGACACCAGGGAGGTGAGAGTCTGCTCCACTCTGCATACTGCCTTCTCAGGGGAAACTGTAAAAAGAAACACCAAGGTTGGTGGAAAATACAGGACAATCAGAGTGCCAGCTCCGTCAGCTGTGAAGGACTACAACCGCTTCATGGGGGGAGCTGACCTGTCTGACCAGCTGATCGGCTCCCAATCCTTATGGACAAGGAGCAGGAAGTGGTATTTGACAGTGCTGCAACACTTTGTCGACATTGCTGTAACAAACAGCTATTTGGTGCACAAGGAGCTGTGTGGCAGACGGGAGCAGAAGCCCATGATACAGCAGGCCTTTCAGGAGCAGCTGACAGCTGAGCTGTGTGGAGTACCTTCACAACCAGTCCCAGAGGACTATCAGCACATCCCTGTTGCCATTTGTAAGGGGGCATCAGGCCCAAACAAAGCTACAAAGGGGCGCAAGACGTGCAAGCTGTGTGGGAGGTGCACTCCCTTCATGTGTGAGGCATGTAAAGTGGCTCTGTGCGTGATCGTGGACAGGAACTGTCACAAGGCCTATCACAACTACACTGCTCCAATCGAAAAGGATTTTTGACTCTGCCTGCTACACACAAAAGTTGTAGCATTCTGAATCTGTCTGGTATTCAGTATTACTTCTTCGAACACTTTGACATGTTGACTGCAATCAAATAATGACATGCACCACCTGTTGAGCAATAGTTGGAGATATGGCATACACCTAAAGCCTTTCAACTTGGGGTCTGAAAGAAACAGGAATCAGTTGAAACTGACTCAAGGTGACAGAAACTGTTTCCTCAGCCGAAAGTCAAATTGGATGTTGGGGGAAGCATAATACTGTTTTGTATCTTGATAAAAAAAATTGGTGGAATTTCTGTTCATTTGTTCTCAACTTTCAGCACAGTAAAAATTTTTATATATTTTTTTTTTGTTTATTGCACTTGTTATTGTTTTATATGTCTCCATATATGTGTGCTCCTGGGCACCTGAGTAAACAACTTAAAACACTTAAAAACACTTTTTAAGTGTTGTCAAAAATTATAAAAACTTATTTATATAGCACTTTTAAAAACAAATGTTTACAAAGTGCTTTGACATGCAGGAAAACAAAGAAAGATAAAAACAGAATAACAACGACTACTCAGGGGGGAAAGAGCCTAGACAAGACTAAAACCCAGACTACATGTCCTAATGAGACACTATCGGCAATAAAGAGTAGAAATAAAATGAAAATACGAGGAAGACATTCCTTTGCTTCGCTTTGACAAGTGTCACATGAGCTGAGACATCATTAAAACAAAGATATTAAGGACATAAGAACCTGTGATACCCGGCCAACACAGGAAACCAACCACAAAAACCTGAGACCAAGGGGACTGAAGTTTAGAGAACTATTAACATGAAGAGATGTAAAATTGGAACTGAAAAATAAATGTGAAGAAGTAAGTCAGAGGAAGCTTAAGTGATACAAATATTAAAACAGTAAGAGAAGTAAGAGACAATAAACCATGAATAATAAGAGTAAAAAGAAGACGACATCACATAAAAGCAAGTCTATAAAAATGATCTTAAAAAGAAATTTAAAAGCAGTGAATGAAGTAATGGACACACTCCAAATATGTTTCCTGGGTTTTGAAATTATTTTGTGCAACTTTTTTAAATTAGAATTTTTGAGGGATACAGCTATGACATTTCTGTATTTGGGAAAATATGTGTAAAAAAATATGTATTTTCTTGGTGGTTAATTACACTTTTTGCAATTCATTCAGTTAATCAGGACAAACATATTATTAAAATTTGGGATGTAAGGGTTGTATTGGTGTGTGGCAAATTAAAATTATACAAAAATGGCTCTACGGCATGTAAAAAATGTAAAATTAATATGCGCTGGCAAGCTTGTTCTATGGTAGGCTTTAAAGGTAGGTCCTCATTCAACCAAAACTTATGACACAGTTTCTAGATGGAATTATTTCCTTCTGCAAAGGTAGATGATTTCAGGGAAAGGACCCCAAAGTTCTCCTCTGTCCTGTGAGGCTAAAGAAGCTGAGAGGAAACCAGTTTATACAGCTCCTAATAGAGAGCATCTCGGCTAATTGTATTCACAGTTAAGTCTCAGCAGCCTCAGGGATGGTTTCCACCACCTGTGCCTAATCAATGACAGATCAATACATCCTGCACTATTATCCCATCCAGCTGCAATTGAGTCTGGGCATGAAATGGCAAGACTGTAAGGAGCTGCCCTCCAAAATAAAAGCTTCTTCCAGCCCCAACACTTTCAACAGTTTCTCAGTTTTGATCTCACATCTTTTCAAGCTTTTTAGGCATAACTGCAGTTTAGTGAACTTAAATATGATTGAGGCTTAATACCTTACATGTGGCAGGTATATCCAGTATTATATAACATGAATTGCAAACAGTTCTCTTTGAGTTTTAATCAAAGTACTTCAGGGAGAAAAGTGACAAAGCTAGTTAGAAAAGGTGATGTTTGACTGTCCAAAGAATCAAATGTGTTTTCATATTCACTCGGGAGTGACATTTTAAAAATTACTGACATCATCTCAGTGATGTCTCCCACTGGTTTCTGAAGAGGTGCTAAGTAGCCCAACAATGGGGATTGACATGTTTGAAATGCTCTCTCCTACTAACTTTCTACCAATCTACAGATCCTTAGCCTCCTTTGTGTGAGTCCACTTGCCACACCCCCAATCATGCTAATGTTTGCACTCCTCCTAGCTTCCATATGATCAAAACAAGTGAGTTAAAAGACAGCCTACACTCCCCACAGGTATCATGCATGGAGGAAGGAGCCACTGAAACCAAACAGTCTCTTGTTGCAGCATTTTGAATCTGTCTGGGGTTCAGAATTACTTCTTCGAACACTTTGACATGTTGGCTGCAATTGAACAATAACATGCACCACCTGTTGAGCAATAGTTGGAGATATGGCATACACCTAAAGCCATTCAACTTGGGGTCTGAAAGAAACAGAAATCAGTTGAAATTGACTCAAGGTGACGGAAACTGTTTCCTCAGTCGAAAGTCAAATTGAATGTTGGAAGAGATATGATTGTGTTGCAAAGATAAAGTGTTAACTCCCAGCTCTTGGTGGCTGAAACTGAATAAATCCCTTCAAAGCTGCCAATCCTTGCATTAAGAACCTGAACTGAGCCTCACTGTTCGAACGGGATGTTACAGATAATGGAGTGTTGTTGACAGCCTCTCAAGCCACCCTGAGTTATGACCCAACACAAACAGAAACACACTCGCACCAGATGGCCGTTCCTGGCGGCACACAGCCCATTAACACAACATGTTGACCAGGTTTTTATGAGCTGTTAATGGACGTCAGCAATCACCTGGGCGCAGGAGCTTCTGCTGCTGCTGCTGCTGCTGAGGGGAGCTATGTTACAGAAAAACAATCCTTGAATAATGCCTGGCAAAATGCGAGTTTGGGTTTTATCTTTGGAGCCACAGGGGTTGGTGCTTATTGGTTAGATAGCAGGTCAAAACAATAACAGCAAAGGCCACATTTTTAGTGCACAGATTTCCTTCACAGAAGACTCCAGCTGGGTTCTTCTGTGATTGCCAGATAATGTTTGTATGGATATATGTGTCCTAATGAAGAGATTCATAAAAGTCATCCACATATTCTACAAAATGATTAAAATACAAATATAATAGCCCAACCAAACTTCCCCCCAAACCCTACAGCTCTGCCCAGCCCTTTTTTTCCTGCCCCTACAGTTAATTCCAGGAGCTTTGTGTAAAGCTTGAAAAATATCACAAATAAAAGCCTTGTTACAGTCAAAACTCACACACAGCTAGACAAATTCAGAAGGCACCTGAGCAAAAGGGAGGTATTGTATATCACCTGTTTATCAACTGCCTTTAGGGTCAATTCATAATACCAATAATTGATTTAAAATCTGACTTTAATTCTGACAAAGAAAGCCCATAAGCTTTGCTTCAAGAGACTATGTATAACTATAAATATCTTCATTTATTAGAGATGTACTATGATAGCACATTTCGATATGTTATGGATAAACATGAACCCTTGAAATTTTTGTACAAACGTTGTAAAATCAGAAGATTTATATGTTTTATGTTTGTGTGCAGTTGTGAGTTGTGCGTGAGGACCACTCATCTCAACTTCTAAATAATTGATGAGATTACAGCATGAGATAAAGCCTTTGAGTGAGGGAGGTAGAAGCGAAGCATCACCTTTAAAAATAGACCAGCTCAGTGTACTGCTTGTTCTGCTGACAGTTAACAAAGAGGAGCAATGCTGTCTGTCTTTGGGATGACATGGATTTGTTCAATTTCAATGAAAACAGCTTTGGTCATTTGAAGAAATCTAAAGGTCGGTTTGATTGCAGCTGTTGCAGTAAAAGTAATTGCAGTAAAATCTCAAAAGTGATGATGAAGCTCATGTGTATCAAACAAACTCAGGCCATCCTACCTCAGCAATCCTCAGGATGGAGTCTCCGTTTATGTCAAAGTTTGGTGAGTAGGTGATGCACAGCAGGACCTGCACAAAAAGGGGAGGGGGGACACAAACACAGTTTATACTTCCTCTTTAAAATGAACTACTCTGGTGATGACTGTGCTACTCCATCTTTATAATAATAATAATAATAATAATAATAATAATAATAATACATTTTATTTGTTAAGCGCTTTTCACAGACTCAAAGACGCTGTGCTTTGCTCTTTGCTCTCTTCGAATGGAAATAACAGCAGTTCAGGAAAAAAAAATCTGGTAGATGAAACTTAAGCTCTTTGACTAAATGAGTCTATTGAGCTAAACACAAAAAAATGGTTGTAAAGGTAAAAAGCAAATGGGGTAAAGAAATCTGAAGAGGCTGGACTGTCTGAAAACCATGACCACAGAATCTGAAATGAGAGTAAAATTTGTCTTCATGCTCATCATTTCTGCAGTCAAGCCTGTTTCCAGCACTGCGCTTAATTAATGTAGAGTTTTGCTCAATAACGGTGTGTGCTTTGCAAAATTGTGCAAACCTCGAGTGCAGACATAAAGGAACATGGAGCATCAGTGTGGGGGCAAAAACCTGAGTTTGTACATCACCAGGTCTTACCTTCATGACTTCAACCTGCAGGTCTTCATGGAGGGACGGGGTTATTCTAATGGCCTCCAACATCTGGCTGAGCAGCTGCTTCTCCAGGACCTCCACCTCCATGCTGACTCCGCCCACAAACCTGTCCTCACACAGGAGCTTCTGAACGGGGAGAAAAGCAGAGGTGAGGGTAGCAGACACATGATACTTGATGTGTAAGATGGTGGCCTTCCTGCTCTTTAATATAAAAGGATTACTCAAAGTTAACTAATATATGATATCCACTTTATATAAAGTCTTTTCTGTTAATGTCCACTTATTTCTACACACTGCACCTTCAAAAGATCAGGTTTTATTCAACAAATGTACCCACAAAAGTAAACATGTCTGCAGAGCAAAACTTTACAGAGAACTAGAGTGAACAAAGATGAAAAGTTCACCTTCACTGTGAGGGTAGATTGTTGTTTCTTACTTTAATCAAATTCCAAACTGTTAGTTCATGCAAAACACGTGAGGAAAGACAGAGAAAAATAAGATAAAGAAAAAATAGGAGAGCAGGAAAACCGTGGATTGTATTACCTGCATCCCAGTCAAAGCTGTCTGTCCCAGTTTGGTGTTTCTAGACTCAAGAGCCATCTGTAGAGGCAGCAGGCAACGCTCCCTGGAAACACAGAAACAGAGGCCTGCTATAACAACTTTGATACCATCAGTGTTTCATTGCAGTTTCATTTAATATCCATTTCCCTGGCAGCGATTTACAGATAGGAAACACTGAGACTGGCCCCTAAGAGAGTCAGTTTCCCAAGAGTCAAGAGTCAAAATGCTTAACAAAGAAGTCCAATCTCTGGTGTTTTTGGGCGTGTGAAAATCAACTTTAGTTTTTTCCTGTATTTATAATGTAACGCTTGTCCTTTTTCTTTAAAAGTGCTCCCTCCAGTCAAAGTAAGTAGTAAAAATTATAATCATTGATAATTTAACCAAAAGCTTGAGTTTTTCTCAAAGACTGTATATAGAATGGACACTGTCTGCTTCCTCACTGGGTGAAGCCACTGCGAGAACAGCACCCTCTGGTGACAGGCTGCATTCAAGGTCATAAATTCCACCTCCTCCAGCAATTCCTATGGAGCTGTGGACTAACTTTAGAAATTTATTACACAGAATATACATTTTTTCCCCCTGCTTGTGATGTTGACTTGTAGTTACTGTCAGACTGGTTTGTGCTCAAGTCCTCTTTTTTCTGTACAGCTCCGTTTTTTAAAGTTATTAGGGGGTTCATGTTTTCTATGATTGACACTTGACACAGTCTATGGGCGTACGAAGATTGCGTAGCTCATCCGGGGGATACGCTGTTTGAGCCAAGCGTCATCACAGCGACTCTCAGCGACTCTCCTGCCAAATGCGTACAACACTACTGCACAATGAAAAAACGCGAAATAACAGAGAGCTTTTTGGCTTCAAATCCATAAACTGGTGGAAGGCGGAACCAAGTTGTCTATAGTTTATACAGTCTAAGATTTTTTCTTTAATGAAGTGTTATTTTTTCTGAGCTTTACTGCGAAAAGAAAAGGTTAACTGTATTCAGTGATAAAACACAACCTAATGAACCATGTGTCTTTCATGACAATAACAGAGAGGGGCTGGATGGCTGGATTGACGGACAGACAGATGGATGGGTGGATGGATAGAAAAAATCCATCTATCATCCATCCTCTGAGATGCAATTAACCAGTAACAAGGTAAGGCTTTGCAGGACTGAGGGAAAAACAGATCTACTGAATATGAAAAGGCCTCAGACTTGACCTCAGTCATGAACTCCAGTCCCTATTCCTTCTTTTCCTCCTGCTAACAGCTGAACTTCACATATTTTAAATTTAGAACATGGGTGAAACAACTTAAGTAATCTTCTCTCCTCCGTTTTCACATTTCGTCAGAGACACAAAGAACTTCTCCCATCGAGTTTTTTGTATTGATCCTGCAGGGAGGCTGGTAGAGAAGGAAGTCTGTATCTGTGTCTCATGTCTTATCTTCCCTCGCTCTGCTGTTGAAAGGGACACCATGCTCCACTGAAGCTCTTTTGTTAATCAGTCAGAATCAAATCTTTTTTCAAGGCTGGGAGAAATCAAAGTGAACCCTGCAATGTTTTGTAAATATGGTTGAACAATGCAGACTATTTAAAACATGAAGGCTGTTTCTAATAATAATGACAAGAGAAGATAAAAGATAAGCAATAAATAGACGTGAGTATAGCTGCTTTGTTGAACTGAAAACAGTTCAAAAACACCAAAACTTAGTGAGGCGTATTCTGCTTTGACCTCCATAGTCACAGAGAAATGTCACTGCTGACTATTATGGGTCTTGAGATGCAGTCGTTCAGCATTGGTGTCTTCAGGCTGCAAGTGCCAAGCACGGGCTGTGAACCAGTGATAACAAGCTTATGATGTTTCAGACTTTTACAACACTGGAAACTGCAGAAACAAGGGCAAAACAAGCATAAAGCCAACCTAAGATAACAGTACCTGACCAAACAGTTGAAAACACGTACGCATAGGAGACTGCTCAAACCGATGCAGTGAAGAAAATGAATCTCAATATCCTTTTTCAACGGCAGATCTGCCTTCGGCTATATTCACACTGCAGGTCAATTCAGATTTTTTAACCATATGTGACACATATTCATGCAAGTGTGAACAGTGCAATTCTGATTTTTTCAAATCCAACCCAGGCCTCTTTTGTATGTGGATATAAATCGGATATGTATCCGATGTGACTGCAGTGTGGACGCTCAGGCGCGTTCATCCGACCTATACGTCATTAATATGCGACAAACGTCAACATTGTTCAACAACACAATCGGGCATGGAAAGCAATTTGTGCTTTGTGTGCATGTGGGTCTGGTCGCATTCGTTGTTGTGATGTGAACGACCGCACAAAAAGACCGGATTTAAATAAAAATCAGAATTGTGCATCATAACCCGCAGTACGAATGTAGCCTTAGACTCTCTGATTGGATGTCATTATGTCTCTGTATCTGAATAGAGGCCATAGACTGTATACTATGGACAACTTGGCTTCACCCTCCGCTAGTATATGGATTTGAAGCAAAAAAGCTCTCGGTATTTCACGATTTTTTCTCCACTTCCTGACACCAACATTGCGCAGTAGCATTGTACACATTCGGGAGAGTCGCTGTGATGACGCTCAGCTCAAACAGCGCATCACCCAGGTGAGCTACGCAGTCTTCGTACGCCCATAGGCTGTATCAAGTGTCAATCATAGAAAACATGAACCCCCTAATAACGTTTAAAAATGGAGCTGCACAGAAAAAAGAGCACTTGAGCTCAAACCAGTCCTACAATAACTACATGTCAACATGGCAAGCAGGGGGGAGAAAATTTTATATTCTGTGTGGTAAATTTCTAAAGTTTGTCCACAGCTCCATAGGGATTGCCGGAGGAGGCGGGATTTATGACCTTTAATGCAGCCCGTCACCAGAGGGTGCTGTTCTTGCGGTGGCTTCACCCAGCAAGGAGGCAGACAGCGTCCATTCTATGTACAGTCTTTAATAGAAGTCTATGGTCATGGCAGCATCAGATGACAAAGAAACAGTTGAGAATGCACTCCCAGAGTTTCAATATCTGAGTGTACTTGCAGAGCATTTCAGCTTTTTTTTTTTTTAAAGCATTGCCATCTACTCAGGAAAAACTGATGGATGCTCTCTACCAGTAATTTCTACAGCCTGTGTATGTGTTGCCTGAATGCATCCACACCTGCTCTGCGGGTAATAAAGACAACAAAAAAGTGTGTAAATGATGTCAATGTAAGAGCTTAAGCATCTTTTGGGAGCACTAATGCATCAAACACTTCTTTAGATTCAGGTGTACTTAAGCTGTCTCTGTCCTATAACTTTCCCAGAGCTTTCCACACAGGCCCGTTTTTCACAACCAGACATAAAGTGAACTGTGTGTAAGGCTGTGAAAAAGGCAAATAAAAGTAGCCAAAAGAAAAAAGAAAAAGAAAAAAAAAACAAAACGGTGTCATAAGCACTCTTCTCTCTTTGGCTTTATCACAAACAGAATATTGTGGATGGATGGATGGTATTGTTTCACAAGATGGGCATCTTGGTGTTTTGTTTAAAAAAAAGAGGAAATAATCTGATGCTGTTTCTGCACAACAAACGCTAAACGAACTAGCATTTTTGTTACCTCAGGCTTAAGGACAGCTATTTATGGCTCTCTAATAATAAAAATAAGTTTTCAGATAAAAATAGAAGTTTAAGTTTCCACTTCCTTTCTGTCTTCAAACTACACACAGCAGTGTAGGACAGAATCAGTTACATAACCCTGCTACTGTGTTTGAATCACAGAGCTATTTTCTCTTTCTTCTATTTCTTCAGTCTTTCTTTGTCTTGTGTTCCACTGTACACTCACTCCCTCTCCATTTCCTCCTCATTATTTGTAGTCGGGTGAGTCAGCGCGCTCTGCTGCTGATAGCAGGCTACCGGGTTTTATCTCTGAGCTCCTAGGCTACTCTGAGCTGTCACAACATCACTGGTTCAAAGAGGCTGCAAGAGACCACAGCTGGCACAAAACCACACAGTTCCTCAGGGTTTCGATAAATTCAGACACTATATATGAGCATGCTGAGTACAACTAATAAAAGGCTACAAAGAAAACAACGCACATTACAATATTTGACCCTAGAAGACAAAGAAATATGAAAAAAAGGGGGTAAAATATTGGTGCTATACTTTTCGCACCAATTACCAATAACTGAAATATCTGAAATTCTTACTTTGGATTGAGAGGGGCAAAGTGGACTGAGAGTCATGGCACTACATTACAAAGACATTACCATCAATATTTAATCAAATAATCTCTAATAAAACAATAGAGCTTATTGAGTGAATTATTCATAGCAAAATGAGCTGAAACAGCATCTAGAATTTATAGCACCACAATTTTACGGCCACCACCACCACCAGCAGCAGCAGCTCTCCACTCAATCCACAAATTTAAACTTAGAAAACAGAAAATATCATCATACCAGATGGCCATAGAAATATTTCCCTAATGGAACAGGCAAAAACAGTACGTCTGTTTGTACAATGTAAGTACTTTCTATACAAAAAGGATGGCTGTAGTCCAAAGCTTTTGGATGACAGTCACCGTGAACAGCTAAATAGTATTTCATTAATATCTACATTGAACTTCCTCTTTAGGTAATTATCATTGTTAGTGCTTATTATGAAGACCATATTGACCGTTCTGTTTCAGATGAGACAAGAAAACTATCTTTATTAAAGTCCAGTTTTGGTGAGATGGCTTTTCCAGCCAATCACAGTGGAGGGTAGGGCAAGGCAGGAGGATTGTCATGATTGTAGAATTTTTGTTTTGATACAAAAACTACAAAAAAAATTGATATTCAATATCTATTTTAAATAGATATTGAATATCATTTTTTTTTGTAACAAAAAACAAAATTGTAACAAAATTTTTGTTACCATGGCAATAAAAAATGAACTCCTAGATACCCCAATTATGATTTTTTTCATTCAAATTATTATTACTATTCCCAAAATACACACAGAACTGGTACAGAAAGAATCACTGAACAAAGTATTCAGTGTTTGACATACTGCCAAAAATAATGAAAGGCATAACACGTCTTTTTCTTTCATGAAAAATCTCCATATGGTTAAATATTCTCACTAAAGTAGTTCTTTTGTAGGCTTCGAACATAGATGATGATAGAGCTGTCTCTGTCCTCTGCCCTTATTCTGTCTAACATAAACATAATACATGTCTTCATTTGATGCTCAAGGACTCAACAAAGCGTCAGGGTCTTGAGGAGAGCTAGTGGTGGTAAACGTGACAGTGGGCATCACAGAGATGAGTCGCAGAGGTTTAGAATGGTCATAAGTCCTCAAGAGTGTAAGCGCTGTGACACAATCAGGAAACAACCTCTCATTTTTCAGTTTTGTTTTCTTTCCCAGCTTGCTCACTCTTCACTTTATCTCTATCCAGATCATTCACCACCTCCTCTATCACTTTTCTTTCCTCATGGCAGCTTCGGTTGAAATTATGAGAGTTTTTTTTTTTTGTTTTTCAGAAGCGTCAGTGTATTTCATCACTATCAAACATCAAAATAACAGATACTTTATTGCTTTGAAGAAGGGAGATAAAAAGGATCCAAGTAGGTTTTCAAAGGTTTGGGAAAAGATAAAGATAGTAACACTTCTTTATTATTTATTATATTACTATTCTTTAAAGTCCCACTCCTATAATTTTTTTTTACTATGTCTTAAAGTGTTCAGTGGTCTTTAAATTGTGATTATGAAGTTTTTAGCCGAAATCACTTTACCCGTGTCATTTTCAAGGGCTTTTTCTCTGCAGAGCTCCAGTTCATCATTAGAAACTCGCCTCTGAGTCGTGGGCGGAGACAGCGCTGCTCTGCTCCCCCTGCACCCTCATGCTAGCTTGCAGCCTAACATTGCCAGTGAGGTAGAAGTGGCAGGTAACATAGGAGCTATTCAGCTCTCAGACACAAATGTCTTTAGTGACATGATAAAAGTTCATATCATTATTAGCTTTCTTACAAGCGTTTTAATCCACTAACGAACAGACTTGTCCTCTCTACTTCTCCGAGTGTGGTCTGCATAGCTGGGTGGAGCTTTGAGTTGTGACGTAGGAAATCTCACTGTGTCTGAACCTTCTGTTTGGGTCTGCCAGAGGTTCACAGAAATTTCAATGCAGAAATACTCAGAAATGCAATCACGCACATAGTTTTCTCAGGATATGTCCTGAAAAATGCCATATGAACAACTAGACAATGATTTCCTTTAGAGTGGGTCTTTCATAGGCCTAAACTGTTTTAGTCTTCACAAAACTGACAGTATTTACAAGGCAGTTCAATTAGACATGTTTAAATTATGTTTAGTTCAAGTAATGTTTTAGTCTTGCTCAAAGACTCACTGTTCTAGCTCACTGGTAAGTTAAATATTTACATTATCATCGAAAGGATCATTACAACATTCAAATGAATTCAAATCAAATACACTGTGGATGGGACACAGTCTGACTTTCAATATTTAGTTATCTATTCCCACACAGTGAACTCACAGGCTGTATGTGAAACAGACACAGCTAATTTGGCCAACCTCTGAATTTAATCATTTAAGATGTCTCAACAAACCCTCTCCTACTTCACATGTTAGACTTAATGGACACAGTGTTTTTATCCCTGAACGATAAGCATTGGTCTATCTTGTATTTGTTGTGAGAGTTCTTGAAGTTTTAGAATTTCTGTGTGACAATTTTTGACCTCTTGTAACTAAAGCTTTGATTTAAGGTGAACAGAAATAAGACGGAGGCAGTAAGATGTAATTCTCACTTACCGAAGCTGTGATGGGGAAATCTTGGTTGATCCATTTTGAGCCTCAAGGGTATCTGTATTTTGAGGATATGAAGAAAAGGGAGGCAATGTGGTTAAGAATACACATCTTGGCAGATCTGCTGAGTTACAATGACCAAACAAATTGAAAAGTGTTTGATTTTCTGATACAATGGCTCTTAAATCCTACGGCTGTGACTCTAATATATGGTTAACCTCATAAAGGTGCTCATAGAGCGAAAGGAAATGCTTGTCATACAATGTTAATGCAGGACGACTCATCCCATGAACAGACTAAAATTGAAACGGTATAGTTTTTCAGTTTAAATGTGAAACCAAAGTAGAAGTACATTAAACCTGCATTCTTTTTCACAACCTGCAGGGGGCGGATTCACTAAATGAGGGAAACCAGACGATACAAGTGCCCCATCGTAAATTGCGCTCTAACAAATGCAATTGTGTTCTCTTGCAACTCTTCACAAGTGGTTGTGTTGTGTTCCAAGGTTTCGTGTAAACTAGCTTTACTCTTGCTTGCTTGCACTATATTTTATTTTTTATGAGTCCTATATCTGTTTGTGTACTCAAGGTGTTGTTCAAAAAGGATGACTGGCTTCCCTTATTTATGAAGGCAAATATGTGCTGCATGTTGATTGATGTGCTGGGTGTGTCTCCCAAAATGCATGTATTAAACCTAAAGTGTTAAATAAAGTCTAAGACGCCTGTTTACCCTTCACAATAACAATCACTAAAATATATTGCTCAAGAAGCTGTCTGTATTTAATAGGTCATGACTGTGGCCTCCACGTTTTGTCTTGTTAGAATTACGCACTTACATTGCTCTAAGGTCTGCAGTGCGCTTTGTTCATGCCCTATTAGGTTTGAACATGTCCTTGGAGAAGTGTATGTGCATTAATTCAGTGTGTTTGTGTGTTTGAAGGGTAACACAACTGTCCCTTCATCAGCACAATCAGCACTTGCTTTCTATCTGCTGAGTTTCACCTGCCACCCAAAGGTCAGACAGGCCCATCTTACCCATCATTAAGACTAATTATAGTACCTCTGACGTCAGTGGAACAGTTTTTTTGTTTTTTTGCGAGAGAGCTTTAATACATTTTCTTTGGAGTGTTTCTAACCAGTTTCATGTTGTGCTTCGAGTGCTGCATGGTGAGGAGAAAATGTCTGAGACTGAGCAGACAGTCAGTGGCGAGTTATGCAAGAGCTTCGATTCAAAGTCTGAAACTCAATTTCCTTAAAAGACATTTCTTTGTCTACGTGGAAAGATCCTATGAGCCACATTACTGTGATCTCCTTTTAACATTAGTGACTACAAGGGGAAAAGTAAGTCAGCACAAATTTCAGTACATTGATAATTTGCTGATATTAATGTTTTCTTTTCTTGTAAATTACCTATAATGTCGTTTTTTAAAAGAGTATTTAATTCCACTTTAAACATGCCTTGAAATATAGAAAGGTTGTTGGGCATGATCGTATACTAACTGAGAAATACCAAACCAGCTGAATGCAATCCATAAGCTCCGACCCCTTTTTAAACATCTTGTTATACTTCAGACATTTACCTGTTTCATACTTATATCCAATATTATGTGAGCTTATTTAACTTGATTTACTATACCTTGCCTATGACTTGACTATGAGATGTTAGTTCTGTATGATATATTATTAAGCTAAACAAGACCATAGTAGGCCTACATAACTTTCAGCTATCCAAATTAAGTACACAACTTCAAAACTCAATACATGACATATTTGTTTGACTGAGTGTGACCATAATATTCCTAAACTTGCTCATTATTGACAGTCCTCAACTAAACTTAAAAGATGCTGACAACTTAAAGGACATTACAACAGATTTCCCTCAACTCCAGATATACATGAAGCTAAGCCATGATGTCCGCTTATTTAGAGAAGGTTTGAATTCACATGAGCTGGATGAAAATCACTGCACTTTCAGGCTTTTTCACAGACACAACAAGTCAGTATTATTGTTAAAGTGGTGTCATGACTGTGCATTTCTATAACTTGTAACAATACTTTGGTTGCAAGTTGAGATTTGGTGAAAGATGATATCTCCAAAGAACAAAGAGGAACTGATATTAATATGGCGAGGTTTCATTTTCAGCTGTGCATACATTGCTGCCTTTAACACAACAGGTACAGCTTTTATTCCTGTCTTGGTTGATGTAGTATCACACCTGCACATGGAGGTGGAAATCCCCTCCACCTAACTACCTCTTTGGGCTTTACTACCATGGATAAGACTTCACTTTAGAGAAACACCTATGTTCCTTAAGATGTCCGGGTTACCTGTCATTTTTCTACCTCATCATTCAGGCCTGTGGGGTTAGTTTAGGTGCTCTCTGGTCCCTAAAGGCTAGTAGGTGAACACAGGCGCAGATCCCCCCACCTCCTGTAGCCGAGGATCCGGGTGGGGGCTGCTGAACACTCACCGCAGGCGTAGACGCAAGCATCGCGGATAGCTTTGTGCTTGTGGCCGGACGCGTCTTTCTGCAGCTTTCGCAGGATTTCCTCCATGCTGGCTCCTGAGAATAAGCGGCTTCGTGATGTCAAATACCACAGACACTCAGGAGGCTGAGTGGGTCTGTGTTCGCGTGGGGTTGTCTGTTGTATTTTAAGGGTGCAGTGACAGTGACAGCATCCCTGAACCCCCCCTGATGGAGACGATGATTCATTCCCAACGAGCAGCCAATGATGTCAGGCCAGCCGTCAATCCTGTGGAGGTGGAAGGAGGAAGACGAGTCTGTGTTTTTCTTGCTTATATCCACCTCTGTGTCCTACAGTCTGAAGAGGCAAATCCTCAGACGTCTGACGATAAATTCACATAAATTCACGATAAATTTGGTAAATAAACGCCCTTCTCATCTTTGCCAGTCGTGTAATCCTCAGCTCTACCGTGTTTTGAAATCCTTCCGCGCCGACACTTCTGTTCCTCACGAAATCCAGTTCCGGTTTCGGATATCCCTCAAAACAAGCTGCTTTGCACGCAGGGAATGAATGACGGCGCTCAAAAGCGGATTTCTCTCGGACCTGGCAACACCGTATTTACACCGTTTCCCTGTGGGGAGGCGTTAAACCGTGGAAAGAGTCTGTGCGGTCAGTGGAATGGGATTTCTTTCCTTAAGCAGCGCGACAGGTGGAGGAAGCTGCCACCAGGCGATATTAACCTTCAGAGTAAAAGTCATTTTAACACAATGGACAGGAAAAGGTGGACATCACTCGGTGGTTTGAAAAACGAGCAAACGTTAGTGCTTGTGGATGGAGGGGGTTTTATTGAATCCCGAACAGCTCCAATTAGTCTCCAGGCAAACCGTAGGAAAGTAGACCTACCCTTATTTAGATGATTCAGTTCAACTCAACTGCTGGTTCTATGGTTCTACTTTGTTACAACTTAAGCCTTAAAATCAAAATTGTAGAAAGAGTAGCACCTATATGGGGCTTTCACTTTGAAATAAATATGGTTTGGTTTTAAATTAAAATGTAATGTTTTGTTTTGTTTTTACTTTGGGAAGAGTGGGGTAAGTTGAGCCAAAGGGTAAGTTGAGCCACCCCCTGTTGCTTGGAAATGGTAAAAGACATTGATCACGTGACCAAATATTTAGGAGATGGGCAACAATTTATGGAGTCTGTGAAGGTTAGAAGCACATGGGTGAAGGGGTTAGACATTTATTTCCAAAAAAACATTAGCTCAGAGGACTAATAAAGTCATAATAGTAGTTCTGGGGTAAGTTGAGCCAGTGGTTCAACTGAGAAAGTAAAGTAGTCTAATGAGAGGATCAGAGTTTCAGTTCAGATTGTTGAAATGTGTTACTTTTTCTTTTCAAAAATACAGCTGTGAATGTTCTGAATCACTTTAAGGCATTGTCAACAGCTTTTTAGCAGTTATATGCAATAATAATAAAAAAGATTATCGTACCAGTTGAATAGTGTATAATAGATAAAAATACACATGAATGTGAAGAAGTGACTGCTATTTAGGGAGAGAGAAGGTGAGGGAGGGCTAGAGTGGAGTGTGTGTGTGTGTGTGTGTGGGGGGGGGGGGGGGTATTAGGGATACAGCTCAACTTACCCCGCTGCTATGATCAATTTACCCCATACACAGGGTAAGTTGACCATAGGAGACCACTTTTTTTTGGCATGCCATATTATCAAGACAGTTATGTTTACACTCACATCACATCTTGAAATATATGCAGATACACTAGTTAGAGACAAAACTATGATTGACTTGATGTAGTGATCCCAAATATGAAAAATGGCTCATCTTACCACACTCTCTCCTACTTGAGTATTGTATTCTGTCCCTCAAACCAGGCAGAGGTAGCAGAGCTGGTAAGATTATCTTCAAGTTATGTTATCTGACATGAACCAACTCATTCAACCCCCCCTTTAAAAAACCCTGAAATATCCCTTTATTTACTATAATAGTTCTTCAGTGTCACATATAATAGTGTCAGCAAGTGGGTTACAAAGAGCAACAATATTATTGTGCATACATTCACGAGCTGTGCTAGCACAAGAATAGGCTGTCAATACAAAAAAACAAGTCCAGTGAACTAAAGGAAGCATACACCAAAAGGATACACTAAAAGATAAACCACAGAACATTTGATTTTCCAAAATAACTTGCCTATGTACGACATCGTGTGACAAATCATTTTCTTGATATTTTCATATTTATCTTAAGAATAATAATAACAATGCATCAGAATTTTATAGAACTTTATCAGAGACCCTCAAATTGGATACATCATTCATACACTGTCACACAGTCACACTCTGGTGGTAGTAAACTACCTTGGTAGTCACAGCTGCCCTGGGGCAGACTGATGGAAACATGGCTGCCAGTTTGCACCAACGGCCTCTCCGACCACCACCAAACATCACTCACATTCATAAACCAGTGGAGGACACACACTGGGAGCAAGGTGAGTTAAATGTCTTGCCCAAGGACTAGGGATAGGGGGGAATTAAACCACCAACCTTCCAGTTGTTGGACAACCACTCTATCTCCTAAGCTACTGCCGCCTCACAATGGCTTTCTGTTTATAAGAAGCAACAAACGAGTATCCCATAGGCTAACTTTACAAAGATACTTAAAAGAGATGTTTAGTGTTAGTGTTTTGTAGTGTGCTTACTTGAAGTCTGTTTACAGCACTACTGACTAAGCTGTTTGGATATGTTAGCTTTATTATTTCACAGAGATGAGTTTTAAACATCTTAATTTTCAAGAAAACATTCCTTATTTATGTCCATACAATGCACATCAAGCTTCACAAGTTGCATGAATCATGTCTATTAGAGAGTACTTAGTTTGTAACAGGGCTGTGGTGAGAGTTTAGTTAGGCAAAAACAAAACTGGGTTACTGTAGAGGTAACTAACAACATTATCTTCTAACGGGATTTTGATGAGTGCAGTCACTCATCAGATGGCAGGAGTATTTGACAGGACAGCTCTTCGGGATTTATCCTCTGAGGGCCATCATAAGCTTCTATAGCTTGCCTAATATTATGAAGTCACTTCCAAATTTTCCATCACATTTCCCCTTAATATCTTATCTATAATGACCAACATTGTCATCCGTTCAGCCACACCTCCAACATGAGTGAAACTGCATCGAGCTGACCTTGAGGTGGAGGCGAGTATTAAATCAGAACTGTGAGTCCAGGACTGTACTGCTCTCTAAAACATGCCATAATGTTATCCTTCATCATTTTTACTGGTGCTTAATGCAAGTAGTGTCAGACATTTAAATATGTCAATTATAATAAAAAGAAGACTGCCGCTATGGGAAAAACCAGCATGATCCTCATAAAATCACTATAATATGCTCGGTAAACAGTTAATAGCTGTGCAAGGAGGATAATCTGTATTCATTTATTCATATACTCATTAGCGCTACTCTTTTATTCCTATTAAGATTATGGAATAGGGCAGTAAACAATAATGTAACTAAGGGAAGGTTGTATTGTGAAATACATGCAGGAGTGCGAGAGCTTAAAAAAAAGAGTATTAAAAAGCCACTGTGAATTCCAGCAAGTGTTTACTAACCAAACAAGAAAATAGAGACTTCAGAGAGTGATGTCTGCAGAGACAGAGGGATGGAAGTGACAGTGTAAGTCTTTTTACTCAAATACACAGCTGGCAATCAGGGAGGATATCTCATGTTTAAGCTCCCTACTGACTGCACATAACACAGATTAGATCGACAAAAGCAAACAAGACGATGATAACATAGAAGTTGCATACACGACAGGCTTTTTATACTGTTATTGCATGGTTGGATGGCGAGGGGCTGGTGTTTTCACTCATTCACAGTCCATGATGTGTTTCACTGTTAAAAAAGAAAAAAATGGTTGTTTGTTTTGTTTTTTTTTTGCAAAAAAATGCTGAAAACGAGTCTTTTGGGAAGGCCTTAGGTTAGATGTTAGTTGCAGTAATTGGACTTTGTAGATGTTGAATGTAATAGTGCTGCATTATAGTGGGTTGTCTAGTGGACCTGATATGCTATTATTTTTTTTTTAACAGTTTTTGACCTATACTTTAATTAAAAACAAGGCCTGACCCGCACTCACCTTCCAAATCTATCCCCTTATGGTTTTAAGCAAGGTTTAAACCCAGACTTCATGACCAACAGTTTCATGCAAAGTGTTTTCAAGTTCCACATCTGAAGGGCTCGGTATGCAGATATTACAAATACAGCATTTGATAACACCTTGTGGACATTTCTAATCCCCAAAAGAAGGATTTTTTGTCCACCCCCAGAGCTGTGAAAATACTGTTGACACAGCAACCCATTTAAGAAGTTGCTGACAATATCAAAGATGATCACACACCAGGGGAGCACTCAAATTCAAGACTTAAGTTTCCACTCGGCTGGTGGTTAGTTGACCTGCTGCTAAAAATACCAATTCATCATGTTGCTCAATTCATAAGACACCCTCTGACATCTTTTTGCTGAAATGTAGCTGATATGTGCAACTTTTAATGCCTTGATTGCAAAATTTTGAAAATATTCATACAACCTGTGAAAAGGCTTGTAATTATTTCCCAGGGGACACACACAGGTTCCCTCAAATCAGCAAGAGTGTTGACCTCTCAAGTGCTGCTGGTGTCAATCTGCAGCCTGTTGTGGGTTGTATTCATAAATAATCTGCTGTCGTAGGTGATATAGAGATCTGGAAGAAGACCTCCATTCGAGAAGACTGACCTGTTTAGTGATTCAGTATTGTTTGTGTTGAGGGCTATTTTTGCAGCTCTCCTGTGTGTACCCTGATTATATGGGACTTTGAAGGAGAAAAGCAACAGCTTCACCTGTAAACATGTTTTTATTACAAAGTTTAACCATGAACTAAAGGGTTTCTATGAGGTATTTATTTTACATAATTTTATTATTATTATAATTATTAAAGATCACAAGACTCACCAAAGGTTTGGACATGAGGTGAAGGATGGGAGTCAGGTATATCTGAGGAGCCAAACAACAACAACAACAACAACAACAACAACAACAAAAACAAAAGAAAGGTGAGGGGTTGGCCAAATTTTTGTCTTTCTCATCTAACTTTTCCTCAATTTTGTGCCTCCTTTGTCATTGCAAATACACTATTAGAGGAAGAAATCCACTATGGCTCTACTCCTACAGAATTTGATGAAGCTGAAAAGGCTGAACACCACACATCTAGGTGAAAGCTAATGAGTTGTTTATGTTTCCTCTGAGGAAAAAAATAAAATATGCATAAACTTTTAGTGGATAAAATCAAACTGAAATTGTACTCCTCGTTTGCTGTGTTATCACAGTCGAGCACTTAATTCAGTGACCCCTGTAAGGTCCCAAAAACCCAGCGCCAGGAGAGCAGATGTAAAATTAGTCATTACTATTCAAACACTGTAAAAGAGGGAATTACAATAATGATATCTATCGGCTGTAATCTTCTGCAGTACACGCTTGTGACCGCTCGGGTGCGCCACTATGCAAGTCTAACCTTCTGCATTTGTATCGTGTCCACGTTTGAGGTTATCGCCCAATAATTTTACTCCGATTAGAAAATGATGAAAAGACTTGAGGAGCTGTTTGTGCTCCTGCTCCCGCCTCCAGCCACATTAATCTCATAAGTTGTACAAGTGAGATGAAGGTAGATTGCATATCTTGTCCTAACACTATTTTAATGCCACAGCTTGAACGTTAAAAAACAAAATGATTGAAGGGGAATTGAGGGAAATCAGCACTTCAACTCTTTCACCTTAGTTACATAAGTGGCAACCAATCTTTGAAATTAAACCTGTCTCGGTGGAATAGAGTCACTTAACCATCCTGTCCCCCTTTTCGCTCAAAAATGGAAAAAGATCAAAGTTAATCCTGAAACAAATCATAAATACAGCCTAATGGTGGTCCACGTTTCTACCATCCAGAAAGTGACACAATGTTCCTCAGTTTTCGTGGATGGATTATTTGTATAATAGCAGCAATTTTCTTAACTGCACACTCTTTCACGCCATCAGTTAAAGTCCATTTTCATTCCATGCTGCCCCGTCCTTTGTCTTACTATCCTTCCCGTCTATGTGAACATGCGTGTCTGTGTGGAGGGAGGGGAACTCACCCTACCAAAATATATTTGAAATCGACAGAACAGTTTTTTTTTTCTTATGCGCAATTACGCACGGTCTACTGTGGGCACAATTTGTCTTTGCCCAGACGATTTCGGTAGAATGAACTTCACAACTGCTGAGATATTTACTGGGTCTATGGATCTTTTGTCTACATTTTGGGGAGCAGGGTATTCGGCAGCCCACAGGCTGTCCAACATGTCTTTTGACGTCACGTGTCAACTTTGTGATGCGCGCACTGCGGTTTTTAAGTTTCAGTCTCTCTGCACATCAGGCTGAAAAGAGAAAGGGATCCAGGGTGGTCATAGACTACGGAAAAAATATACTTGTAGTTAATAGGTCAGGTATTTTGGGAATATGCCTACAGCGCGCCACGTGCGTAATGACGAGTAAGCCTCTAAATAGAAGAATTAAGGCGTCGTATCTTTGCGAAGGGTGGGAGAGTATGTTAGCGTACTTAACCTAGGAGGGGGCTGTGTTTAGGAATTACTCATTTCTCACACCAACACTGGCACATCTGTGCGCGTCTATGTCACCACCGGACGGGTCTCCAAGCCCATGGATAAAAAGGAACAGGAGGCAGCAGAATGGTTGTTGTGGGAGCGAATAACGGAAGCTTCGGGGGTGGCAACATGAGGTCCTCATTAATGATAGAGGACAGGGTCGGTGGTGAAGATCCCGGGGGCTCCACCAACATGATGATCTCGGAGGCTCTTGCGCCCCGGCTGCTGATGATTGCGCAGGGCGCCGCAGAGGCTGCAGCAGCAGCGGCAGCAGCAACTTCTCCGTCCACCTCCAGTCAGCCGCAGGTCATGGAGACGAACGGGACCCGGTGCGGCGAGCAGATCTTGAGCTACGGCCGGGTGGAAAAAGTCCTGATCGGTGGGGTCCTCACCATGCTCACGCTGTCCACTATCTGTGGGAACTTACTGGTGGTCATCTCCGTGTGCTTCGTCAAGAAGCTGCGCCAGCCGTCCAACTATCTGATTGTTTCTCTGGCCATGGCAGACCTGTCAGTAGCGCTGGCTGTGATGCCGTTTGTCAGCATCACGGACCTGATTGGTGGTCAGTGGATATTCGGACAGTTCTTCTGTAATGTTTTTATTGCCATGGATGTTATGTGCTGTACTGCATCCATCATGAGCCTGTGCGTAATCAGCATTGACAGGTGAGATCAACTTCTTTTGAGCCTTTGACAAAGTAAAGATAACTCGCACCCTTAATGTAATAAAACAGTAGCGAACATCTATGTGAATTTAAAAGCAGGAGGAAAATCGTTTTCAAATACAAATGTCCAATATCTAAAATTTAACACTTACATAAAACTTTTATCCACAGGAATTTTGGTACAGGAGTCTCCGCATGAGCAATCTCTCTAAAGAAAGACATGTTTTGTCAGATCCTTAGTCTTTAATCCCACTTTGCCTCCACATAACCCCAATCTTCCAAAAAAAGGAAAAAAAAATCACATTATGCAATCAGACGAGATATTTTGTGGCTCAGTCCTCTACCCACTCAAACATGGGATTTGTGTCAGGGAGGTCAGCACAGAGTCTCACTCTTGCTCAGAATTGATGTTTAATGTGGGAATAAAGCTGCAGTCTTGTCTCCTGTACATCAGGTTCTTTTCATCTAACAAAGAAAGTAAAGGCAAGAGGGGGGAGAGGGCTACAGCTCAAAGAATACCTGCCAAATTTTGCCCAAATTTCAAAGAACATATTTCTGGATCTCCACTTACAGTTAAGGATTAAATAATCATTAATTATTTTTGTGCGTCTCGTGAAATTTTACACAGATCTCCAAATTGAGGGTGCGAATGGCAGTCACAGATTGTTCTAAAACATTTTGCCCAAGGGCACCTTGTTGTGGGTGGAGAGAGTACTATTTATGTACCTACATTTTTTTTAAAAAAATGCCCATGTGTTCAAATACCTGTAAATTAAAAAAAAGAAAAGGTGACAGAGGGAATCTTGCTTATATGAGGTAACAGTCTTTCATGTTATTTTTCTCTGCAGGTATTTAGGAATCACTAAACCCCTGACATATCCTGTCCGGCAAAACGGCTGCTGCATGGCCAAGATGATCCTGTCAGTGTGGCTCCTCTCTGCCTCCATCACCCTCCCCCCTCTGTTCGGCTGGGCGCAGAACGTCAACGACGGCAGAGTCTGCCTCATCAGCCAGGACTTCGGCTACACTGTCTACTCCACAGCTGTGGCGTTCTACATCCCAATGTCTGTGATGCTGATCATGTACTACAGGATCTACAGGGCAGCCAAACTCAGCGCTGCAAAGCACACAATCACAGGCTTTCCCAGGCAGGGTGAGCAGGGTGCAGGGGCTGCCCCTCGAGGAGGAAGAGGGGGCCATGAAATCCCACCACCCCCGGTATCAGAAGAAACAGGGAGTGTTGAAGGGACAGAGGCTGAGCAGGAGGAGGAACTTGAGGAAGAGGAGAGCTTGGACTGCGTTGCAGCTGCTCTTAAGCTTCAGCGTGAGGTGGAGGAAGAGTGCAGCACGCGCGTCTCTCGCCTCCTCAAGACCGGCGAACACCACCAACGCCGGAAGAGGAAAAACCAGTCCATCTTCAAACGGGAGCAGAAGGCAGCTGCCACTCTGGGCATAGTGGTTGGCGCCTTCACTTTCTGCTGGCTGCCATTCTTTCTTGTGTCCACTGCCAGGCCATTTGTCTGCGGTGTGGAGTGCAGCTGCGTTCCGCTCTGGCTTGAAAGAACTCTCTTGTGGCTTGGGTACGCCAACTCCCTCATTAATCCCTTCATTTATGCATTTTTCAACAGGGATCTTAGGACCACCTATAGCAACCTTCTGCGGTGCCGCTACAGGAACATCAATAGGAAATTGTCAGCGGCTGGCATGCACGAGGCTCTGAAGCTGGTGGAGAAGCCAGACACTGATGTGTAAAGATGTAGGTCATCAGCGTAGCTTCAAAGTCCAACACAGACAACCATTAGGGAGATAATCAGGTACAGGGCACCAGGTCACTACGCTGCCAGGCTGGTGATTTCCCAAAATTTGTATGATGATTACTGAGGCGATACAGGGCAAGTTCCACTGATGAAAGGAAGAAGGAGAAAAACCTGGAAGACACTGGGGATCGAGACTTAATTTAGGGATGGTTCATCTCACTGGGAACAAATTAATACTGTATGAATGGAGGCTACTGCAGCACTGAACTTACAACCACTGGATTCTTAGTACCCTGATGGTGAGGTCCAACAATTGTAATGATAGTTGATACCCATGTGCACTCCAAAAACGGACTGTTACTCTGCCGACAGAACAAAAGTTGATGAAGGTACACATTGTACTCAGCTTCCACTGTGGGCAGAAATGGTCTACATCTACGGCTGATGTCTTGTATTTCCATAGTGAGCCAAGGAAAGCTCAAGACTTGATGATAAAAATGATGGATTCCTCAGAGCTTCAAATTCTGCATGAGGCTCGCACATTAAAAGTCTTGAACGTCATCCTTGACTATCACAGAGAAACTGTCTTTCGCTGTTTCTAGATGTTGAGTTGATGGACAATCTTAACAAGTAGATAATTACATAAGAAGTCACATGTGAAATCTGTACACAGGCCGAGCCACACTGTTTCTAACAAGTCCGAATGGCTCCTTACAATGAGTTTTTGTACCTAGAATTTATGTCTTTTGTTTTCTTTTCAATATCACAGTGTAATGAATGTGCCAAAACATGCTTACTTTCCTAAACTAGTCATGCCACATCTTTGAATTTATTACTCTTTTTGTAATCCGGCTGCTCACAATCAAACAAAGCGTATGAAATGATTTTGAAAGGAAGTGGAGGTGAAGGTCAAGAATGAATGGAAGATCCTGAAATAAGATCACTTTGAACATGCCTGTGCCTTTCTCTCTGTTACTGTGTAGGATTGCAGCACACGAGTCTCCTTTTTATCTATGCACCTTGTGTTGAAGATCTGACACAACGTTTGACGGTTCTCTGGGCACTTGAAGTCGATCACTGCACAGTTTCTGTTGTGTATCACATCACACAGTAGCTTGTGGAAGAGCAATTATCAACCTGAGGAGTGAGTGATGGTTAAAACAGTGAGCTTTTTGTCTCTTTAGCTTTAAGGTCTTTTCTTTTTTCTCACATATTTTTATCCAAAGTAACACTTTTTCATTTATTAGTTAAATTGAATTGAACTCTTTATTAAATTATATGTGACTTTATTTGATGATTTACATTATTTGCAATTATTTATTTGATGGAAATACTAAATAAAATGGTCATAAGTTGTGATTTAAAGCTGCTGTGAGGGCAAAGATAAACATTCACGCACCTTTTCTGTCTTGTCCTTATCAACTCAAGACTTTCATAAATCTCATCCTGCTTTCTTACACAGTCAGAGATGTCTTTTATTGTGAATATTTGCTGTATAGTGTAATGTAAAGACAGGCTGTTTCTACAGTGTGCTGTCGATCGTCTGGTCCAACACCTACCCTGTGGTTACAGTTTCAGGAGATGTGCACATCTGAAGTCAGCTAAACAACTAAATCTCATCACTCTAGCTTGTCAGCTCGGACATTATTCATTGTTTTAACAAGTTATGAATACTTTTTACTGTTGTAGGCCTGAAGTGCTGCTCATATATTGTGTCTAAGCTCCGCCACTATCCGGGGCTGCAGCTCTGGTTATTGGTGAAATGCCATAATGCTCGGAAGCTCTACTATCTAGATGTAAACAAGCACAGCTGACAGATGCCATCATGTAGTGGCAGTATTTTGATCTAGAAAATTGAGATAAAATTGTATGTAGGCAGTGCCTGGTTAACCAGACCGGAGTGATGAGTAATAATCACAGGCATATCAGGACATAAACATGCAGGGAGGACTAAAGGCTCGTTATGCTAGCTCTGCCGCCAAACGCCACAATCAGCAAAACAAATTTGCCATTGTTTATCTGCAGACTTTGTTATCCTGCGTTAAATAAAACGAGCTCAATTTTGACTGTTCACTGATTAATTTCTGATCTGGTTGGCTTGTTGGGATTCCAAATTCTGTCTAATCAGCACTGAAATTTGTGGCTTGTTGATTCAAACATCGAAAGTTGAATATGGATTTGGAGTTTACAAAAAGACATCAATATGAATTTAATGTGTTTCATATAATGTGCTGACAGAACAAGCCCCTCAGAAGTCAATGTATGATGAGAGGAATGAGAAAGATGGCAGCAACTCATATGTTAGAAGCAGGTACCAACAGAAGTCTCGTTTCCAGCTTGATAAAAATATTTTTTTGCCTAAAGAAAATGGTTTGAAATCCAAAGAACAATACATTATAATAGGAAATCACCGAAATCTTTAACTGGGAAGGAGTACAATTATCTTTTTTAACCATTTTAACCTCCTACCATATTGTAGGAGGATTAACTTGTGCACTTAAAGAGAAACTTAAGAGAGTTAATCACAAGAGTTATTTAGGAGTTATTTTACAAAACTGCCAATATGATAGCCGATGCGTCTCTCTGAAGACTTTTCTGTTATTGACTGTTGTCTTTTGTGAAGTGCTAATGATGTTGGCCATACTTCTGGAAATCCTAAATATCAAACATCTGTTTGTTGAAACAGCCCAGACTGAAGCTATTTCAAAATAGTTAATCCCAAAAAAGTTGACCCAGGCTCAACATCAATACAGACCAAGTAAAAAAAAACAGATTTCTCATCCTATTGTTAGGAGAAAAAAATAAACCAGGATAGCTTTAACCAAAGCTCCTTTGATCTGAGATTGGCGCTAATTTGTCTTCACTGAACAAAAATACTGTCTACTCTGATTCATCAGCACTCTTTCAGTGTTACTTGATCAATTTCAATTGATTATAGCTTTACCATGTCAACCACTTTCAGATTTTGCCTGACTGACTGTTGCACGATGAATCATTACAGCATTCAAACAAAACTGATCTATTTTTTCAGTCATCAAACTTGTAGACACAAGTGTCATCGCTTCCTGATGTTTACCTGCTGCTTCCATTGAGTTCTATGTAATCACAGAGTGGACTCAACATAGTGATCTCATGGGCTTCTAATCAAGGACACGGCTCACAGTACAAATCTGTTTGGGATGATAAAAGCAGGTGTTTCACCAGTGTTCCCAATCTCCACCCTCTGGGATTAAACTATCAGCTCAATGTTTCACCATAGGAAAGCATAGGTTCAGCGCTTGGAAAATGCATTGGGGCAGCAACAGAGTTCATACAGTCAAATGTTAATGTACATTAAAAATTATAATCAAATTAATGGTAAGCCATCTCCTGTATAGTGCCCGGAATAAGCTCAGTGTAAGCACCTTAAACATAACAGCTGGGGCAAACCGAGTCCTATTTTTGCTTTTTGTTACTAATTTTAGGTTTCACACCAGAAGAGAGAGAGAGAGAGAGAGAGAGAGAGAGAGAGAGAGAGAGAGAGAGAGAAAGAGAGAGAGAGAGAGCGAGAGGAGTAGGGGGGAGGTTTTAAGTCTTATTCCAATTAAACCACAATCATTTTGGGGGGAGGGAGGGGTCTTAATACTTTGAGAATAATGGATGGGCTTTTTACTACACTTCCTGTCTTAATACAGTCTGTGCTGCTAAATGTGTCCTCATTAACTTGAATTTGAACTGCAACTAAGTGAGAAAGAGCAACAGAGGGCAGTAAGTCTCTTTTTACTGAGTTGGCACTGTAATTGCTGCTGTTGGTGTTTTTCTAATCATTAATTAAAGCTGCCCAGTGCAAGATTCTTTTTTAGACATTAAAATATACCCAGCTTCTGAGTCTTAATGACCACAAGGGACTGCCATTGCATTGCTATACTATTCAGTGAGTTTCAAACTAAAAAACAAACTGCAAACAAACTAAGTTTGTCCAGAGGGCAGTGAGACTTTGTCTTGCTTTTCTCATCTTTCTTCATATCAGATTGGCAAACAGAACAGTGTGTGGTTTTCTGGTGCTTTGTAAACTTGTCTGATGTAACCGCAGCTGAATGTTCAAATAAAATCTTCCGCGTCATAGTTCACAGCTCAGCCAATTCATGCCTTCAGCCTTGTAGAAGAATTAGTTTACTCTTTGAGCTGTGAACTGAACTGGAAATGTTGAGAGCCACTGAACTAAACTTGTTCTGGGCTCGGCTCTATTTCCTGTCACAGAAGATAAGGAGTTTTTGCCAGTCGATATGAGCAGGGGAACATCTTTCTAAAAGCCGCAGCAGAAAATGTCCTGATGCTGAGGCTCGTATGATCAAAACCCAGGAGGGGGAGTAATGGTTTTTAGGTCATTAGATTGGTCAGGCAGGAGCTGCTCCACAGACGGAGTAAGAGGGGAGATGTGTCAAAAGGTGAATTAAAGATAGAAGCTCTGTCCCTGCATTCAGTGTCTGTCAGCTGCATTTCAGCTCCAGACTGAGTGACAGGTGCGAGTGACTGTTCCCTCGTGTTTGACAAGAGGAGAGTTAAAAAGCCTGTCTGTCTTTGCACTTCCCTGAGAGAGCAGCCCCTCAAACACTCCACAGAGCTGTATCTGATCAGACCAGGAACCTTTGCCCATGAGAGTTTTAACAGGATGAAACACAAAAAAACTCAATCGTTTTGGTGACTCATTATCTTGTTTTATAAATGTATGTCTCTTGTTTTTTTTTTGCAGCTTATTTAGGGAAGCTGAATGACTTAGATACTATGATTTTTCAGGTGGGACAAAGTCTGCTTCACAAATGTCAAGTTTCAAAATTGGTTCCTTCTTTCGAAGTTTAAGTTTTAATTTAGAATTTAAAAAAATATATAAATAAAACACAGGTCTTTAATAAATCATAGAGGATTGTTGAAATTTACCCTGAAAAACAAACCAAAAAAACCCATCTAAAATGAATCTGCTAAAAGAAAAAAAAAGTGCTTTTATTAGTCAAATTACAACCCACAATGAGGAGGAAGAAGAAGAGGTCAAAGGTCATTAAGGTTGGGAATCATTGATGTACTATAAATGTGTCAATGGCAGCTGAAGTGACACAACCAACCAAAGATCAGTCATGCTAGCATCGATGTCATGACTGTCAAACAAAGGATGTCTTTTCAACAAATTTTCTATTCCATGAATTGACCCAAAATGCTCTCAGAGAGTGACTGCTACTGCAAAAATAAAGACAAATCACTATACTATTAAAGGGTTATGGTAATAAAAACAAAAACTGCTCAGAGGGGTTGCTGTCTGTTCCTAGAGCTGAATGAAGTGTGCCAGGAATGTTTAAAATTTCAATTTAGTGAGAACTCAGACTCACAGTGTTTGGTGTGTTGTAACCACAATCTGTGTTTGACCAGTAAAGGCGTAATAAACCACACTGCAGTCCTTGTTAGTGTGTTTAATCAGCATTTTTATGAAGCACTTGTACCAAAGGGGATGTTCTCTTCTGGGATTACGCACACCACGCTGATTGTAGACAGATATCAATCCTCTAGAGGTAATCATGCTTTTATATAATACTTACCGGTGTATTTCTTCTGATAATATTGTACATATGTCATAAAAACAGAGGGAAAAACAGATGACATCACTACTCCCTTGTGTGTACAACATTAGGCATGACAACCCATAAAACATTGCAAGAGGAGCTGTTTGTGATTTATCTGCACAGATGCAAAATTATTGAATTCCCACAATACTTGTATATGTGCAAAAAAAATCTGTGGACAAGATTGTAAAAATGTTGTTGCTGCTGTTTTGGTTGAACCATGTGTGTCTTGTAATAAAATGTTCATGTTTTTTTATTTGAACAGCAGGTTTCTAATAAGCTTTTAAACACAGTTTGATCAACAGATGGTCTGTGAAAATGTTCAAACAAAAGCTTTGGAGAGCGAGAACAAACAAGAACAACAGATTTCATAGTACCAGATCTGAAGTTAAGAGGTCAAAGTGTGAAATATTCAGACAACACTGGTGGAGGTATTTGCCCTTCCTTGTCCAAATGTAAATAAATTAACACTTAAATGAAACAGTTTTGACTTCTGTCTGTGTGAATACCTTCTACTTCTTTTTTATGTACCTGTCTTCAGTTCACATGAACACTAAATGGAAAAACATTTCACTTATTAAAGTCCTCAACGTGAACCAAATTTCTCTCTTTATCTGGAGCTTACATGCAAACTTTATGGACTTTTCTTAAACTTAAATACAATAAGCTGTCACCATTAATGTGAGATAGCACTCCTCTGAGTGTAAGAGTAATATTCAGAGGTGGAAAAAAAGAACCATTAGTCTTTCTTTCAAAGTACCCTCCATCACAGCGACACTGTCTTTGATAAGACAGTACTGAGAATAAAACTGTTCAAGGTGGCTGTCAGCTTTTCTGAGAATACAAATGAAGCATCAAAGACCTTGTACATCAACTTTATTACAGCATTTCTTGTGATACTTCAAAGAAAGGAGATGGAGAAGAATCAGAGGATTCAATACGCTTTATAAAGTTTTGCTTACTATAAGATTGAAAAGTGTAGATCTGACTGCTTTTTGATGTGAACAATTTGTGGTCAGCTCTAAAAACACATTCATCAGCAAGAAGTTAATAACCATCAGAAAACGGCTGGGAAAAAAACGCTGCTTGGTTGATATAGACAGGTATCTATAAGACAGTATCTTGTTCAAATTTTGCAAAAGGAGTTTTAGCCACATGTATATAACTCAAAGCAAAGCACAAATCAAATCATTTCAGTTCAAGTAAAAACTTATCACCAAACTAACTTGCTGAATAAAACCTCAAAGAGAGGAGACAGCTCTCCAGATTTCTGACTTGTGAATAAGACAGGGAGGTGACACAACCAATCCTGTTCAATCAAAAATACACAATGACTTAACAAGGAAGTGGGTTTAAGTCACATCTTGTAAATGACAGCATGACTAAAATATCATTACAAACTACCTCTTATGTCAGGGGTAGATATATATCACTTTTGGCTTGCTTAATGACTCACTTGTTAAATGGATAAGTCAGTTATTTAATGCTTATTTAACAGATTATGTTCATTCTATATGCCAGCTTTGATTCATTTTAGGTTCATTAATAACCCTTTACTGGACAAAAGCAAGGCACCTAGTCTGTACAATAACAACTGTTTCCAGATAAGGATTGTATTTTATGTTAAAAAAGATAAGGGACACTTTCAGGTGCATCAGTAAAAGTTAGAGTTTAGCTGCAATATCCATGAATGAAGTTGACAACCTTGTAGTTTAGTATTTAGAAGACTGAAATTGCAAACAGCTAAAGTTGTCCTGTTAAACTGAAGGAAAAGATCAGGAGAACAGCCAGCTTGCAAACTGGCTTAAATAATCATGATAAACCTATGTTATTCTCAAAAATCTGCTTCTTTTTTCATTTTAAGAGTTTTCTCTTTCTTAGTATTCAGTTCTTGTAAAATTTGTATTTAGTTAAAAAACAACAGATGACAAAAATATACAGTATAAGTTTAAATAAAAGATTTCATTTACTGTGTTTTTGTTAATAATAAAGAGCTGCAAAACCCCCATATTTAATTTACCTATTTATCAACCTTTTTTTTACACTTTGTGTGGTGCGTGTAAAACTAGAGTCATCACATTGACATGACCTTAATGAAGCATCAGTTTAAATGACAAAACAACATTTTAATAAGAGGATATATTTGATATAGAAGTTTTGTTGATGTATATCCTTCATGTTCTATTCAGCATGTTGGCTAAATGAGGGCTATAAAACAGGTTTCTATTTAAAAAAAAAAGAAAATAACAGGCACTTTATGTATGTTTTTATTTCTGCTTTTAGAGCCATACTTTTCTTATCTTATGTGGAAGACATTTCCAAGTCTGTTTGATTTATTTGCCAACTGATGTATGGCATATTGAATCAGTTTTGGTGAACTTGTAAATCTGACCCAATAAAAGACTCCTGCGATAAAAGGCAAAGAGCTCAGTCTGTTTATTCGCAAATAAAACAACAAAGTCCGACTGAACATATGAGGAAATTCACTCTCAGTGTTGCTAAAGAACATGTAGGTGCTGTTGTTTTCGCCAGTCTGAGGGGTTATGATCAATACATTCACCACAAATATGTCAACATTTTTCATTTGCATTTCTCTGCCAATACTGATGTGAAACCTGACAGGACAATCATTGTCTGCTCACCGTTCAGTCATTCAGTTTTAGATATAAAGATTGAGGAAAAAGTCTAAACCAAATAAACATCAATAACTAAAAACTGACCTAGAAACAATACTGCTTTTGTGCAAATGAAAGGTTGTGTGATATGAGCTTTTTAACCTTTTCAACCAGTGTTCAGTTTTCAGTCGAAAAAACACAGAACAACAAATAAGAAAATATGTCAAGACAAAACATCCAGAAACCTGTTATTTTTATCTTTAAAATCAAAATCTTTGAGTATCTTTCAGCGCCAAGAAGAGAAGTCAGCCTCCAAGCAGCCACATGGTTCCTTCAAAGATTAGACCTACTTTTTGAAGATAACACCGCTTTCTTTTCCCTGACAGCAGTGAAGCCCTGACATGAATTAATCTGAGCCACTGCTGCTCTGAAAAGACAGCTCCCCTCCAAAAGACAGATGAGTCACCTTGCCAATGAGTAAATGCACAAAAAGATTTTTGTTATTGAATATAATGAGAGTAATTAGATTCAAAACCTGCCAAAGTAGAGCTCCTAAATTTATAAGAAAAAAGACAGAGGCAGACAGAGAGAGAAAATGATGAGATGAAGAAAGACAGAATAATGATTCACTCCTTTTGTATCCAGGCCATTATATTTTACATTTCTAATTGACTGTCATTCTCATCCAAAGCAGGGTACACCAGCTCGTTTTATGTCCAAAATCTGGGACATAAATTTCAGACCACTTTAAAATTCATGCTGATCCGTCCAAAAACTGCAGCACAGTTTGAGATTTATGAAAACCTTTACCAGGACAGATGTTAATCTCTTTTTCCTTTTACAGTCAGACCAACTTATACTAAACTTTTGCACAATATCTGCCACTCAAAAACATATCTTAACTTTACTCCAGTCTGAAATAATACCCTCCAATACAATACATTTAACAATAGTCTAAGTACTAGTTTTCTGGTTTAAGGGTGCCTATGAACCCCTCAGAATTTTAAACCCCTAAAAAATTCTGGTTTAAATGTCTGATTAGAAATGTCAATGAATATAATGGCTACGTATCGATCAAACAGCACTCTCTGGCACAAAAAATGAAGCCACAGTAGAAATGCAAAAACCTTAAATTTATTAAGTTTCCATTTGAGGCTGACTCTAGAAACAGAGGAATTTATGTTGGAGTTCATAGTCAGTTCAAAATAACGCTCACTGAGTGCAGCGGAAAATTGATGATTATCCCCTCATGGAAATACAATCAGACTGAGATGCTATGGCAGAAGAACTACCATGTCTGCAATGTACAAACAAGATACACAAGAACTCTGATTGCATTTCCATGAAGTAATAATCATAAATGTTCTTCCTTGAGCTGCGAAACTCTGCTGCACTCGGTAATTCACTCATTAGGGCTAACCCACAAACAAGCAGCTGCTGGAGGAGAGTGGGTGAGTTGTGTTTGGTCTCTCTGCTAAACAAACATGGCAAAGCTAAAAAGATGTTTGGTGGCTAGTACTATGGCTGGGACCCTATATGTACTGTTGATTAAGTTAGGTGCTGTTCTGAGCATTAGAGTGGCTTTTTGGTTGATGTTTGCATGTGGAGCCATAGACCACTGTGTATTGCTATCGTATGGTCATTACTGAAGTTGGTATGACTAGAGAAACAAGCAGTCGACAACATTCATCTCTCGAGGGGGTGTCTAACTTGGGGTTACGGTGTGTTGACCATAACTTAAATTTACGCTGGAATATCCCTTTAACCTTCCTCCTTTCTGCACTCAACCTTCTCTCCTTTTCTTCACTGGTGACTGAATATAAATCTGAGGCTTTTTCCCCCCTTCAAATAAATTTAGAGATGTATTAGAAATTGTGCAAAAAGTTTTGCCACAGTGTCAACAGGCAGGGAAAATGTGGTGGATTCCTCTCAGCTATTGCCCAATCCATACCATTTATAAACATTTTGCTGATTAAAACCATGCCAACCATAGACTGTATATAGAATAGACGCCATCTGCCTCCTCGCTGGGTGAAGCCACTCTGAGAACAGCACCCTCTGGGGATGGGCTGCAGTATAGGTCATTAATCCCACCTCCTCTAGCAATCCCTATGGAGCTGTGGACAAACTTCAGAAATTATTACACAGAATATAAAATTTTCTCCCCCCTGCTTGTGATGTTGACATGTAGTTACTGTAAGACTGTTTTGTGCTCAAGTCCTCTTTTTTCTGTGCATCTCCATTTTTAGAAGTTATGAGGAGGTTTATGTTTTTTATGACTGACACTTGATACAGCCTATAGGCATACGAAGATTGCGTTGCTCACCCAGGGGATACGCTGTTTGAGCTAAGCGTCATCACAGCGACTCTCTTGCTGAATGCGTACAACGCTACTGCGCAATGTTGGTTTCAGCAAGTGGAGAAAAAATGCGGAAACATCGAGAGCTTTTTGGCTTCAAATCCGTATACTGGCAGAATGCAGAAGGAAGTTGTCCATTTTATATACAGTTGATGATGCCAACCCAGTACAAGTTTGTTCACTCCATTTATATTTTGAACACTGTTGAAGACACAATCTTACACCCTCAGACAAACACACATTTACAAGGAGCCAGAGAACAACTACAAAAAGTTTCTTTTTGACTCATGCAGACCAGTGGTGCTGCAGGGCTGTTGCAAAGAGAATTTAACTTACCATAGAGCTCAAAACTCTCAGAAGGACACTTGGACATGTCAGGAGACAGCTGCCCACCGGGATAGTGAAAAATGTAATGAATGGAAATGACACAGCATCATAACTCTCAGAAGTCGCAGTGAAAGAGCAGCTTATCTCGGTGTGTAACTGTGGCAGAAAGTTGCATTGATTTTGTGTTGTTATTGATCAGAGAGCACTTGTGATTGATGTCCGCTGTGACGCAGTTTGTTGTTTGACTCATTTACTTTGCTGCCCAGGGCCACGTTAACATGAGCGGTCTCTATTGATTTGAGCCTTCCCACACGCTCAGAAATATCATAAAGAGTGGATTTTGCTTTCTTTAAAAGACGACACACAACAGGAGAGGGAGAGTGGGAATAAAACTCCAGGAGAACTTCACACCCACTGTCATGTTCTTTTACACTCAAAGGAGAAGTGTGTGTGTGTGTTTTTATGAATTTCTTTGGCCTTCAGCTACATTGTGAGAGTTTGTTTGGAGAGTCAAAAAGTGAGTAGTGTTGCATGCCTGCTGAGATAGAGAGAGGGGTGATGAAGGAGAGAGGCGGAGAGAGAGACATACAGAAGCAGAGTGGGAGTAAAAAAAAAAGTTTGGTGGGGTGAGAAAGTGCAAAGTGAAAGTAGAGAAGAAGAGATGAAAAGAGAAAAGGGAAAGAAAACTGTGATGAAGAGGGAGGGAAGGTGTTGAGTAGAAAGACTGTAAATGAATGAACCATACGATGATGGAGAGGGAAATAATCTAGTCGGGCTGTCAAAGTCGCTTAACACTGAATCATGTGCTTTAAGTGTGATGACTATGACGTGAGCCAACTAGCCATGTTAATATGATGAGTCAGCGTGCGAGGAGGCAGCAGAAAAATAACGTTGTCTTCATTTAGAGCGGCCATCACACTGATTGTATCGGTAAGCCACGGGCAGCAGAGAGTCATGGTTAATCTCTCATTCATCAACAATGGAGGCAAAAATTGACCCTGTGTGCTCTCTGTCAGTAACACAGCTGCAGACCCATCACACGTTCCTC